CTATAATTATCACATATTTCTAGAGGAAATTCCTATTTCTATTTATAAATCAGGGTAAAAATATAATTTAGTCATTTAAGGTATTCTATATCATCCTGCGATTCGCCATCCTGGGCACTACGGTATCTCAGACACCTGACACCGCACTGGGGACTGCACACAAAAGATGACTGCAGGGAATATTGAAATTCGTTAGCTTTTCAATCTTATTTTTCTCTTACATAACATTAATATTTTATGATAATTATATAGGAGGGAAAAAATCTGACTTACAAATAGAGCACTGCTCTATATCTTAATACACGACTAAGATGACATTTTATTCTCTTTATTGCTTCTATCTTGTCTGTAGTAGAGAAATCTAACTTTGGTGGTGGAAGAATGTGTTCCATTTTTGTTCCTTCTGACACCATGTGCAGGATGATAGTTTTGCTTCTGATGTTTCAAGTTTGGCTAGTTCAAAGAATTTAAAGTAATAATCTACAATGATTAAGTAATCTTCATTAATCAGTGTGAGCAAATCAGCTTATCATAACTGCCACGGTCCATATGGGATGGACGTTGGCTGTAATGGTTCCTTTTGATTCTCTTTTCTTAAGTTCATGCAGGTGTTACATTTGGATATCATCAATGCTATCTGCAATGTGTGTATTCATTCCAATTAGCCAAAAAACTATAGTTCTTGCACGAGCATTCGTTTTCTCAATACCAAAATGTCCTACATGCAAGTATCTGAGACTTTCTGGTCAAAGAATGTCTGGAATTAAGGATTCTTTCATTCATCAAATCTATTCCATCGACAAATGTTAGCTCTGATTTCTTCCTCCAAAATTCTTGTTATGATTTGGACAACCGATTTTTGTATTCCGGTCTATCGTTTTCAATATGATGAATCATTTCCCTGAGAATTGTGTCATTCATGGTATCTTTCTTGATGTCTTGTAGAATATCTTTAGCAGGAACATATAATTTACATATAAGCTTCAATTTCATCATCTATTTCTTCATTCTTTTTTCTCACTGAAGGTAGATGAGCACGGTACAATGTGCCCGCTATTATCAATTCTTTTCCTGGAGTGTATTTGAATTCAAGGGGATGTTTCTGAGTGCGAAGTCTTTATTCAGTCTGGTGGAGCTTGAACCGGTGATTTCTTAATAATGTTTTCCAATGGCTTGTGGTCATTTTCCACTATTACATTTACTCCATAAGTATTCACAGCATATGGTGAAATCTTTCTAGACCAGTTTGGGCATAACGTTTTTCTATCTCTGTAAACACTCTAGACGCATATGCAACTGGTTTTCTGTCCTGAATATAAATTGCACATAGTCCACATTTTGAAGCATCTACACTAACAGATACAAGTTTTTTTTCACATGTAAAAAGTAAGAACTGATTCCTTGGACAAAATTTACTTGATAGCCTTGAACGCATCCTCTTGTGGTTTCTCCCAGATAAACATATTTTCACTTCTTAGTAAGTTTCGGATTGGTTCATTTATGACTTTCACGTTTGGAATAATTAACAGTTCCTAGCAGACGCTCGACTCCTTTCTTATCCTTTGGTGGTGGAATGTTGATAAGAGCTCTTTATTTCTACTCGATACAAGTATGTTGCCTATCCACTTCAACACCTTCACTACTATTAAAATGTTGAGCAATCCTCTTCTGAAACACCACCTGTGTGCTCTTTATGCCAAAAGGCATCCGTTGGAAACAGTATCGTCCATATGGTGTATTGAATGTGGTACTGTATGTACATGAATTGGCGTATTCAAAATTTAGCGCAATCATTGGGTATTGAGCTGTTGGCGTATTCATGAAATAGCGCAACACAGTAATGTGCAGTACTTTGTATTAATGAATTAGCGCTTCTTTTTTCGCATTTGCCAGTGTCCGCTCTTTGCATCAAGTTTGCTGAAAATTGTGGCGCCGGATAATCTGGTTGTAATGTCTTCAATGGTAGGTAATTGAAAATGTTCAAATATGATGGCTGCATTCAAGTCACGAGAATCAGGATTGATTGATTGTTGTTTAACGTCCCTCACGAGAATATTTCACTCACATGGAGACACCACCACTTGCCGGTGGAGAGCTACAAATTTTGTTCTATACTCGGCACTTAGGGCCATTGAGCAGTGAGGGATCTTTTCGTGCCAGCACCTACGGCGACATGGCCGGGATCTCGGTTTGTACGGTCTCATCCGAATGACCAGTCATCATGTCACACAGTGGGATTCCAATCTGATTAAAATCAGATCCTTTGATCCGCTCACATAGATCGCTACACAAGGTGTAGCGATTAAAGTGAGCGTATCGAAGGATCTGATTTTATCAGATTGAGTGGGATTCGAACCCGCGACATAAGGATTACGGATTAACCTCTTTCTCCGCGACTCAAGAGTAGTCTCTCTGATTACTACGCCACGCGGGCAACTGAAGATCAAAAAATATACGTAATTTTCCTGTTTTGAATTTTTCTGCGATCTCAGGAGAAATGACCCAGTGAGTTGGTTGGTCGTCTTTCTTGCTCATTTATTTTTCTTGGCTTCCATATCATCTAGAGTTTTCTGAGTTTCTCACGGAATGCTACTGGTGTTTGTCTTGGATTATGAACAATAGGTGGTACGCAACTGTCAACACGAATCTTGTATGGTTCCTTCAAACATTCTAATCCCGTGAAAACACTTGAAATTCATCAATAGGTGTCAGAAAAATCATTCTGTAGTATTTCTGTAGGTAGCGTCACTTTGATCAGCCCAAGTTCACAACTCATGTATCCTAAAACTGTTGGTTGATTTGGATATGTAACGTAACATTCCAGTCGTTGGTGATCTTTGTATAGAAGAACACACTTTCCGGCTATGGGTATGAATTCATCTGAAAAAATTGTAAGTTTCACACTAGTTTTATTTGGTGAGAGTGCTGTTGAGTTTCTTGATGATTTTGTTTGCGATGATATTCACTTGAGAACCTGTATCTTAATAGCAATGTTGTTTATTTCCAGACGTGAGTAGATGTCACCTTGACTGTTTTTACTTGAAATAGCACCAATAAAGAATTTCTTTCTTGTCTCAGTTGTTTGACATTTCATCTGATTCTAATTCATTGAAAGGAATAGCCTTATTCCTACACTTTGATGCGAAATGTCCTTAATTGTGACATTTGTTATATTTTCCCAAGTGCTGGACATTTTCCTTTCTCATCATGGGTTCCAAATTAATTTTCAACATGTTAAGGACTTTGCGTTGGTAGTTCATTTAAATCGGTACATTTTGTTTTCTAGGTTGATAAACATTCCCTTCATATATTTCAGGGGCGAAAGTTTGTTCCTGCTGACACTTTAACAGATTGTTCAGATTTCACAATATCCACATGTTCCTCATGTTGTTGATCTTTCAATCCATTCTGTGACTCCACCAACTTCAAGCTTTTTGTAATGTGAGTTAATTGTCTCTGATCGAGTAACTATTAACTTGATCTGAGTAAACTCTGTCTCCAATGAAAACATTTACCGATATTTCAATCTATTTCTTTTTCAAACCACGTGAGTAGATTGAAAGAAACACGAAGTATTATCGAATATCTGCAAATTTGTTCAATCTCCTCCTCTTTTTTTCAACTCACCTAAATTGAAGGCTCAAAGGAGCTTTTCTGGTCAAAGAGTATCTGATGTCCGTCGGTTGTCTGTAAACTTTGCACATTTTCGACATCTTCTTTAGAGCCATTGGCCAATATCAAACAAACTTACTACAAAGCTTGCTTGGGCGAAGAGGATTCAAGTCTTCTCAAGTGTTCACAAGAAGTGGTGCGTTTTCTTTCAAGGGAAGATAATAAAAAATTCGTGAAAATTTTGTGGCATCTTTAAAACTCCTCTTGAAGAGAGAACCACTGGGTAAGAAAAGAATCAAAAGATGAAACTTATGTGAAAGCTTCGTTACACACTCTAGATTTGTTCATATCATAACCCCGTGAATAGGGCAGGGCCACAAGAGTGGGTAAATCGGATCACGCTTGCCCTTTTCCGTAACCGATAAAAAGAATTATTTGTGGTTACGAAAATAGTCGAGTAGTTATGATTGAAGAGTGAGTCAAAGTGTAACATAGGAAAATATAAGAAATGTCTTTGAAAATCTATTTCTAGAGAAAAGCAAAGTCATCATCAGTCATATCATTATTTCAGAAGCATTCTCAGATAGTGTAGATTCAAGTTTGCTCTAATCTATCACCCTTAGGGGTAGAGCAGGGCCACAACAGGGGGTAAAACTTTTACATAGGAATATACAGGAAATATCTTTAAAAATCTTCTTAAGAAGAGCTAAACCATTATTACTTATTTAACATATTTATACAGAATTATCCTCAGGTAACCTAGTGTACATTCAAATTTGTTCAAATCATGACCCCATAGGGGTAGGGCAGTTTCACAACAGCGGATCAAGGTTTACTTAGGGAATCACTGTCTAGTTAGTATAGTATGCCAGAATATTAACGAGGGTGGGAAACATGGGATAATTTGCATAACGGGCGAAGCCCGTTATGTATAAATTATCCCATGTTTCCCACTATCGTTGATATATGTCCCTGGCATACTATACTAACTAGACAGTGATTCATTATATTTCCATTTCATTGTGAAATAAAATTGTTGATTTAGACTTTTAAAATGTAGACATAGATTTAAATTACACGCGGACTCCCATGCCAATTCCAATAGTCCTCGCCCACTGACGGCGTCAAACTATACTAACTAGACAGTGATTCATTATATTTCCATTTCATTGTGAAATAAAATTGTTGATTTAGACTTTTAAAATGTAGACATAGATTTAAATTACACGCGGACTCCCATGCCAATTCCAATAGTCCTCGCCCACTGACGGCGTCAAACACATAGGCAGCCGCACGAGATTTCATGCATATTCGACCTCCTTAACGCCAGACACAGAGACAGATGCGCACGAGATTTGTATGCATATAAGGCCTCCTTAGCTCCGGACCAATCGACCTGCCTTATTTTCATTCCGGTAGAATTATCAAGAAATCAACTTCGCTAACTTTCAAAGAGTTATCACAGAGAAAAAAAAATTAGAAATGGAAATATATAGGGCAAAGCTCTGGGAAAGTCAAGCATACAGAAGGTAGCTGTAGAAGTTTGATGACGAATCAGGAATAAAGTAAGGATATTCGATCCTACTAGCAAACATTTCAATAAAATTGAATACATAACAGGTAGTAGGTGTTGAATACTCAGAATATTAAGAAAATTTCCATTTATTACTATTAACATGTAATACTAGTACACAGTGGATGATTTATACCCAAACCAGTTTTTAAAAGCTTTTGCATTGACATATCCTTTATCTTATACTTCTTGGATTGACGAAGTTCCAAACAATTTTCCACCTATGCTGTTGTTATGTAGACACGTGTGATTCAAAATCCCAAACTGCATTGAAGGAGGAGGGGATGGCAATGAATGCTGTCTTAATATGTGACCAGGGGGCAATCTCTGTGTAAACGAACGTTGTATAGCATCAATGCACTCATTGCCATCCTCTCCTTCTTCAATGCAGTTTGGGACAGTTTGACATGTGTCTACGTAACTAAAGCATAGGTGACAAATCTTTAGCTCTACTGGTCAGGGACCAGAAGAGCTTATGCGATAGTAAGGTGTCCATCCGTCCGTAAACAATTTTTCAAAACGCTACTCCTCCTACAATTTTGGTCTCATTTCAATATAATTTGGCACACAATTAGACTACACTAAGATACATACCGTAGATGAACGATGTTGCCATGGTTACTAATAATAGAAATTTCTGTGAAATTCCTTTAAAACGCTAATCCTCCTGCAGTTTTGGTCTGATTTCAATACAAATTGGCACACAAGTAGACTACACTAAGATACATAATTCTGTATATCAGTTTTTGATTTTGATGAACGGTGTTGCCGTGGTTACTGAAAATAGAAATTTCTGTGAAATTCTTTCAAATGCTACTCCTCCTACAGTTTTGGTCTGATTTCAATATAACTTGGCACACAAGTACTCTACACTAAGATACACAATTCTTTCTATCGGTTTTTGATTTCGATGAACCGTGCTGCAGTGGTTACTAAAATTAGAAATTTCTGTGAAATGCTTTCAAAATGCTATTCCTCCTACAGTTTTGGTCCGATTTCAATATAACTTGGCACACAAGTAGACTACACTAAGATTCATAATTCTATTTCTTGCTGCCTGTTGTAAAGTTTCAAATCCAAGTGCTACTTTTTCTTTGTTATACGTACAGACCAGTAGAGCAACAGTCTCGTCAGAGACTTCTAGTTTGGAACTTTGTTTATCCAAGAAGTGAAAAATGAAACATATGTCAATGCAAAAGCTTTTAAAAACTGCGTGGGTTTATAATCATCCTCTTAGAATTGATGCATCTTAATATTGCTGGCATAATTGTGCCCCTTCCCCACACTGATAAATAATGTCAACATGCAAAAAAGGACATGTCAACATGCACAATAATTAGTGTATGCACACATACGAATCAATTACCGGTATGTTGGCATGCAAGTAACCAGTCTTTTAAAAGAATCTAATTTTAACATTCATTTGGTATTTTCTAACAATGGTAAAGCTTAATTCATTTTGTTTGTCATAGGTTAGTTTCTACATGGCAGACATCCAATACTGTAAAAGTCCAGTATCTAGTAGAAGCTGTGTCTTTTATTACAATTAAAAAGACTAAGAGATAATGTCAATGAGGAACTCCAGTGTCTTTTTAATATCAACAGAACATTGTTATGTACTGCTTTCTGTGGTTCTATTCTCTGTTTGTCTGAGCAGTTAGCAAGTGTATCTCAAGAGCTAGCGCGCTTTAATGGTGTGTTACAACGCACTTTGAAAAATTACGCACTTTGAAAAATTGGGACAACACCAACGCACTTTGAAAAAATAAAATTTCTTTTCAAAGTGCGTTAATATCGACCATTTTAACGCACTATGAAAAAATGTGTATGGCGTGGTCAATATTCTTGCAAATCTTAGGTATGATGAATAATTGAACATGTTTGATAACTCTTCAGTGATTGGGTTGCTTTAGGATGTGAAAGTGAGCGATTTTGATTCTTCCATACTTTGAAAATTCTTTCTCTCTTAAATGTTTTACTGTACTTAATGTTTCCAGTATGCATGCATTTAATATGCAAACTAAAAATTTATTAAAAATTTTCAACGGCATACCAGTTATGCAAATAAATTATATTTGGGTGTAGCATAGGCATCGGTACCGGGAAGGGGGTCTTAGCAACACAAATGTTTTGCATAGATATATAAGCATTGGAAATTGGGGCTTACCTTTGAAGGGGGGTCCACTTTCAATTTTCTACCGACGGCTATGTACAATGTGTAAAAAAAAAAATTGGGCTGAGAGACCTTCTACTCGTCTTCTCCTTGTTCTCAATGAGGTTAAATGAGTACATGTAAATTAAAATGTTTTTCGAAAGAAAAAATAATACAAATTGTTTCTCTCAATTACTATACTAAGATCTCATATGTGTAGCGGAGCGGATCAGAAACCATTGACTTGGGAAGATGGTAAAATGTAACTATAGAGTTTTTGTTTTATACATATTTTTTTTCAAAGTGCGTTAAAAGTCCCCATGGCAAAAATATTTATGTACATTCTTAACGCACTCGCAATTTGAATTTTTCAAAGTGCGTTGAATTTGTCCCAGTTTTAACGCACTTTGAATTTTTTTTTTCAAAGTGCGTTGCCACAATGGTGTTCAATTATTGGGGAAAAAGTAAACACCAATCTTGTATCTTTTAATAGTTTACTGCAAAAGTATACAAATTGCATCTCTCTATCTTTCTTTCTTCTTCAGATAATAGGTTCAAAAACAAATTTACAGGTTAATCGTATCAAGACACACGTTTTCTCAACGTAATTTTTAAAGTAAATCTATTCCTACAACAAGACTAAAATACGTTTAAAATTAGAATCATTCTGTTTATCTTGACCAGAAATCTACAAGCATTAAAAGAATGTCTTACAAGAAAAATTCAGAAAAGTACAAAACATGCCTGAAAAATCAGACATTAAAATGGTTTAATAGATAAGGCAAAAATAAAATCACAATGCTCATCGCTTTGACATGGTGTTAACGCTGCATTTCATTTCCGCAAATATGCATAGCATTTCCGACATTTTTTAAATTTCATTTCCGACATATTTTTTTTTTTCATTTCCGGAATTTACTTGTGCGTACGGAAGCCCTGGAGGGACATTGACATACTTGTTATAACTTATTTGTTTTGTCTTATTTGTTTTGAATATTTTGTTGCCAGTTAAAAACTAATGTAGGTAATCTATTGAGAATGATTAATTGGGGTTTTGTAGTTAAACGTACAGTACTGATGTGATAACTCAATTTTTAACTGTTAATAACGGACGCCTGGAGGGACATTGACTTATTTCTTATGTGTTTTGACTTAGTTCTTATGACTTAATTGTGAATCCTTGTTACTTTAAATTTGTTATCACAAATTTACTTCACAAAAAGTGGCATGAAAAATGGAGACAACGTGTAGTTTCAGAAAAAGATAATGTTATATTTTGATCTTGAATTTATTACAAACGTTAAGATAAAATAGAAGTCATGTTCTTGTCTTCAATCATGATGCAAACTGGGAGTTACATTTAAGAATTAAGTAATATCTTTTAAGAAATAAGAATTAAGTAAACTACAATTCATCAATCAAAAACCACAATTAAAATAGGAATTAACATCATTTTAATTTTTAAAATAAGCCAAGCAATTGGTTCTCAATAGCTTTCTTATACTTAGCTATAACTAGCTACAAAACAATCAAAACAAAAAAGTCAAAACAAATACGATATAACAAATAAGTCATAACAAGTAAGTCAATGTCCCTCCAGGGCTTCCGTATGTGCGGCAATTCAATGCTTTCTAAGTAAATAAAAATGAAATTTTAAAAGTATTTATACCAAAATATTAATAAAAAATAAAAATAAATATCTGTACATATATGCATACATGTAGCACTAAGTCTAGGTAATACATAAAACTTTTCCACCACATTTAATGTACACTTAATTAAAAGTCAGTGACAGCACCATACTTATGTCCAAGTCACTGATAGATTTACAAATTAAATTAGATTTCAATGATTCATTTATGATTTATTCCTTTAAATTTTTCATAAGTTAAGTCATCAAATCCGTTACTATCGGCACTACATGTACATACCTGGCATGTATTTGAAAAATGTCGGAAATGAAAACAAAAAAATGTCGGAAATGAAAACTAAAAAGTGTCGGAAATGAAAAGTTAATAATTACCAAAAATTCCGGATATGAAATGCAGCCGGTGTTAAAAAGATAAACTCCTTAATGACCAGTTAGTAACACTGCTATCTCAATCCGAAGAGCCATGCATTATTACTTCCAAAAAAATTAGTTAAATAAGATTTAAATTGTAAAAATGCGAACTCTTTTAGAATGGAATGTAAGCTATTGACAAACAAGTTGATGAAACAAGAATATCAACAGCCTTGTTTGAAATTATCAATTTTATTATTTCAAACCTTGTCATATTTTATTGGTTGTGCTTGGGATTTTATATTTCACAGGTATATACATTTAATACTAGTCTTTTCCTTGGGTAAGAAAATTTTCAACCTTCACCAAAAGCTGTCATAAGGGGGCTTTAGTGTTTCACAACACATCTCATTTTCCATTTTTGCGTTGATTCACCATGTTCCATTGAACATACAATAAAAGACATAAGAAAGTTCTAGCATGTTTTATTTCTTTGTTTTTACTAGGGGGGGGGGGGGGGGAAGAATAGCAAGTCAAAATACTACTTAACTTTATGATAAATTAGATGACTTCAACTTTTCACCTGCAAGCTTTCCTTGTTTATATAGTTATATATATTATAGCTTGATAACCTGCATTTAGCCTATAGGTCTCCCAGTTGATTAGATATGCAGTTCATTTTCTGTTTGACAATTCCTTAACATAGGCAGGCTACTGACAAATTTGCTGATGATACATGGATATCAATGGATATTGTTTAAAACTCTATATTACATGTACACATATTGTATTATTGGTCATGTATCTTCCTTACATGAGGTTAAATTCTAACCGACTTTCTTCAAATAAATTGTTAGGCCATTATTTTAGTACTTTACTGTCTACTTACCAGATCATGACAAGATACTGAGTGACCATTCAACAAAGAATTCTTAAACCCCAGTCACATTTTCAAAAATGATCAAACTTTTTTTTTAAAAGGCAAAAATAGGATTTTTCCATGTGACAGTCAACAGTACACCAGCCGTTGCCTTGTCCATTTTTTAATCTTTTTTTTTGTCAGCCGACCACCTTCGTAGCAGGCAAGCCAATTATTTATCTTTTTTGTGCAATGGTGGCTGATAGCCTTTGAAATTTGTCTTTGAGCACTCTGTTGACCAACCTTGGATCATCGACCGACCAAGGTCAGAGTTTTTACAGCCTGTTGTTGGTTGGTGAACTTTTAAGAACATCATCCGACAGTGAAAATCAAACTGCTACTTAGCAAAGGATGAAAGGGCAACAGTTGGCCAATTTATCAATATTTCTACTTTTAAAAGCATTGGTGTTCTTAAGATTTAATGAGACATTCTGCATCCCTTGATACTCGCATCGGCCAATTATTTGTTTTCAGCAGACGATAAAGGAATTTAAAATGTGGCCACTCCACCATCAATTAAAGTCTAATGGAATTTCATCAATTATTGAAAGACATCATCTCTAGTCTAGACAGACATTTTCAATGAGGAACCTCCAGCATCTATATCAACAATACTCTGTTGATCAGGCAGTTCTAGAGTTACATTGTCTGCTTTTCTGTTCTGTCTCTGTTTAGCTAAAATAATCCAGTGTACCTCAAGAATTAAATATGTCTAACCGGCTCCATGTTTAATTGTTTTAAATATGTCCAACCCGCTCCATGTTTGATTGTAAAACAAAGTAAACACCCACTTTGTATCTTCTAATAATTTACTGTAAAAGTATACAAATTGCTTCTCTCCCTCTCTCATTATACATGTACATTTATAAATATATTTTTGGCTTTTTTAAAGCCCTATACATCATGGTGTAAAAATTTCTTCTCTTAAAATTGTCTTACAATATAATCTCTCTTTCAAAAGATACATGGAGTGTTGTTAAGCCTAACTTATTGATGAAATCTGTCTTACACTGCACTTCAGTTATTTGGAGCAAAATATTCAAAGATCATAAAAACTATGATGCTATTGTACACACAAATGTTAAGTACCCAAATTACTCAGAAAAAATATTATGCTTTTTCCTTACCTAGCTGACTCTTGATCTGCTCAAGTGCTTCCTTAAACAGGTGTATCAAGAACAATCAAGGTACAAATCAGATGACATGGTTATCAATAAAATAAGATATATTAAAATAAAACAATTGTAGAATTTTACTGGCATCAGATCACTGGAGTGGAAATAAATTCACATATAAACTATGCAAAGAATGCTCCCTACTTGCTTGATCACAACTTTGAACACATAACTATGAATAACAATTTTTAAAATAATACATGTACCATCAAAAAACGCTCAATGATCTGTTTGAAAATATAAAAATTTTCCAGAAATTTCTTTCACTGAGTGTTTTCTAATGGACTGTGACCCTATAGAGAGCCCTCCATGAACTATGACCCTGAAGAATGCTGCTCCTTGAACTATGACCCTGTAGAGTGTTGCTCCATGGCAACCTCCACAGAATGACCTGCTACTTTAACAATGTCATTAATATTGGCCACTGTAGCACCAGCTGCTGATATTGGTGTCATGGCAACCTGTACATGTTGAGAGTCACTTCCTGTAGACATGCCGACTGTTGCCCCGGTAATTGTTTGGTACATGGATACAGGGATGGTAACTATTCCTGTTCAGAAAACAAAGATTTCACAATAAAAAAACTCTTATTTTTTGCAACAATTTCTTGATCTCAGATGGACAGAAGAGAAAACACAGTATTTACAAATGGATAATTAAAATAAAACTCGGAACAAACCTCCAATATGAGAGTCATCTGCTAAAATGATTTGGTGACCTTGACTGATGGGGAGGGCATTGACCTGGCCTGTTTCTGGGTTCATCTCCATGGTGATGGGCTGTGTTGTCATGCCCTGAGGGACCTCGTGATGAGTCGCTACATCTGCCAGAGTCTGCACTGCCTGTGTAGCCTCCTGTTGACCAATGTTGGGGATCTGTAATGAATACAATTTCAAGGATAAAATTTCTTTGTTTTAACAAAACTTTAAATTCATTGAATTGATTGAATATATTTGATTCTATAAATTAATTTAAGTCCTATACATCCCTGTCCTACAAATATCTAGGCCACAAGAAAAAGTGAGCACAAACTACAGGTGATACAGTTAATTAAACTGTTTCCTGTTATATTCCTTGTAATATCCCTAAGTATTGATGCATACTTTAAGCATTACAAAGAGAGACTTACAGCATGTACAACAGTGGCCTGAGTACCATCAGCCAGAGTGACCACGGACTGTGGAGACGTGTCGATCTGTATAAAGGACACCGTGCCATCAGGGTTGTTAATAGTCTGTACCATGGTCCCCGTGAAGGCCTGGGCATGGGGGAGAGGCTGAGAGGATGGCCCAGAGTTCTCCTCACTGAAGACATGAAGAAGGTCTTCCCGTCCATGATGCTTGTAGCAGTTCTTAACAATGGCCCGCAATGCCTCAGTCCAAGATACCTTAGTTAAAAATTTTTTTTAATTAAATGTAGATCATTTTCAAGTTCTCAGAATTTTTTTTTGTTTGAAAATCATTTTTGTTTTCTTGGTTGAATCTGATTATGAAATTTGGTGATAAACAAACTAAAAAGTTTTTTCTTATAATAGAACAGGACCAGTTAGCTGTACCAGGGGCTGACAAATAGATTTTTCAAGCACTTGCCCACGGGCAAGTGCATGGTCAAATTTCACTTGCTCTACTTCAGTTTTTACTTGCCCCACCAGCACTTTATATTCATCATAATGAATTAATTTGTCTCTAAATCGAAAAATTTTGCAGCCTAGGATTGTCGTTTTGAATATTGGCGACATTTAAAACCACCTGCCATTAAGTACTACGTACCATACAATCTACTGATTGATTGTTTGCTGTTTTACGTCCAGTTTGAGAATTTTCCACTCATATAGAGACGTAAAATTGCTATCATTTTTCAGCTATAGTCATGATATCTGCTATTTGTTTAAAATAATGGTTTCAGATCTTTGTTTTTTTTCTTCTCATACCTGGTATGCTTAGACGGTTTTGTACTGAGTTTTTCACTAACATTGTAACAGTTATGGAAGATGTACTTATCATCAGCTTTCGATCGTTTATTGCCTCATAACTGTCAAAACTTTCTCCATTTCTCCAATGCCAATTTGTCACTTTCAATTAAGTACAAATACATTACTTAAAACTTTTGGTAAAACTTGTAATGATTTGCATAATGATGACACAATTAAACTGGTTCGCATATGAAGTTTGACAAACAAAGGAAGATAACTCTTACAACAAAATAATTTTAATTTCGTGGAAAACTATGACATTTTTAAAAATATTTATTGATTGATTTTTTTTAAGTCACTTGCCCTCGGGCAAGTGCCTATTAAAAATTCACTTGCCCTCCTCTAAAATTCACTAGCCCTAGGCATCGGGCAATGGGATTTGTCAGTCCCTGTGTTCAAGAATTGATATATCAAGGGATTGTAATTTTTGCAAAAAATGACCCCAAAAAATGAATTACATGAAATTACTGAAGCCACAGCATCAAGCATTGGAAAACAACCTAAATATTTTGATTTTCCTCCATAATACTTTAATTTGTATTTTTATTGAACATACCTTTCTCTTTTCCTCCTCGGTGCGGGCATCACTCCTCACGTTCTGCCAGGGGAGATCTGAGGGCCACCATACCGGGCGACACTCCTCCTTCCCCCACCCTGGTTTACTCCTCCCTGTGGAGTACTTCAGCATCTCAGGAATAAAGTTCCTCAGCTGGGCCTGAAAATTGATCAGTTTTATCAGTTTACTACACTGAAGCTTTCTCTTTCAAAGGGAGACAACTGGTCAAAATTCTTTTAAATATTGGATAAAAATATGATTTGTTTGAATAGGAAAACTCATATTTTAGATCTTATAAACTGAATTCCCAATGTCACAACTTACATTAAAAGCTTATGAATCCGCTTGATATTATAGTTATAACATATTCTTTAATAGGCATTTAAGGAGGCCGAGTGGGGTTTTATTGTGTGAAAACTACAATAGCGAAGCTCTTCATTTTTACACCATAATATAACTTACATAAACTTCTGTGTACATGCCAGATTTAGGGGAAATCTAACGTCCATGAATTTTTAAGGGACCGTCTCAAAAAACAGGTACATTTACTATAGGATTATATAAGAAAATGTCAAGTTTTAGCACTTTAAAGCAAATTATGCAAATACAACAATAGACATTTTCTTCAAACTACAATATATGATGAGTAATCCTATATTGTACATTATATCTATATGTAAGAAACACAAAATTCTACCGTCTTGTTACCAGAGGGGGGCATCTCGAAATGCCAAAACTTAACGAATTTTCCTGTTTTTTAGAGTACGACAAAATATGACAGACAAAAAGGATTTATATGAAAACATAATAAAAATAATGGAGATATTCTCAAATTTCTATGTTTTAAATTTGAAGAGCGTATGTTTATTACTTTTTCTTTTATAGCATTTTTATTACCCCATTCTGAGCTTCAGTTTATCAAAACATCAAAAATAAGCTGTAACGACGTCAACCTACCTATTAATTGCAAAATCGGTTAAAAAATCAGTTATACAAAATTGTAATTATATTTTTAAACCTATAATTTCTTAATTTTGTTTAATTGTATTAATTAAGCGAAAAAAGTTGCTTTAAAACAGTAAATACGCTTCATTTTACTATGATGCGCAAAATATTGCGCAACGAAAACCACAGTCGGCCCCTTAAAAGTAAAAATCATTTTATTTGATATTTCATAAAATTTAATTCTAAGCATAGCTTGAGAAACAATATACATACAAGAGGCCCATGGGCCACATCACTCACCTGAGCATTGTGGCTAGGAAAAAGTAGTAATTGGTTTACTATTGAAAAGTTTTAGGGTCATGATTTGAACAAACTTGGCTTCCATATTATGAGCAAAATTCTTGAGAAGAAGATTATTAAAGAATTTTCCTATATATTTCTATATAAAACTTTGGTCGGCTATTGTGGCCGCCCTACCCCCGGGGGTCATGATTTGAACAAACTTAATTCTACATTACCTGGGGATGCTTCCATAAAATTGTAATTATATTTTTATATATTTCTATGTAAATCCCCCATTGTGTTACCCCCGGGGGTATGATTGTGGACAAATTAATCTACACTACCTGGGGATGCTTCCACATAATATGAGCAATTCTGGCTTTGCTGTTCTTAAGAAGAAGATTTTTAAAGAAATATACTATGTAAAATCGGCCATTTTGGCCCTGCCCTACCCCCGGGGGTCATGATTTGAACAAATTTTTATGCTTCCATATAAATATGACCAATCATGGCTTTGCTGTTCTTGAGACGAAGATATTTAAAGATTCTTCCTATATATTCCTATTTAAAACTTTGGTCGGCCAAATTTGAACAAATTGAATCTACACTACCTGGGGATGCTTCCACATAAATATGAGCAATTCTGGCTTTGCTTTTCTTAAGAAGAAGATTTTTAAAGAATTTTCCTATATATTTCTATATAAAACTTTGGTCGGCCATTTTGGCCCTGCCCTACCCCCGGGGGTCATGATTTTAACAAATTTGAATCTAAACCTGGGGATGCTTCCATATAAATAAAATCATGGCTTTGCTGTTCTTGAGAAGAAGATTTTTAAAGAATTTTCCTATATATTTCTATGTAAAACTTTGGTCGGCCATTGTGGCCCCGCCTACCCCCGGGGGTCACGATTTGAACAAACTTGAATCTACACTACCTGGGGATGCTTCCATATAAATGTGATCTGCTATTCTTGAGAAGAAGATTTTTAAAGAATTTTCCTATACATTTCTATATAAAACTTTGGTCGGCCATTGTGGCCCCGCCCTACTCCCGGGGGACATGATTTGAACAAACTTGAATCTACACTACCTGAGGACGTTTCCCCATAAGTTTCAACTTTCCTGGCACAGTGGTTCTTAAGAAGAAGATTTTTAAAACATACCACCAATATACAAAAATCCCCAGCGGTTCTTGAGAAGAAGTCGAAAATGTGAAAAGTTTACGGACAGACAGACAGACGGACAGACAGACGGACGCCGGACAAAATGTGACAGAAAAGCTCACTTGAGCCTTCGGCTGTGTCATTTTATCTACAGGTGTGGGGATTCCATCAATGTTCAGGGGAGGTAACTCATGAAGCCCTGACGTGTCTGGCTGGGTGGGCGGGGCTTGTTCATTTAGAGACTGCTCCAGTTCCTGGACGATCATACTCTTGTTGTTCCTCATCTATTTGTATATAAAATTATTATAGCACTCCATTCTTAAAATTTCTAAATTAGTAAAAGTCAGTAAAACAGTATTCTAAAAATTGTATGCTTATCAAACATTACATCTATACTTTTCAACAGCAAGCTTGCCTATAATATTGACTGTGAACATTACTGTAAATCATTATTTTAAAATCGCAAAAACTCTATTTTGTCAATATTTACTTGAGAAGGTGTACTTGTAAAAATTGTGTTCTTGCATATTTTTATTATATTAATAGTTATATTTTACAAAAACAACCAAACCCATAATTGTGGAAATTTTGTCTCATTTATATATATCAAATACCTATATAGCTAAAATAAAAATTCACAAAAATTTGTTAATCTACAGTTCTTGAGGACTTCTGACTGACTTACTTACCACTCCCTCTAAGGGCTGTGAACCAAATACTTTGAAGGCGTTGATGGACTGACTCATTTTTCCTGGAGTGACACATAACACCACCGCTTGCTGTCCAATGCGAGTATTGTACTCATCTATAGTTGCCTTCAGCTTCCTGAATCAAAATAAAAAGAAAATTCTTCCTGTAGTTTAAGTCCCATTGAAGTCTATAGAATAGATAATGATAACAGAAGTTTTATTCAAGAATTTGAATTATGATCTATGAGCTGCCTTAACATTCCTTTGTCAGTGTGTGTGATACTCATATATGTTGTTATACCTTTAAAAATGTGTTACTATACAAATCTATTCTATGGTAAAAAGTCTAACATTTCTAATGTTTTACTGAGCGGGCATAAAAAAAAGTTTGACCGCTGAGTGAGATGTTGGACCGGTCAATGAGATGTTGGACCTCTTACGTCACACAATCTATAGGACTTAATCTCATTTGCATTTGTTGGTGTTTAACAGTGACGGACCTGAGGTTTACATCAAGGAAGACAGTACAAGATACATGTATGTCGAAAAAGTTGAAATAAAATTTATAACAAAACATTTATTGACCGTGTTCTCCAGCTAAATGCGTTTTGTCAACCCTCTAACCAAACTGTCTAATGGCCTCAGGCAGACAGTTTGGTTCTTGGGTCCGACAAAACACACGTTGCCCTCAAACCCAGTCAATACATGTAAAGTGTTAGCATTTGACTAAATATTTTTTTATTTCCTCTTACATGCTATCATGTTCTTGTAATAGTACAATTCTCCATCATCCTTGGACTTTCAGTAAGGCATGGCATTCTTGACGTTACAGCCTTTTTTTCACTGTTAAAATGTGATGGTACAAGTTTTTACCTGAGAAGTCGAGTTTGTTGTCGTTTTCTCTTGGAGGGATTGGTTTCAAAATGATGGGGGTGTTTTCGTTTTTTACCAGAAGCAATGGCTGCCGCTGCTGCCACTCCTATTGGACCTGTTTTCAAACATTGACTTGTTAGCACAGTGTAAAAGCAGAAGTTTGTTGTGAATGCTTAAAATGTGACAGCACTGTCTGCCTAGGTAGTTTCACCATTCCTGACAAATTTAACCCTATTAACTTTTGTCAATAAAAACAAGATGTAACTGAAACACAAATATCCTTAGAGAGCCATTTTTACTGAGAAGCAATCAAAAAAGCAACAAATTAAACAAATTTTAACAAAATAAATTAAACACCGGTAACTACAAGCCTCAATATCATTTGAAAATAAAATAAACCTGCGGCAGCTAGCTGGGCTGTGACATCGTCCTGGACTGATGTACTGAGGAGGTCTGAGGCGTCAAATGTGGAACTATCGGGAGAGCTGGGTTCACTCAGATCGTCACTCATCATGCCCGAGCTGATGTGGCCCATCTGTTGAGTGTTGATGGTGATAGCGTTCATGTTACCCATAGAGATCCCACCCCCTCCTGAGGAGGTCACCTGATATGACATATTCATCGTCTTAAAACTGCGATCTGCGTAGTTAAACTGCTGGGAATAGTGTTCTGTGGAAAAGGAAAAAAAAATATGGACGACATTGAAATTTTGTAACATGCTGCAATTTAAAAATAGAAAACTTATTTTAATAAACAATTTGAATTTTTGTGTGTAACAGGAAAGGAGAAAATGTATAGCTAGACTAGGCATTGAACTTGGGACCCTTGAATCACTCACCTGTCTGATATTGAGTTACATGTAATTACAATCGGAATGGGATTAGCAAGACAGTCGGTAGAGCACTTGACTACTGGTAAGACTCCTGGGATTGACTCTCAGTCCAGCATATGTTTCATGCTTTCCTGTCCCATAATTTGGTGTCATTGACCATGCTAGCTGCAGATCTGTAGCGTTATGGTTTTATGATATTTGTCTTTGACCATAACGCTACAGATCCCGCAGTGCAAAAAAGGTGCAATTTATGGCGCAATATTTTTTGCGCTCTTTTGGGGAGAATTTCTCCGCATTTAAGGAATAACTGTCTTATTTTTCGAATTCATGAAGTGATCAATGGATTGGCTTGTGTGATAATTTGCATAAACGCCGAAGGCGTTTATGCATAAAATTATCACACAAGCCAATCCATTGATCATCTTCATGAATTCGAAAAATCTGACAGTTATTCCTTATATTTACATGCTTTGATTCCGCCAATCCACGGGCTCCAAGCCTGCTTCTCTCTAGGTGTTGTCCCGCCCTGCACGTGGTTTTTTTTTGGAACCGCGCCAAGACATTCATGAGGAAATAAATTACATTTACAATTGGTAATTTTATCTCGGACAAAGACATTGGAAATGTAAATATTGGTCAATCAACTACCTTTCACTCCCTAATTCTAGACACATTCTGTATCCAATATGTATAGTTTATCCACCTCCCAACCATTTATAGTTGTCTCTACAGGCAATAAACTCGCTTGAAGTGAATTTTCAGTAATCTAACAAATAATTTTAATCAAGCAAGTTTATCACTTGTAGAGACGACTATAAAGGGTTGGGAAATGGATAAAATATACAGATTAGTTCAATAATGTGTCTAGAATTAGGGAGTGAAAGGTAGTTGATTGACCGATGCTAGAAAGTGGAGAAATTCTCCCCAAAAGAGCGCAAAAAATAATGCGCCGTAAATTGCACCTTTTTTGCACTACGGGATCTGTAAGGTTATGGTCAAAGACAGATATATAAAACCATAACGCTACAGATCTGCAGCTATGACCATGCTTGGAATCGAGTCCTGTCGGGGCAATTTTTTTTAATATATTCATTTTCAAGTATATTACATACATGACTATTAAAAACATCAATATTAATATTAAGGATCAGACTTTTGACTTGTCTCTGTATAATATTGAGGTATACAGTAGAACTCGGTTGTAACGAACTTCGAAGTCACTGGGACCTATGAAATTACTTCGCTATATCAGTAATTCATTATATCCGTAAAAGAAATTCGTTAAATTTATCATGTTTACATAGCTGGGGATCAAAGATAACTTCGCTATAACCGTGAATTCGCAATATCTGTGTTCGTACTAAACGAGTGTTGCTGTATAAGGAGCATAGGGACATCAAACAAGGCTCTAACATATAGGAGTAGGGCAATAAGAATTGGGTTGTGCTTTTCTTAGTGTTTCTGGGTATGGGAAGTGGTTGAGTAATGGGTATGGATGGCTTCAGACAGAGACATTATGTCTCTGCTTCGGATAAAAATATTAAAAAAGCGAGCATATGATCATATAGGCCTACGTCAAGTTCATTCTTTGTTATGATAATCAATTTTATTCAACAGCATTTCAGTTTTCATCTCCATAACTTAGTGTCTTTTATAAATCACCATTGTGTGGAAGTGGAACCCACAGTTAACTACCAGCTAATGGACAAGAATAACAAAAGAAAGGGAAATAAATCCTACAGCAGATACGGTCTGATCGCCATTTTTGTTTGACTTTATTTCTGGGTAAAAGGAGTGTAAATTCCTACAAAAATGCTAAAACACGATTAACACCGTATGTAATCTACATGAAAATACAAAAACAAAATAAAAGTTCTACTGCGCATTCAAAATATGGACAGGCTTACATGCGCATTCAGCTTTACGGGCGGGGGACAGAGAATGCGACTGCGCTGGAGTGTGCGCGCACTCGCCCAAAACAACGGGCACCTGCCGAGCACATGGAGCTAAAAACGTGTTCTTGTCACTACCAAATATCCCCTACCTCTATCTTATATTGGTGAAAATAATTCTTGGGACCGTTGAGTTTTAGACACTTATCATAAATTATTCAACCGCGTCATTACTTGGATGTGTTTCACCAAATCACTTCAGCTTAATTGCTGTTTTGTCCGACCCGATCACTTACAGCTTCATAAGTTCCAGAAAAATGTTAAGACACATTAAAACCGTTACACTTCCATTATGAAGACTTACCATTCACATAATATCAATAATCGTTCTTCAGTTGATGTTCTTTCTTCGGAGATCGTATATATTCCTGCGCCTCAATTTCATTCACCCGACTTACCGTTTTCTACAAATCCTGCCGCATAAACAAATAGTCCAGAATTGTCCGTATTATAAATCGGAACGGTGATGTCTTTCAAAATTCTATAATATATTTTTAATCATAACAATTGTTTCGTCCTTAGTTAAAACTTTTTATTTCAATAAAGAAATATTTTTACTATAAGTTATACACAAATCAATGGGATTTCAAACTTTTAAAGGGTTCTTTGAGTTTTTAAAAATAATTATTCTTTGACATATTCCCAACGTATCACAACTGAAAACTCCAAAATTAAAGCTAAAAACAAATTTAGGATTTTTCAGTTGTGTTTTATTTTATTTACTTTGTGAACTATGTCATAAAACAGTCCAAAGAACCTTTGGGGTTACGGAACACGGGGCGGGGTCCCGTCCCAAAGCACCTGTGATTCAAACTCCTGAGGTTACACATGATACAGAATCATCATCGTGAAAGGGGAGAACAGGTAAATAGAAATGCTTTAACATTTAAGCGAAAGTATTGGAGAAAAATCCATTTGAAGAAAAATAAAACAGGCAAATTCAAAGAATTGTGGCCCCCGCTTTCGGTGTCTTTTAGCTGCAGATCTGTAGCGTAATGGATATATTTGTCTTTGACCATAACGCTACAGATCCGGTAATTCAAAAAAGGTGTAATTTACGGCGCAATATTTTTTGCGCACTTTTGGGGAGAATTTCTCATCTTTCCAGCATCGGTCCTTTCAACCCTTAATTCTAGGCATATTATTTAACTAATCTGTATATTTTATCCATCTCCCTACCCTTTATAGTCGTCTCTACAAGTGATAAACTTGCTTGATTATAATCAGGCGCGTAGCCAGCATGGAAATAATGTGTACTCAGAAAACGGTCAGGGGTCTGGGGGCCGCCCTGAGGCCCCCAGTGGGTCCAGGGCGAAGCCCTGGTGGGGGCCCAGGGGGCGAAGCCCCCGGAAGCTCCTGGATTTTTCAGTCATTTTCCCGCAAAAGAAATCAGGCTACCTTTCTTTTCTCGAGCAAATACTTAGCTAAGTTAATGCTTTCATGGGTATATCAGAAAGAGAACGATAATTAAATCAAATTATTTTACACATTTTGGGGAAAAAAGTATCCAAACGTGACAAGATAAACAGAGAAGTAATTTCAATACCGTTATCATTGGAGTTTAAATATATCAAAATATAAACGGGGCTTGGGTCTTTTGTTTATTTATATATTTTGATGGCTTATACAAGGTGAGAATGCTTAAATAATAATTCTATAAAATGGTAACATCCGCAAAATAAGATTTTCAAACATGATCTTTATTATTATTTACTCTGTACTTTGTTCAGCGTATTTTAAAATTTACCATTTTTTGTTTAACTACATTTATTTATTGCCTCCACAGAAATTGAAAATCTTATATAGTAGTCCAACGGATTTACAGTTGAACATTTTGGTTCAATTATATTTTCTCTTCCTCAATAATATTGGAATAAGTTTTTGGAATTTGAATTTATAAAAGACTTTGAATTTGATTGCACAGACATCCTGAATAAAATTTGAATCGAAACAATATGACGCAAAATACTTTGAAACACGGATCATAGTGCCTTTTTTTCTCTCCGAATAAATCTTTTTTTTCTTTCTTTTTCTTTTCTTCTTCTTTTATTTTCTTTCTTTTTTTCTTTTTTTTTGTTGTTGAAAATGATGTGTACGCACTTGCGTACTTGCGTATAGGCAGCTACGCGCCTGATAATTATTTGTTAGATTGCTGAAAATTAATTTCAAGCGAGTTTATTGCCTGTTGAGAGAGCTATAAATGGTTGGGAGGTGGATAAAATATACATATTGGCTACAGAATGTGTCTAGAATTAGGGAGTGAAAGTAGTTGATTGACCGCTGCTGGAAAGTGGAGAAATTCTCCACAAAAGTGCGCAAAAAATTTGCCGTAAATTGCACCTTTTTTGCATTACGGGATCTGTAGCGTTATGGTCAAAGACTAATATATAAAACCATAACGCTACAGTTCTGCAGCTAGGTGTCTTTGTGGATGAGATGTTTTTTTTTTAATATAACAAATTATGTCAAATATGAACGCCCTATCAAACGTCCTTTACAAGTTATCACCTATGTTAAATTTTTTTTGAAAATTAGGTCAATCGTGAAGGTCAAGAGGTAAGAAATCATAGCATGCTCGGAAATATCTTCTCACAGGCACACGGTAATGCATATGTCAAATATGAAAGCCCTATCTCTTCTTAATCAAAAGTTATAAGGAAAAATTTACATTTTTTAAAGTAGGTCAAACATCAAGATCATGAGGTCAAAAATTATAGTGTATATTAAGAAAGGTCTTGTCACAGGTAGGGCTGGGTATTGGCCAGAGATTTCGTATTGCGATATATTGCGATATTTTTAATTGTATTGCAATATGTATTGCAATATTTTTAATGAAAATAAAATGGCATTTTCTTCTTATATTGACTTTCATTTCTATGCAGAATGTACATAACTATGATAATTTACCCAAAGAAAAAAAATCTTGTTGATTTTTGTTAAGCTGTGCTCTGAAATACAACCATAATACAGCTTCTGTCTTACTGTTTGGCTTCATAACAAACCTTTCTAACATTTATTTTTATACTTAATGTTAAAATTCCTTAGTCTAAGAATTTTGCCGAAATATCGAAATTACAAAAAGGTATTTCAATACGATATTTTTTTGTCACTGTATTGCAATATATTGAAATATTGATATTTTTGCCCAGCCCTAGTCACAGGTGATATACATGTTCAATATGAAAGCCCTACCTTTTCTCATTCGAAAATTATGGCCAATTCAAAGTAATGTTTATTATTATTTTTAAGTAGGTCAAACTTAAAAGTCACGGGGTCAAAAATCCTCGTGTATTTAGAAAGGTCTTGTAACAGGTAATATACTTGTGTAATATGAAAGCCCTATTTCTTCTCATTCAAAAGATATACTTACTTACTTACTTATCCCTTTTGGGGCATAGGCCGCTGACAAGATTCCTCCAGGCCCCTCTATCCTGAGCAATGCTTTCTACCTTCTTCCAGTTCTTCCCCATTCTTTTGACATCTGCCTCCAAGACTCTCCGCCAGGTGCGCTTTGCCCCCCCCCCCTTACGTTTTCCTTGGGGGTTACAGGATAGGGCTTGCCTTTTGATGTTCTTTATGTGGCTTGCGTAGAGTATGCCCTATCCACCTCCACCTTTTCGGCAATATTTCTGCTTCTATAGGGGTTTGGTTTGTTCTTTGCCTTAGACTGGTGTGACCTATTTTGTCGGGCCATCTAATCTGGAGGATGCGTCTCAGACAAGAGTTGACAAATGTCTGGATCCTGTTTAATGTGGCAACAGTCATCCTCCATGTCTCGGAATCATAGAGAAGCACGGCCTTAACATTGGTGTTTAAAAGTCTGACTTTGATGCATGCTGTTATTCCCTTGGTCTTCCAGACGTTTCCCAGTTGCAGGCATGCTGCTATGGTCTTTCCTATTCTTGCCTTTATGTCAGCTTCTGTTCCTCCTTGTTGGTCCACTATACTGCCAAAGTAGGTGAAATGTTCAACTTCCTCTATTTCCTGACCTTCTATATTTAATGGAGCATGTGATAGTGTGTTTGCTCTTAGGATCTTTGTTTTTGTGATGTTGATGTTGAGTCCTGTCTGTGCTGATGTTTCTACCACTGTTGAATTTTCTCCTGCATTTGTGCCTGGGTATGTGATAGGAGTGCCAGGTCATCCACAAAGTCTAGGTCGTCTAGCTCTGACCATGGTGTCCACTGTAATTCATTTCTTCTATCGTCTTGTATGATTTCATTATCCAGTCTATTGCAAGAAGAATCAGAAAGGGTGACAAAAGACATCCCTGACGAACTCCTTCAAATGATTCCGTCAGTTGTCCTCCATGTATGACCCTGCATGTCAGGTGTTCATAGGAGTTGCGGATGATATTTACCAGTTTACAAGGAACTCGATAACGTTGCAGAAGTTTCCATATTATCTCCCTGTCAACACTGTCAAAGGTTTTCTCGTAATCTATGAAGTCTACATAGAGGGAGAAGTTCCATTCAGCACATTCCTCGATGATAATGTGCAACGTTGCTATCTGGTCCGTACAAGATCTATTTTTACGAAATCCAGCTTGTTGGTCACGTAACTTATCATCCACTTCTTCTTTCATTCTGCTCAGTATGATCCTGTTAAATACCTTCCATGGAACATCCAACAATGTTATTCCACTGTATCGCTGAGGTCTCCTTTTTGGCAGCTTGATGAGGAATGCTTCTTTCCATTCTTCTGGGATTGTTTCTGCCTCCCATATTTTCAGAAAAAGTGGGTGGAGTATGTTGGCTGAGTTGTCAAAATCAGCTTTAAGTGCCTCGGCTGGAATATTATCAGGCCCTGCTGATAGACTTGCCATTCCTCACCTGTTTCAGGGTTATTTGGATTTCCTCCTTAGTAGGAGGTCCCCATTCTATGTCTAGGTCTTCGTCTGCTGGTGTAATGTTAGGAGGGTTAGGTCATATCAAAAGATATGACCAAGGTTAAAGTTTTTGTGACGGACGGACAGACTGACAGACGGACAGACGAATGAGATTTAATGTCCCCTCGCTTTCGCGAAAGCGGGGGACAACAAGAGATGGAGACCCATGGGTCATACCGATCCTCAGGGCATTGTTATGTCTCTCCTTGTTCTTTATCAGCAGCCCCCCCCCCCCTATATAAATTCCTTTGTAAAATTTGGGGGGAAATGGTGGCTCCACCCTACCGTTATGCAGTTGTCACGAGCTAAACAAACTTTTATCTGAGAGTGCTTCCTTATACAATCATGTTATAAATAATCATGGCTTTGTTGTTCTACAAAAGTTTTTTTTTAAATCTAAGGGCCATCATGATACTAAGTACTATAGAGATAAAAAGCTTTTCAATTTCCGTTTTTTGAATTTTGCATTTACGTTGTTCTCGTTACGTTACGCCTGACAGTCTTAGGACCAGGTACTGCATGTATGATGGATTCCAAAACTCCTTTAAAATCCTTACAAAGATACATAGCGGGTTCCAGTCTCCAAGCCTCTGCCTTTGCCTTCTCACTCCTCAGTCCTCACAGAAAAAAATTACAGCGATGAAGGAGAAACTTCATGAGTACTACTGTATGTAACAGTATATTCGACAAATAGTGTAAATAATATTTTTGGATACTTATATACATAATAACATATATATAACATAGAAAATGGAACATGACAACATTTTACCAAAATTAATAATAACAAAAAGTACGTGCGCCTTTTGAACACTTTTATACAACTATTCCCCATAACAAATGAATGTCTCTCTATATATTTCTTCCAAAAAGATTTAAACCATTTTCAATATAATGTAAATTAGAAAGTAATTAACAGAATTGAATTTTGGTCTTAGGCGTAAGTTGAAGATCATGCCTAATTCAACAATCTGTTGGAACTCCGATGGATAACAATGACACCCCATTATTAGCAGACGCACATGAAGCAAAATTAATATTAATTCAAAACTGCTACATGAGAAGAAGAAAACACTTGCTGTGGCCTTCAGCTCGACCATTAGATGTCTCGACGACATAATTTTATTATCAGTTACCAATCATAACGTCATTATGTCAATTCGATATATCTTAAACTCAAAAAAATAAAAGAAACCACAAAGTCTGAAACACATTTCCTACGTACGATCAATTTTTAAAACAAGACAAGCTGTATACTAAAATGTTCATGAAACAACGTATCAATAGCCTTGTTTAAAGTCATAGTTTTGCATGTTAGATGGAAATACAATATCCGTGTTTGCTCTGCTCCTGATTTGTATCTTTCAAATGTCTTTTGGGCTTTCAAGAATACTGCTCGTTATCTTCATATTTAAGGTTCATAAACCCTCTGCTCACTCATATGAAATTTTTCTTTAACTTTTATGATTTTTCAAAGGAAATGTATATGCTGAATAAAATACAAACAATTATAGCATGGCTTGCGGGGCAAAATTTGACAAAAAAGGCACTTAAACTTGACAAATTTATGAAGGAATAATAGACATTTGTGTCATTAAGAGTTATCTCTCTTATCAGAGTATCAATGTACCTTAAATGGAAAATTGTTAAAGTTAAAACCAGTGTAGCTAAAATCAAAATATTTATCAGTAAAAGTTTTTTTTTCAATCTATCGATCCTTTTAAGGACTTTTTCTATTTTGTTTTTAATTTTTACGTCGCATAATAGTTCTTTAATAACCGAGAAAATGAATTATCTTAGATATTATAGTTTTAAAGATAATTGATAAAATATCATCTTTATCTAAAGACGATATTTTATCATTTATTAATTATTTTATTTATATCTTTATATATGAATATAGTAATTAATTAGGATTTTAACCTTAGAATTTCGATGTTTAAAACTTGTACAAGATTCTTGTACAACAAGTGTTGACAGTAGGTCAGCTGTTGACAGTGGAAGACATTCTCTGGTTAGAAAATAGATTGTACAAGTGTATATGTACGAAATATTTTAATTTGTTTTAAAATTTAAAAGTTTAGATGACGTTATGATCGACACAGAAATATACGTTTCAAATAATAACATAAATAAAATGTAGTGTAATTTTGTTTCTTGTTTTAGTTTAATTTTTTTTTTGACCCTTTTAAATGTTAAATTTAATTCTTTTACGTCGGATCTCCATCTCTTTCAAATTGTTTAATCTTAATGTATTTAAAACAGGCACGGGAAGCGTTAAGAGGAAATGGGGTTTAAGATTTAATGAAGCGCATGTATAATGGGTAGACAAGTTGCAGTCCTTTAAAAAAGGACTGCAATACGTGGACCATATGCATGTGTTTCTAACCGAAATTCAATTTAAGAAAATTTCTAGGTGTAATGAATATTTATGTAGGTTTGTTCACAATTTTTTTTTTTACAATGATCTGCTACTTATGACTGATTGTAGTCTCTAAGCAAAATTGTTAAATTTTATCTCCGATTAGCCTTTAGTTTTGTCAGTTTAAAAAATCGGGCTATTTCGATACATGTAACCCATAACGGCCAAGACTTGACAACTGTTCTGGATTTATACGGAAGAAATCTATCATGGGAAAAATAGATCTGATGGTACACGTGTAGCACAGCTCTGTAGTATGCAGATTTGTTTTGTCGAAGCCCCCCCACTCCCCATTAAAAACCTTTGCTACAGACTTCTATCAAACGGTATTTGGATTGCTGAAATATCAAATTATTTTGCGAGCCTTCATGCTTAAAACTAATGCCGGTGAAAACTTGTTATATCTTTTAAAAGCTAGAACTATTCGTTGAATGACGTTTTTTTATTCAAGTTGTTAAGTTACATGCATCTTTATACTGCAAGTTCTTCCTGCTTTTTTAAATGCTTGTGCCATAGAATCAATTTTAGTTTGTATATAAAAGTATAATTTATGTATAAGAGAGAAAATCGGATCCGCTAATGAATATATAAATACGATATGCGGATCGCGATTTGCCGATGAAAGGCATATTCGAATAGAGCGAATTATTCTACGGGCAAGTTGCCTAAGGGACGAACTCTCTAGCATTCTCGCGCATGCGTAGCCTGTCGTTTGCCCATGGCATCTGGTTTAACCTCGGTTATATATTTACTGCGTGGACCTCAGGGTCCACGCAATAAATTTCTACAATTAACAACAATTTTCTTGTGATGATATAAAATTCAATTTTGATTGTGACGCGTCATTTGATTGGATAAAAAAAAAGGCCTCCTTAGCTCCTGGTATATCGCTTGGCGAAATTAACATTCCGGTAAAATGGTCAAGAAATCAACTCAACTAACTTTCAAAGAGTTATCACAGAGAAAACAAAGACGTATACTGGTATAACCCATAAGCTTTAATAAAACGCTTTGCGATGGTGTATAAAGCATAAACTGTGCAAACCAGGTTATACAGTATAACTTGGATAGATATTAAATTCATTTCTTTAAACCCCAGTCACATTTCTGAAAACGACCAATGGCCAAAGGTTTTTGAAGCAAAAATGGGATTCTTCAGGTGACAAGTCGGCAGTTCATCGGACGCTGTCTTGCCCGATTTTGACCTCTTTTTTTTCGTCGGCCGACTAATTTTATGTCCATCAGTCCAAATTATACATGTATATTTTTTCTGCGTCGGATACCGATTTCTTCAATTGAAGCAATATCCGTCGACCAACCTTCATCATCGTCCGACCACCGGCGGTCAGTTTATAAAGTCGGTCGTCCGTCGTTCGACAATAAGCCGTTTCCAAAATTTCGGCCGACGGCTGTACCTCATAACTCGTTGATGGGGCGACGATTGGTCGACTTATGTTTTTTTAACCTATTGAGGATACATAACAAAACAAAATTTTGATGCATGGATTGATATACATGTATATCTTTTGAATGGAAAAGAGATAAACAATAAATCCGTAAAATATTAAGAAACTTCAAGTTAAGTTTTCTTTGCTGCTTAGATATGCACCTTTTTGTCGTTTTCTATGTAACGAACTTTTGCAAAATTTTGCACACATTTTTAGCATTGTGACACAATCTTACAAAAATTTTCCACTTAACCTTGCAAACATTACTTAGGTTACCTTTTTGGAGAAAAAAAACTGCCAAATCATCGATGTTCTATGGAATCCGGATAGGGCCACGCAGTTCACTATCGCATCATCGAGGTTTGGGTTGATAATGTGATAACACGATAATGCGATGACGATGGTACGATGGAGCGATAGTGCGATTGCGATGACACGATATTGCGATGGCGAGATGGTACGATGGCGATGAAGCGATATTCACTCTGTCGTTCTATCGCACCATCATCATCGCATTATCGCACTATTGACCCAAAATTCAATGGTGTGATGATGCGATAGTGAATTACATGGCCTTATCCGGATTCCATAGCTCCGTGTCGCCCGCTAATCGTGTCGGCCGGTCATGTTCTTTCAGCCGACGTTCGATACCAGAAAAATTGGTCTCCCGATCATCGGCTTAAAAGTGACCTAGACATATAACTACGAAAACATAATATTCTCACTCAGGTCCTCCTTTTTTCATTAACACAGACATGTATATAACTTGAGTATTATAGACAGTTTATTCATTTTTTCAAACATTTATTTCTAAAGTTGAATGTTGGTACATGGGACTATTTTTGAGTTTTGTTTAAAACTCAATAAAAAAAAATCAATATATTTTATAATCTCGATGGAGGTTGTACTTTACCCGACTACTTCTTTATGTAACACTTAGTTTTATTGTTATCCTGTCATAAAATGTAATGTCTTGAGCAATAAATGAACTGAAACTGTATTATAGTGCAATCAACAAATTGAGGAACGTTAGAAGATTGATTCTGCTTTGTCATGGTTGCATTTCTATACTGGTAACCTCGCAAGCAAAAGAACAAGAAAAAAGTATTGCACATAACGTCCGAAACTGGATGTACAATGTATATTGATAAGTAAGGAAAATGGACGTAAACGCTGTATACATAAATCTATCTATAAATATCTTAAATTAAACATCATGTACAATTGCTTTTGATTTGTATCACATATCGAATATCACATGATCAACCCTGTATACTTGCTGCAAAAAAAAAAAAAAATGTAGGACATTAAATTCATGAAAAAAAAATGAATCATAAAACAGCTGATACATGTATTTTGAAATGAGATTAAATAACGTACACTAAATTTCTACTCCTAAACATTGTCCTTGGCTTCGAAAGAATTTAAATTTATAACATTGAGCGCAGTATAGTCATTGAAAGACACCTAAACCTTATGTTTGACTACGTGCAAAGTCTGTATAGAATTAAAATTTAAAGGTCTTGTGGACATTTTGTTTTAGTATTTATAGACTAGCAATCCAAAATTTAGAACATAGAAACCATTTCCTTATAGTTTGATGAACCAGTCCAAAAATGAATTCGTAAAATGAATTTTAGAACTTAATGGATCTATGAGGAATTTCTATTTCTTTTTTCAATGTAATGGCAACTGTTAAAAATAAAACAACTTGTATTCACGCACCATTTGATCCTCCAAACTACCTTGAACATTAAGCTGATCAATAAATCGTAACCAATATACGTGGCAGCATGAATTTAAAGCTCTGATGGTCAGTCTATCTTGATAATAAAAAGTTGGCAACTTTCCATAATGAAGAAATATATACTTAATATTATTCAAGACGGAATTTTCCCTCGATAAACAAGTGACGTTATTGTGATTTGCAATATAGATGTTATAGGCCATATATGAATTCAATAAAATCATAAATCTCTGCTCTATATTAGTAAGTATTAATGAAAGAAATTAACCAAACATGGGTTCTGATCAACTATTTGTAAACTCTTCCAAATATTTAGAATATCTTTCTTCACAAGTCTGTACAGCTTTCACGAAGTAGTCAGCATCCTTAATGGCCTCTAAAAGGTCCGCCTGAACCATGTTCATATTCTCATATTCGACCGCCTCCTTGTTTGAAATACTTCTCGCTTCTTTAACTTCCGGTGATTCGAACACTCTCACATCCACGATACTATCGTGTTCGAACGTCCGAATATTGTCATCAAAGAAAATGTGGTGTACATCTTTATCATACGGATCTATATACAGAGGTTTGGCACTTCGATGATGATAGTTATTACCTTGCCAACACGGAAAATCGTCCTGAAAGGCACATATCCCCTCCGTCTGACTGAGCATTGTGTAACTGTCACGGTCCCCTATATAAAAGGAAGTCCCCTCTCCATTTCTAGATTTCTGGTCTTGAACTTCGAAAACAATAGGTTCGTCCGGTTTTCTGTAGACTTTACCAGGCGTTAAATTGACATCGATGTCCAAAGGAGTGGGAAATTCAGGGTGTTTGCCTGACAAACCGTGTGAAAGACTAGTGAGTACGTTTTTAGCATCCAACCCGTAAGTCCTAAACACTATAGAGAAATCTCGGTTGTCTTCATACAGCTTATAGATGACACGATACACGGACGGTAGAATGTAGTGGTAATGCTTTCCATTTTTGCCACACATGGTAAGATGTTCCACAGGATCGTGCCTCCATCTTAAGTGATGCAAATGATCCTGGAAAACCGGAAGAAAGCCCTCCCCCATTGCTGTATGGGTAAAATCCCCAGTGGCAATCCTGAGCATGGTACGATCTGCCGGAGTTTTAACCAGTAACTTTTCTAGAAACTTGTAAATGGTTGTGGTCCCAGGGGCGGGAGGGGTGAGCGATGGAGTATAGGAATGCCAGTGCCACTCTGAATTGTTAGCCTTTCCCCACGCCACCCCAGTCAGAAAACTATTCAATGCTTGTTCCATCGATACTTTAGTTACTGAATCGGCCACAAGCACAGTGTTCCGAATATCGAAATGAATTACCAATTTTCGTCTACCGTCGGTCCGCCCGGGTTTGGTTTTCTCCATGATGACACCAGGGTTGCCAATTGGCGTATCCATGCACGCTTTGTCGTTTAACGGTGGTTTCATGTCATCATTTTTCATCACTTTTCCACCTCGGGTGAAAATCCAGTGAACAAATTCATGTAATCTAACGTCCCTTTGTTTATACTCCAGTGTATTGAATGTGATTATTTTGTGGTCGGCACTCTGGTATAAGCTTTGAACTATACCTGACTCAAGATCAATACTTCCGACGGAGTTTCTACCTGAAGACATGCGCATTCAAAGACCCTGTCCAACATTTAAGGTCATCGATGTATTATGTGTATAGTTCTGTGTTTGCTTTAAATACCCTGTCATGCTTGATCATGCCTAATTTTAACTTATTGGAACGTCACGGTGATTTGGAGTCCTATTCATGACAAAATAAAGTTTAACTTAATTAATTAATTGATTACGTCTTCACCCATGAGTAGACATATAGGGGAATCAGGTAATTAGGGAATTCCGGCGTCAGTAGCTGTCATGACAACTGCGGTGCAATCACTACATACCTGTATATATGTAGCATTGTTTCCGTGGTAATTTTTTTTATTAATTATTCAATTAAAATACTTGACTCTGCAATAATTTTTATTCGGCAAATGATCAAATATTTAAAGAAGAAAAACCCAAATGATAACGGGTTTCTGTCCTTTTTAAAATCTTCAATTATGTTAGTTTCAGACTCCATATATATACATGTATATTTTTCTGGAAATTTCAAATTTTTTTTACCAGATTAAAATGTAAAATTTTTATTCGGGTTAAAGAATGTTTGAAAAAAAATTAATACAAGGGTTTTTATGAAACAGGAACAGAAAACCATGATCATTAATATTGTTAAAAGTAATATTAGCATTTTATTAACTTACAAATTATACTGGGACCTGGAACTTTAAATTTGTACGCGTATTTAGTTAAAATCTTTTTGATACTTATTTTAATCAATGCACGGATCTCAGATGGAAAACACACTTAAAAGTCATTGATGTCATAAAGCAAAGTCATTTCCTTAATTATTTACATTTTTATATCAGAAGTTCAATGAATGATCTAATGGGAATTTCCAATCTTGGTCCTTTTACCCAGGTCAAGTTACAACACAGCACGTTCCGGGATACACAGGTGCTTTGTGGGGGCGGGGTTTGGTTAACACGGAGTCGACGGACCCCGTCAGAGGGCGACAGACAAACGTCAGAGGGAGACAGGCATGTATCGTCATACAAGAACCATTTTGAACTCGCAAACCGCACACTCGTCAGTTTTTTAATTTAATTCTCTAGTTTATTAATAGAGTGTTACTCATTTAAGCGTTGTAATTATATTGAAGACATTTCAAATTTCAGAAGAATTTTGCCTCGTTTTTGTAAAGTTATATACAATGATCACAGAAATTAATTAAGACAGCAATTACAACCATCTGCAATAAAACCTCATGTAGAGGTTTTAAGGTGGCCAGAGACCAGAGGAGTCCCTCTGTTATGGTAAGGTGTCCGTCGGTCTGTTTGTAAACTTTTTTTAATTAAATGCTACTCCTCTACATTTTATGTTTATTTTCAGTATAACTTAATTTTTTAATTTTTCGAAGTCAATTCGCTGCGTAATTCAGTGGATATCGGCCATTTCTAAGCCCTCTAGCCCCCCCCCCCCGGTTCCGAAGCATATAAGTCGGAAGTTTGTTATTTGGAAAGCCGCAACGTCGTGTGTTTCTATTCTGGTGTTTGGAGCGCGACCAAGGAGTATGGCATATAAGATACTCAGTAAGCGCACACGGTTCAGCTGAAAGTTCGATATAGAAAGTATTTATGTCACTCCACCAGTTGTTCCAGATGTCCGAAGTAAGACACGAACAGCTAACATGGACAAACATGGAATGCAGTCCCACAGAAATGGCGGATCAGAAAGGAGTTTGCATATATGAATTTGTATACGCAAATTTCATAGAAATTCTTTTGTGTACGCCAGAAGGAAGATGAATCGTTATAACTGAAAACTGCGAGAAACCTGGAGAAATCTATGTTGTTAAACATACGACGTTGTCTAAGATCCTTTTGTTTTCTGCTGGTTGTAGATTTTACAATGATTTTTTTCCCTTTACATAAGTAGACTCGAGGATCTTTATTAAAAGTACTAGACTAAAATAAGTGCATACTAGTACTAAAATAAGTGCATACTAGTATAGCTGCAGATCTGTAGCTCTCCGAAAAAATAATTTGACAGATCGGAGAGCTACAATGCCACCCATTGAAAAAACTGTATATTTATTGCGCACAAAAAAGTGCGCTGTTTATCGATTTATTTCTCCATGTCTTTAAAATTATAATCTCAAAATATTATTAACCGTGTATTCCTAACATAATCTTTCACTGTTTCCACAACAAAACATACTTTATAGTTGTTGTTTATAGCCCTCCTGGCCCTGAAATTGAGATCATCGAAAATTTCGTCTGTGTATACTCTCATTTTGTTTTCTAAGATAATTCGACCCAACGCGCTTCGTGTAGACGTCAACTACGAAAGTACTTGATAGAAGAGTACGGAATTTTTTGAAATCTAAATTTTTGCAATTGAGGTAAAAATTTGGAAGAATTAATCCATACACAAGCGCAACTTTTTGTGCGCAATAAATATAGTTTTTTCAAAGGGTGGCACTGAAGCTCTCCGGTCTATCAATATATTTTTCGGAGAGCTACAGTTCTGCAGCTACGTTACAATATCATCACAATCCTCTGGTTAGATATACAATGTACCCTTCTCTTTCAATACCAAACTGGATTTTAACGATCCTTGTGGTTTTGAAATTAAGGACTTGTGTAAGGCTAGTATCTTAATATACTGCCTGTTAAGGATTTCCATCCCTAATGGGACCAAATTCTCTACCCTTAAATGTCTGTCAAGTACATAATACTTTGATATTATATTAAAGCATTTTATAATCAAAAAGGATTGTCCGTGAGGAAGTTTTAAAAAATGTCATTAATTAAGCAGTAGTTAATTAACAAAGACGGCATTGAAGTCTATGGGGAAAAGCTTTTTGTCAAAATAAAAATTCAAATAATTTGAATATCAATAAATCCTGCGGTGGAAAGATGCATTGAAACATTAAAAATAGTATGACAATTGAAAACAATTTTTTTACCGTCTAAATTTTTTTAAATTGATTTTTTTTTCATTAATTAAGAAAAGGGGAGATAACTCTTACCAAAATTCAAGGTCATAAATTAGGACGCATCCCACTATACCTACTAATGGTTTAAATGGGAATTATGTCTGAATAACTGAGTATTCAATGCCTACATATCTGTTATGTATTCAATTTCATTGAATTTGCTCCTATTAGGGACTGAATACCTTAAAAAATATCACCAAAAATACAAATAGAAGACAGGGCAGTTTTATACGATTCTTTTATTATTATTATGGAGGAGCATAGTACATGTACAAAAATGCAAGGTAAAAATGCATATAATTCTGACTAATTACTCGTACACATAGTTCTAAATCATTTGATTCAATCTGAACATATTAAATTCTAATGTTTTTAAATCGAAATAAACATATTAAGCATCCAGCAGCAACACAGAACAAATACGAAAGGCTTCATCCATCGGAAATCATCTTAAGATGAAAATGAACGCATAATATATTGCATAGTATGTACTAGTACATTTGTTCGATGTCTTTGATATAAGTACCTATGTCACACGAGTTGTAGACATGAGGAATGCAATGCACATTGAGCTATAGGAGGGAAAGTTAAGTTATTTTCGATGAAACAGTTTGTTCCCCATTACATGACATTTTATGTTGGTAATCTCCCTTTGTTCTAGTCAAACAGATTATATTACAACACGTAAAATACGCGAGAAAATCTTGGTCCTCTCTGCGGTTTAATATTCCTCTGTCTCGTCCTCCTCCGCGCCATTTTCCACAGAGTCCACGCCCACTTCTTCATAGTCTCTCTCCAGGGCGGCGAGGTCCTCCCGAGCCTCCGAGAATTCCCCCTCCTCCATACCTAACACAATCATCATCATTATCATCTGTCTCATCGTCAAATAAGCGTGTGCACAAGTAAATTAAAGATATTTCACCTAATGCCATTTATTAAAAAAAAAACACACACCCACGTATCAATACGTACCTTCACCTACGTACCAGTGTACAAATGCACGTTTGGAATACATAAGGTCGAACTTATGGTCAAGTCTTGACCAAGCCTCGGCAATGGCAGTGGTGTTACTCAGCATACACACAGCTCTCTTGACTTGGGCAAGGTCATCTCCTAAACCAAGTGAACAGATATTGAAGGTCAAATAAATGCATGTGGAATTACCTTTTATCATCGACTAAAGATTTTCATTTACAGTGTTTGGCTTACAAAATGTAAGAGAGAGAAAGGTAGACTCCCATGTAATGTAAAAAAAAAATAATAATATAAATTTTATTTATATTAAAAAAAAAAAAAACAACTCTGACCTACCCGGCACTATGGTTGGGGGTTGATAATTGATGCCCACTTTGAACCCAGTAGGGCACCAGTCCACGAATTCTATAGAGCGCTTTGTTTTAATGGTCGCTATGGCTGCGTTCACATCTTTAGGGACCACGTCACCGCGGTACAACATACAACAGGCCATGTACTTCCCGTTCCGGGGATCACACTTGACCATCTGGTTACTGGGTTCGAAACAGGCGTTGGTGATCTCCTGCACCGACATCTGCTCATGGTATGCCTTCTCCGCTGTAAAATTTTTAATATCAACACATTAACGTTTGATTAATTATGTGAAGTTAGATATCTAATATAATGAATCAGAATATACATTTCAGTCACTCAGGAAAAGATGTCAAGCTTACAGTTAGTTCCTTGAACAATGTTTGAAATATAAACAAGAGGCCCAGGGGCCACATCGCTCACCTGAGCACATCGGCTAAGAAAAAACACATGTCAGATCAGAACTGAAAGTTTACTGAGGTTTGGTGGGGTGGGGGGGGGGGGGCTTGAATTTTAATACCATTTAAGAATGCCTTTATATCAATACATCAATGCAGCATATAAATTTGCTGTTCTTGATAAAAAAGATTTTTTTTAAAACATTTTGTTCCTATATATTACTTCGTAATAATTTGAATTTGATTCCCCATTGTTTCCCTCCCTACCCCAAAGGGCCATAATTTTAACAAATTTAATTCTTCAATACATGAGGATGCTTATAATTACATGCCAATATCACTAAACATGGCTTTTCTGTTCTTGGGATTTTTCCCTTAATTTTTCCATGTAAAACTTTGATCCAACATTGTGGCCCCACCCTACCCTTGGGGGTTATGATTTGAACAAATTTAATTCTACACTACCTGAAAATGCTTCCATATAAATACTAGTATCATTAATCATGGCTTTGCTATTTTTGAGAAGATTTTTTAATATATTAATATGTAAAACTTAGATCCCATTGTGGCCCCACCCCATCCCTGGGGGTCATGATTTGAACAAAATAGAATCTACACCACCTGGGGATGATTCCATATATATATATATATTACTAGTCATGACTTTGAAGTACTTGAGAAGATGATTTTAAAAGATGTCCCTATATATTCCTATGTAAAACTTTGATCAACCATTTTGGCCCCACCCTATCCCCGGGGGTCATGATTTGAACAAACTAGAATCTACACTAGCTGAGCATGATTCCCTATAAATATCACTAATCCTGGCCCAGTGGTTCTTGAGAAGATTTTTAAAGATTTTTCCTATATACTCCTGTGTAAAACTTTGATCGGCCATTTTGGCCCCACCCTACCACCGGGGGTCATGATTTGAAATTTGAATCTACACTACCCTAGGATGATTCCACATGAGTTTCATTTTTCCTGGCCCAGTGGTTCTTAATAAGAAGATATTTTAAAAATGCCATTAATTTTTCTCTAATTCATAATTATCTCCCCTTGGAAGAGGGCGTGGCCCTGCATTTGAACAAACTTGAATCCCCTTTACTCAAGGATACTTTGTAGCAAGTTTGGTTGAAATTGGCCCGGTGGTTCCTGAGAAGAAGATGAAAATGTGAAAAGTTAACGACGACGACAACAACAATGACTACAACGACAACAATGACAGACAACGGACAAATTTTGATTAGAAAAGCTCACTTGAGCCTTCGGCTCAGGTGAGCTAAAAAATTAGTAAAAACAATTCAATAGAACAGTCTTAAGAAAGTGAGTATGAAACCAAAAGTCTCTTGGAGTGGAGAGCAATATCTATGCTGTAAAAAAGTGTTTCATGAGTTTCAAACGCTATAGAGTACATTTCTATGAGAACTTTACATACTTAAAACTACAGACATGTGTTTTTGGTGCAGCAGAAAGAAGCATAGATTTGGGTACTAATGGCAGAGTCACGTATAGCAGATAGAAAGATAAAAATGTGAACTAAAAGTAGAGATCAGTCACTATATTCCTATCAAGAACCAGAAAGGAGATTTCATGTATATTAAAATCAATATGATGAATAAGAGAGCAGTGTGACACATTTGAGTTCGGTATTGCGAAGTGGAAATTTTAGCGTAACGCAAATAGCGATTTTTCCTAATTAAAAATTCGTATTTTATTTTAGCGATAATTTGTTTCAGCGATTTTGAAATATCCAAAAAAGAAGTAATCACAAATAAATCGCAATTAATTTTATTAAATTTTACCGATCTTAACACCCTCGCTAATAATGCCAAAATTATATATCGATAAAAATTCTGCTTATACGGTGTATTACATGTAATTCCATCGCAAAGATCGAAGCATCTAAGCTACTGTTGTTAGCTTTTTATTTTTGCTTGCGTGTTTAACAAAGGATAGTGTTAATTTTTTCTGTTGTTTGTATGAATAATGTATACTAGCGCTGTTCCATATTTGTTCCAAAGTTTTAGCTGACTCAAACTTAGGATCACACCCTGTAGACTTTAATCTAAAGACAAACTTTTGTGTGTTTACGAAAGACAGGCATCGCATCTCACAACACGTGACTTGATCTTAAAGATTTTTGTTTGTGGTCTCTACAAAATATTTTCAATATTAAACCAAACTTGTTGTAAAGCATGACGGATTTTTATTTTCATTATACATTAAGCATACATTTACCCTGTGTCAATATTTATATTGTTATCCGGAAAACCCAAGACGTCCTATTTCGTCATCATGACTTCGGAGATTATTAAATGGAGCAAGAAATTTTGATCGATATTAATGTTCTAAACTTACTCATTTTATCCACTGGTGAATTTCAAGGAGAGCCATGGGGGCCCAGTCCCTTTTTTGTCTTTAAAATATATAAAATAAAATAAATCTATTTTTTGTGTGGCGCTGGGCCCCTACCCCTACCCAAACTCACCCCACTTTACAAGACCCCTGGATCCGCCGCAGTTATCAATCCCGTGAAATTCAACAGAGAAATTTAAGTTTTGTTTAAGGTCAAGATCTAGTAAATGAAAGGAACTTGAGAAATAAAATCCTTTATTGATGCTTTACGACTTTAGCTTGGTCAAATAAGGTGTTTCGGGGCATAATTTGTGGGTAAACAAGATGAAAAACTGTATTTTAAACTGTCATGAAAAATTAAGAAAACCAGTCATGAATTTGGGAGGTTTTTTTTCCATATTCGACAAAGGAAGTGTATCCAGGTTGCCTACACTCTCTCAAAAAACGGTAATTAGTATGTTCATGGCCTCTTCTTTAAATCAATATCAAATTTAATATAGGTATCCGGTTTACTTTTCATATGATTTCAAATTGAATGTCATGAAAATACCCTATTTTCTACATAATTCTGCTAAAGCCGTTAAGTACCGGAACCGTATTAAGCTCCTTCCTTGAAATTATGAGAAACGAGTCAGCCTGGAGCTACATATAGAATTATAATTCTGTCAAAGAGTCAAGTAAAAGGTAAAAATTTATCAAAAACATTGAAAATTTTCATAAATGGACAAAAACACACCAATACCATACGTTGTGGATACATATACTCAAAAATTTGACGAATAATTCTATCATTTACATACTCTTTGTTTCATATATCATATCTATATACGTTTCAAATACATTATGTTTCTTAATTTACGTGTATGGTTTATTTACCTGAAATGATTGGAGCATACGTAACGAGAGGGAAATGGATCCTGGGATAGGGCACCAAGTTAGTTTGAAATTCGGTCAAGTCTACATTCAGCGCGCCGTCAAATCGAAGCGAGGCTGTGATGGAGGAGACGATTTGACCAATCAAACGATTCAGATTTTTGTAGGAGGGTCTTTCTATATCAAGATTTCTCCTACAAATATCGTATATTGCCTCGTTATCGACCATGAAAGCACAGTCGGAGTGTTCAAGAGTTGTGTGTGTCGTGAGTATGGAATTGTACGGTTCTACCACGGCTGTTGATATCTAAAAGAAGGGTACATAATTAAATACAATTTAAACTCATACAACTGTATATAGCTAAATACTTAGAATGAGTCGTTAAGCATTTCCTTGAATATTTTATGTGAGAAAGAGGCTGTTGAAATTGGAAATGCCTTCCCATGCAACAGTTACAATCCCGAGGAGTTTGTTTTTATGCCAAGAATTAAAATACTTTTGTGCATATACACATAATATATGTAGGAATACAAACTTCGTAAATTATCATAAATGCAATGTAAATCAGTTCAATATATTACTATAATAATACTGAAAATCACTGAAAACAAAAATTCTAAAAAGTACAATCTAATTAACCCAAACAGAATGAAGCTCTTTTAAAATTATATTCTACCTGAGGGGCTGGGTATACGGCAAATTCCAGTTTAGATTTCTTCCCATAATCTACTGACAATCTTTCCATTAACAGGGAAGAAAACCCACTACCGGTTCCACCCCCAAAACTGTGAAAGACGAGGAAACCCTGTAGACCGGTACACTGGTCAGCCTGTAAGAGAGGGACAGGTAAATCATAAAACTGTGGAGGAAAAGGAAACCCTAAAGTCCGGTATATTGGTTAGACTGTAAAAGAGGGACAGGTAACTCATCACGGAATAAAATAATTAAATAAAACATTAGAAAAATGCCAATCAAGATTCTGTTTTAGTTTTATTTTGAATCCTCTCCTCAGCTTTATCTCAAATTGACAACAAATGCTTTTTTCTCAAGAATTTAAGGAGTTATTTTAAAACTCTTACAGCAGTATGTTACTACCTAAACATAGGGGGAAGTATACAATATAGAAATTAAATGCTATTTTCAAATAGCATGTGAAGTTATGAACAACACCAGTGATACGTACAAGTTTCCGAATTTTGTCTAACACAAGGTCAACGATCTCTTTGCCTACAGTGTAGTGTCCCCTCGCATAGTTATTGGCTGCATCCTCTTTCCCACTGATCAGTTGTTCAGGGTGAAAAAGTTGTTTGTAGTTGCTGCAGCGGACCTCGTCTGGTCAAAATTGATCAATATCATAAAAAAATAGATCAGTTGAACATGTGCGTTAGAGAATTTAAGGAAGTTGGTTGAATACGACATGTAGGTTGTGTCCGGTATCTAACTACACCGTTTTGAAAATCCTAAAATGGCGGATAAATGCTAAATTAACATGCATGATTTGACTTTATCAACATTTGTGCTAGCTTGTGCAGCACGTGTAAATGATTTAACTAAATAACACTAAGTATTCAATACAAACCCACTACACTGGGTTCGAGGTCCACGTAAATGGCACGTGGCACGTGTTTTCCCGCGCTGGTCTCGTTGAAAAACGTGTTGTAGGACTCGTCCCCGTTGTTGACGGCGATTGGTTTGTCACAGATCAGGTGACCATTGGGATGGATACCGTGTTCCAAGCAATAGAGCTCCCAGCATGCATTGCCCATCTGGACCCCGGCCTGGCCCACGTGGATGGATATACATTCTCTCTATAGACAAATCAAATAAGAAAACTTTCTAATATTACAGGTAAAAGTTGGAGAAGCTCATTAGCTAATGAAATAATTTTTGGACTTTGAGAAAATTTTGCAACAGAAAGTGTTCATGCTGTGTTCAATTACTTAATGATATGATGTTTAATTAAGAAAATTCTTATGTTTCAAATTATTTCATACTTACTGCATAACTTCCTTTTTTTTAACACGAAAAACGTTAAAAACGTTAAAAGGTAAAAATCAGTATATTACTTAGTATTTTTTATACCCTTTTATCTCATTGGAATTGTTTTTGACCTATACACTTGCACATTGAATTAGGAACTTTTCGTCGCCAAAGGCACATGAATACAATTAATGAGGACTTAAATGATGCCATACATGCTTTCATGTATAAGCACATCACTCCCACCGATCTGAGTTTCTTTGTTGTATTGAGGAAACTTCTATATTCTAAAATTTTACGTAACATCACATCTGCTACAAAGTGATGCACAGTTATCTGCTATGTTTCTCTCTTTAAAATCTGTTTCTCGTCTTGAGAAATAATAAAACAATCTGTTTTTACAATGACTCACAGCAAAGGGAAATCTTGTCTGCAAACCCCCTTGCATCGGTCATGAAACGTAAAGCTGTATAACAAATCACCATGCAGGAATGATTAAGAGTAATTTGATTTACTGTTCTTTTTAAATTTGAGATTTTTTTAATTACTGTACAATGAATGAAAACCATTTAACAAGCCCGTGCTGTTCCAAAGTTGCTAACACGGAAAAGAGGATTAAAAGTTCTTTTACAAGATCAATTGTCCATCTGCGAAAGAATTTGAACTTCCGTTATTTACCACTGGTCACTAGCCTCATGTTTTTAGAAAAAATAGCCACAAACAACAGTTTCGAAGTGCATGATCACCATTTCAATTATCAATTGCATTCTGTTGATTGAGCATTTAACCTGCAGTATCATTTAAATAATAATGATAAAAAAGAATCAAATATGTACTATTTTTCGCTTTCAAAACAGAAGTTGGTATTAATAATTTTTTCATATCTTTGATACAAGATGTCACTTTCGCAATTCCTGAGAAAGAAGTCAATGGCGTGTTGTCTTATCCTGCTCCTCTACTTAGCCATTAGACCGAGATTCGCGTGCCTTCCTACCATCTGCCAATGTTCAACAGAAGCCGTGAAGTGCAGGATTTAATGTTAACGCTTTAGGGATGGTTACAGCCAGTCAATGAAGCACTTAATTACAGGAAATTCAAAGTTTATAAATTAAAAAAATATTTTAAAAAATTATAAATAATAAAATAATAATAAGTATGCTCGGCTTTAATTGAATTACGAGATATGTTTTTGAAATTAAAAAAAAAAATAACTAAACATGAAATTATCACCATACTCCTATAATTTTTTTTTTAATTTTCCTTGTGTAAAAACATATTTTATTGCATATAGAAAGAAATTCAACTATCTTACCATGGCGAAAGTTTTCAAGAGAATCCAAAACGAATGAAATTTTCCTCGACCGGTTTTCAACGGGTGTGTTAAAGAACAACGCGAATCAGACAAAATTGACTCTCACTGAAGATACATGATGACGTCACTCGCATGCAGCATCTCCGCTGCTAGTTCGAATAAAAAATTCGGCATCCTTCTAACTTGTATTTTATCTTCACATTTTTGTTATTGAGATGTCATTCACTGTTAATTTTCTTTTGAACATATCATTTTCACTATTAGAGGTTTGGAATTTTGGTGAAAAAATGCATACGGGCAACATCGCTCACTTGACCACTTTGGTTCCAGAAATTGATTCAGATTCCATTTAATTCAACTGGTCTCAACATAACCGAGAAATGATGTAAAAAGAAAGTTAAGGTTTACATGCAAATAAAAAAAAAGAGACCCATGTGCTAGAATCGCTCGTGATAAATTGTACGACAAAGTATTCTATACCTCTCAATATTCTAAATATTTATGTGAAGTCCTTTATTTCCGAAAATTCATAAACCATGACGTACTTTATGAAATGATGACTTTATAGGAGACTGTTGATATTCTTGTTTTAGGAATTGTCCATACGTAGAGCATGCTCTTGCGTATCGAATCACTGAGACAGTCACACTAGTATATAAACTCCGTATATGCAGGTGATGAAGGTATATTGCTATAGATAGAAAAGTTTAATAAGTCATCACGTTTATCATAAGAGCTTGGTTGTTAGATTACCACTAACGTCTTTTTCCAGAAATATATCCAAATATGAAACAGATGAGTCAGACTCTGTGGTATCTCTTGTCTCAAGCTCACTATGATATATCGTGTCGACATAAGAATGGAAATTACAACATGTATACTGTTAATTGACAATACGTCGTCGATATATCTAAATGTCGAGTTGAAGGCCATAGCAATTAAATGTTTTCTTCTTTTCACGCAGTAGATTTTGCACAAATTCTGCTTCAAATGAATACAAAAATAGGTCTTCTAATAACGGGGCGCTATTGGTACCCATGAGAATTCCAATAGATTGTTGGAAGATCTGGTCTCCAAAATCACCAAACTGTCAATCAGAAACTCAAGCATCTTTTTGAGATCAACCTCAGAGTACTTGTGTGTACAATCAGAATCTTTTTTAACAAAGTAATTTTGCAAATGACCAATGACAAGGTAAGTAAATTACGATTTCCATTTTTATTAAAAATTACATCTGTCAATGATGTCCAAAAGCCTGGATTTTAATTTATCGTTGGGAAAGGATGTGTATAAAGTTAAAAAGTCTAAGTTTTTAAGCTGTTGATTTTGACCACTTTTTTGTTCATATTTTCTGAGATATCTTTCTTGTTAAAGGGACACATCCCTATTATTATCAGAAATAGAAGCCCTTGATCCAAAAAAGTCTGTGACAAAGTAAAAAAAAAAATTAATCAAGGGGTTCTTGCAATATGGTTTTTATTCCAAAATGTTTATATAATTAATGAGTACAACTTTATACTCTGTTAGCCTCCTAGACACTAAGGATTACAGAAAAATAATTTTCTCATATAGATTTAACTTAGTACCGTCCTCTTACCATAATCTCTTACCCAGGGGTCAGAAATGAAGAATTTTGGAAGATGAACACTTACTCGTCATAACTGTGCACATAATTTCTTGCTTGATACACAGGAGCAAAGAATATTTTCAAATCAAAAAAGAGTTTTTTCCTATAAATAATCAATCAAACTCTGCCTAGCTCCAATGAGCTTAGACCAAAGGATAGAGAAATTCATTTGGATAGACAACATTTAAACAATAAAATGCTTTCTTTGTTTGTTATACCCCCCGCTTGAAAAGCGGGAGGGTATATAGTAATCGTTAATTCCGTCCGTCTGTCCGTCCGTCCGTCTGTACGTCCGTCCGTCTGTCCGTCCGTCTGTTACGCTTTGGGGTACCCATCTCTTATCCGCAACTCCTCTTAAACCACTGAATGAAATTTGATGAAACTTTCACAGAATCTTTATTACATATTGCCATTGTGCACCTCCTATTTTACTTTTTGATCCGACACATATTTTGGGTTTCCCAGAGCAAAACATGGACACTGCCATTTATACACATATGGGAAGCGGGGGGTATCATTTAGTGAGCCCATTGCTCACAGTACCTCTAGTTATTACTGGAATTAACGGAAGCAGCTGTTGCAGAAAAAACACATAACCCGCGTAAGCGGGTTATGCAAATTTTTTCTGCAATAGCTGCGACCGTTAATTCCAGTAATAACAAACAAAGAACGACATTTTATTGTTTATATTTATATCTGTTTAAATAATCATTGAAAGAAGGATTAAAAAGTTTAATTATTGTATTAATGATGCGAACGTCTTTATACGTTTCATTGATGGAACAGTCACTGATCAAGAAATCTGTACAGACGACATGCCTAATGTAGTTCATGCCGTGATTAACGCAATGGGTTTTCTTAAGAAATAAAGGAGAAACTAGAGGTACTGTGAGCGATGAGCTCACTAAATGATACCCCCCGCCTGCCATATGGTTATAACTGGTGAAAAAGTCCATGTTTTCCTGTGCCCGGGAAGCCCAAAATATGTGTCGGATGAAAAAGTAAAATAGGTGGTGCACAATGGCAATATGTAATAAAGATTCTGTGAAAGTTGCATCAAATTTCATTCAGTGGTATGAGAGGAGTTGCGGATAAGAGATGGATACCCCAAAGCGTAACAGACGGACGGACGGACAGACAGACGGACGGACGGACGTACAGACGGACGGAATTAACGATTACTATATACCCTCCCGCTTTTCAAGCGGGGGGTATAAATATTCAGTGGATGTAAATATTCCTTTATAACCATGCACTAAGTTATATTTGCTTAATACTCAAGAGCAGAAAAGATTTTCAAAGAAATAATGCATTTTCAACACAGACAAACCCTAAAACCAATATTCTCGACCTAGGGGCCATGATTTCATAATTTTGGAACAGTCATCCTCTGCTTATTATATAGAGCCATGAAATCATTGTATCAACTTAATACCTTGGGGCAGAAAGAAGATAATTCAGGAATGCATGCATTTTCAATAGCCAATTCATAGAGCTCTGTCCTGTCACCAGAACTCCTGACCCAGAGGCCATGAAATTCACAATTCTGGAAGAAGGCACCCTAGCTCATCATAACCAAAACTTAATTTATATGCTAAATACACAAGAGCTGAGAATATTTTGTAAGAATTCCCAGTACCCGTACTTAAGATAGCCTTGCCCCTACATCAAACCTCCTGACCGAGTGGAAATCAATGTAATTTTTGAAGTCATTGTGAAAAAAATTATCCCTCTATTGAATAAGAAACCAATCTATTTTGACAGATAATTCACAAGTTACTGAAACTATTACAGTACCCCCCAAAAGTGAAAAATAAAAACTCTCCTAGTCTTATCCCTTGCGCACCTGTCCCAGTCTTGGTTTTCCTCTCCATGGAGTTCATCAGTGAATTTATCTTTCTCAAATGGATTTTATTCCACTTTTCTGTCAAAGCACCCCTTAGATGGTTGCCAGTAACTTGAACATTCCGATGTCTTTAAACCCAGCTATTTAGTTTGTCCCTCGGATGTTCAATTAAAGAAAGATGGATTTTACATAGCCAGTCGAGTGGATTAATGTGATCCTTGGAGTCTTGGAGAGCAAGTCTTGAAAAACTCTGGCTACATTTGGCCGAGTGTTAACATGCTAAAAAATTATGCATACGACACACGTGTGCATGTGAGAGCAACACCTCAGTAAGGTTGAAAGCTCTCATATCAAAGTCCCAAAATTGGTTTCTTCAGTTTTTTGGCGAATGTAACCATTATGATTGCCTGTTGTATTAATAGCAGTTTAAGTGGCAGCATGGTGGCTATTACACAGGGTTAGGATGAAAGGCCAAGTAATGATGTGGGTCTTACTTGCCAAGGTCATTGTCATGGCTGCTTGTAGACCCTTCAAGTTTCTCTCTAACCACAAGACAGGGGTAGAAAAAAATTGTTACCTTGCATGTCAATTTCCTTTGAGTATATAAAAGTTCACACCCGACAAAAGCCTCACTATGCAGCAATAGGTTACCTGAGCATATCTTTGAGCTCATTTGAGGAAGTAAAACATTCTGTGAATTTTCCCGACTTCCTATAAACCAATGAAATACATGGAAATTACCAATATCTATAACATTCAATTTTCTAATTTTCAAAAATAGATATAAAATTAAAAGTAAGGATTTTAAGGAAGAATGCATGAATAAATGTGGTCCTAAAGGAATGCATTGTTAAAGACAATATGTGTGACATTTTTAAGAACACACTGTATAACTTCATTATTTCTTATTTCCCTTCCCTACAGTAAGGTGTAGCTCTTCATTTGAACAAGCTTGAATCATGTTTACCCACTGTTGCTTTGTGGCAAGTTTGATTGCCTTTTGTCTATTGGTACTACAGAAGAAGTCACAACATTTGAAAAGTTTACTTGTATTTTAACCTTTTCTGCAAGTAATGTATATTTCCAGTAAAATGCCATTATTACATAAGAGAGAAAAAAGGATTTCACATAGACTGTTCTGAAATGCAACCAATTTCATATTTTTCTAATAAAAAAATGAACTTATACGTCAATCTTTCACTTTGAACCATGGATTCATGTAGTAGATTAATTAAGGCATATTGTTCCAGAAACACAAACAATAACAAGCTGATCAAAATGTACAACAAAATCAAACTTGAAATGTTTTAATCTTTTTTTTTTGAGATCCGTTACACAGATCTGAGTAGATACCTACAAGAGGGGCTCAATACAGCTACAATTCTGTTTTACAGATACATCAAAAAAGCACAACATTCTAACCTGGTAGAAAACTTGGTGCCCCCTTCTCCTCTTCAAAAAGATCAACTTTAAAAAAAAAGCAAAAATGGTGCTTGTTCATTCTCCAGTCTAAGTAAAATGAGATCCACTTGCACACTCGCTACACTACATTTATGTAACATCTAACAATATTCCATTTAAGGTCATGTCAGAGTTCAAAACTCTATCAACCAATCAAATCATTGCATGTAAAATCATTGTATATTTGTTGAAGCAAATAAGTCTAGAGTTGTGCTAAATTTGACCTCTGACATTACCCTCTATGGGATGTTGTAAGATGTTAGTGTAGCAAGTATGTGAGCAGATCTAACATCTAATTTTAATTAGACTGGTTCATTCTCCTTTTCAAATTTTGTTTGATACCTCAACATAATTAATTTTGTGAACAAATAAATGTATAATTAAAGGTAAACTTAGTTTCAAACTCTAGTGATCTGGTTGTATGTAAATTCAAATAAGATGTATAAATTATTTATAAAAGTCATTTCAAAAGATTCTCAAAATGGGCTTAGACAGAAGTATCTTTAATTGCGACATTTTTCAAACCCCAAGTTTTTTGCCAGGTTTGAATTTGACAACACATTATACTCATTTAATGAGAATACTGACATATTTCTATATACAGAGTACATACAACATTGACCATCAACAAACATTAATGGAAAAATTGGCAACAAATTAATAATACTTGTGAAATACTATCATACAAGTAACAAAGCAACAAACCTATTTTTTTAATTAAAAATTTTGAATGCATGTTTTCATGTGTGAAAAAGTCCATAATTTATGACAAAACAGAGCTGAAGAAACTGTTACAAAAGACCTTTATAAAATGAGGTAAAGGCTTTTATCAGATCAGAGTTTTACAAAAGCAGGGAGAATATCCCCACCTACTTAAAAAATAATCTTATCTCACAATTTTTATAACAATGTGCTCATTTGGACATGATTAATACAAAATGGCTTTAATAATAAAATTATACATTTTCATTACTCTAACAAGTGTCCTAATAGCACCTTCAGATTAAAATGCAGCAAACTATAAATAATGAATCTGTAAAATGACTAAATGTCAACTTAATTTTAGCAGAGATAACGTATGCAAAGACACTTAACACAGTTTAAAAAGTCAAAACAAACCCCTGTGAAATGACTGTTAAATTAAGCAAAAATATTGAATACAATGAAGCCATAAATATTTTAAGAATTGTAGTACCGGTAAATAGAAATATACATACTTTGTGCATGTACATATATTCAAATGAAGTAAAATGTAACATAAAGATTATCCATATGAAATTTAACTTTCACTTGTATATAAAATAGGTTTAATGTCAGAAACTTTTTTTCCTATACATGTACATATACCTTTGCTCTTTGTCATTTTACTTTTGTTGAAAAGGCAAAAAATATTTTTGATCAAATATTTAAATAAAATTTTGGCACATTTTAATTCCGTAAAAAATATTTTCAAACATTCCTGTGAATTGGTGATTCAATAAAGAAAATTCACATTTTTCATAGCCTAATTAAAAGAACTTCAAAACTCAACTAAAATTATTTACAAATTTAAAACATTGCAATTTTTCTTGCAGAACAAATGATTGTCAAATTCCTGTATTTTTTCTATTATAATATCTGAACTATTTAATACCTGTACACAGGGATATTTTCACCTACTCAAAAAATAAAGCACTAAAAGTAATTCTTATAACCTTAAGACTTGGAGACAAATTTTACTTTTACTTAAAATTATACAATTAATATATGTAGGTTCCAAGTCTAGAATGATTACAAGTAAAACACTGGTGCTGAATACAGGGACAAGTCAGGAGACCTGGCACTGAGAATACAGGTAAGTTTACACATCACATGGAGTTCATACAGGTGAGCTAGAAAGGATTCATCTTCCATATTATATAGCACTCAAACGATATAAACAGAAAAATAGTTAAATGAAATTGATAATGAACAAATGATCTCTATGTCACTTAATGAAATGTTCATAAACAAGAATAAAAGAGAGAGATTACACCTCGTCTGATTTTTACCATACTCTAGAGGAAATACTTTCAAATCCTCGATGGTTCATGATGATACAGACATGCAGTTAAATACTGCTCAACACTCAGCAAGTCTCTTCTCAGTCACTCTCACTGCGAAATTCACCCTAGCCTCTTAAAAATATCACAACATATCTGATTTCTTAAACTATTAATAATTAACAATTAACGAAAACAACTCTTTAACAACAGTCACCAGATGTAATTCTGCTCCTTAGAGTTCTTTTGATTTTCTTCTTCAATATAACCTTACAGTTGTCACGTGGTAGCGATGGTTGTCTGCAGTGCTGATATTGCTTCAGAAGAAATCTGTGTGGTTGTGAGATGTGGTGATGCGAATAACATGGAGCCTGAGGGGGTACTATCCAGCCCCGTCCCCTCTACTGCACCTTGAAGTCCCTGTCCTGCCATCTGTGAATTGTATTCAGCTGTCTCCATCCTCAGTATGTAGGGAATTATACTGTCTATCTGAACACTGCCAATTAGGCCCGCAAAAAATAGTTCCTCCATGACACTGGGACTCAGCGAGTGCAGAGCCGGGAGGCGGAGTAGAAGTTTGGCCAAGCGGTCAGGATTGGAGGGGTGAGCTTGTCGAATGTGATTGGCTAGCTCACGCTGGGCTCGTTCCTGCACTCTCTCAATCTGCTGAGCATTTGGAAGGGATGGAGTATCTGCAATGTTAAATATTGTCTCATTGTTTATATTATCTATATTCTTTCTTTGCTATTGAAAAGAGTTTTGGTACATCTTCAAGATCATGTTGTTGAATATCGGAGGTAGTTTTAAGTGAGTGGCTGGACATATATTATTTTATGTACTCAAAACTGAATTTAAATGTTTTTTGGACTGCTCTTCAATTTCATTCAATCATTTTTATATACCTACTGCATGAACTTATTGAAGGGATGTTAAACAGAAGTAAACAGAAGTAAAATTTATTCAATTTCCAATGCATAATGTTGAGCATGACTCGTAAATAGGCATACACCATTTTCGATATCATTTTATACAATACATCAACACCAGGGTATACTCTTCTAATTCGTTACACCTGACTGCTTTATTGTCATGGGTATCGACGTGGAATGGCGACCCGTGTTCAAGCTGGTTACTGTAAATGTATTATATTTAGCATGTATGATATTTGGGGGAAATTGACTTTTGAATAAGTTAGCGTACATTTGATTTAGCGCATTTCTTCTTATTCTTATCTATGTGTTTACGTGCAAGACATTTAGCTATGTACTTGACTTAGCGGTTGCTGCAATCTGCCAAAGCCGCTAAAAAGAATACACATCCAAATGTAATAGTTTACAGTATCTTGCATTGTCTTTGTTTACATTTTATTGCAGTTACATGTATTTGTGTTTGTTTGTATACTGCACTGACATGTGCAACTGTTGTAAGTGTCTTTGATATCTTACTTTCCTGCATAAGACGAAGTATCAGTTATTTTTGTCACCACCGAGTGCTGTTCAGCATACGTCCCTTTGATTAATTCCCCATAAAACATCTGAATTTTTATGACCTACTGCATAATGAATGTAAACATGAATTGTATAAAGCACAAGAAAAAAGTTTAAATAACTTATAAAGGTTGTAAACATGCATTGTGTACCTGGAGAAAACAAGACCAGAGCTTTCAGATAGGCAAACTCCTCCGAGTCCATCTGTAGGGCTTCCAGAGATTGTATGTAGTTCTGAAGCTTCAGGATGTGGTCTATCACTATCTTCACTCGTTCTGCCGAATTCTTATCTGAAAAGGTTGACAAAGCTTTATATTTACATTTCAACTTCTGTCATTACTTAACCAAGGGTGAAGCAAGCAGTGTGTTTAAAATATGATTACTCTTGCTCCCCTACAAATATATTGGCAAAGTTCTTTTTTTTTTTTTTTGCAGTGGGAAGGCAAAATATCCTTCCAATCCAAATGTAAAGTAAGGTGGACAATGGCACTATGTAATAAAGACTACATTACATAAATACTGCAGTAGATTACTTTACTGTAGTGTATAATTAAAGATTACATTATTACAGATACCACTGTAGTATGTTACAGATTACATTATTACAGATAATGTTGTAGACTACCTAGCTGTAGTGTATTACATTACAGATTACATTTCATACACTGCTATAGATTACCTTGCTGTAGAGCTGTCTGGAGGTGATTCAGTATGGCCATTAAGATAGTGGAGAGAGACATAGACTGTGCACACTGGGCCAGTCCTAGAGTAAAAAGCTCACTCCAACACGACTTCACTAGAACTGTCTGTATGTCTTGACTGTAGGGAAAAAAGATTCAAGTTTTACAACTTTCTTTCCTTGTTTGTGGAATTTCTCACAGAGGTGAAAAAGGTGAGCATGGTTTACCATTTTACACATGAATGGACCATATTGAACAACAAGAACCAATTACAAATTGATAGAACCTTATCTGAAAAGTGATTATTTTAACTGAATCTAATAAGGCTGAACTCACAATATAGGACAAATAATAAAGCAAGTCAATTTATATTTCTTAAGTTGAATCTTAAATACGTTAAATTCTAAGTTAAATCTTTAGCAGAAAGTGAGTTTTAAACAAGTTAGTTAAGATTTGATTTAGCGCATTTAATTATGTTTCTATTTATATCTACATGTGCATGACATTTAGCATTGTACTTGAATTAGCAGAAGTTGTTTTCTGCGAAAGGTGCTAAAAAGAATACAAAGCTAAATGTAATACGTTTACAGTAAGTTAACTTTTTTACCCACCTGAGTACATGAAATGAGGGGATGGAACGTGTCCAGTGCATGGACAGAAAGAGGAGTCTGGACGCTGTTTCACAGATGTAGTGGACATTGAGATAGGCCGGCATGGGGGAGGGGGTGGTCAGATTAAAGGCAAAATTCTGCTGGGTCAGCACTGGACCTACAGTAGAGGTACAACTATTAAACACATTTTTAAAAATATAAATCAAAGAAATTGTTTTGTGTGTAATTTTAAAACATGAAATAAATTAGTAAAATCAGTTTGATTTTCAAGTTTACATTCAGTAATATATCATTATTAATGCACTTTTGGCATAACAAGAAGTCAGTGAGTCAATGCTCACTAGAAATATCCCCACTCTGATCTGAATACATATACACTATAATGTTAATAAACACAAGGCAGATGCACAAATAGGAAGTTGACATCAGATTCAAACAAAAATTAATCCCACCATATGACATTTCTCAACAAAGTATGTGCTTAAATCTTAAGCATCTGCAATGAGCAATTGCTAAGAAAACTGCATCAAATTTTTTTTTTGTATGTTTCGGATAGATGCACAGATAATAAAAAAATTTGACATCAGATTTGAACAAAAAAGAATCCCACAGTATGGCATGCCTGAGCCTGTCCACAAGTACCTGTGGTTGTAATCTACACCAACACTGAACCTTAAGGTACACTAGTATTAATGGAACCTTTAAATGATAAAGTAATGCAGAAGATTTTCTCTGAGCAGTCAGGTTTATAATTCATTAAAGATTAGAAAACCTATGTGACTCTATGTTAATGAGCTTTGATATATCATAGAAAGCCCATGCCGCAACATTTCCTTTCTGTGAGAGATAAGCCTAAACATAACTCACCGTCCACTTCCACCACGATGGAGTTTTCTCTGCTGTAGTCCGGTCCAAGGTCCATACTTAGTGCTGACTGATCTAAACTGCTGTCACATAAAGACGACTGGTCCAGGGACTGAAAAGGACAGTTTAAAATTATGTTTTACAAATGGCAAAAAGGCATTTTTAATATACATGTGTACAGTACAAGTACATAAATAGACATACTGTACGAGTACTAAAAAAGCGGGCTTCATATTTAAGCGACTTTAACACAGACAAGAATGCACTAATTCATGAATACCAATAAGAAATCATTTACTAAGAAAAAAAAGGCATGAACAAGTGTAGCGGTAATTCATGATTACGCTAACAACTCTATACCGCTTGATTCCGCTAAATTTAGTAGCGTGACTGGACAGATTTAGCCTATTGTATAAATATACCTGTGGCTGGACAGCTTTAGCCAGTGTATCGAAGGCCTTGGCAGCATTATTAGATGTATCTCCCCCCAGTCCTGTGTCTCCATTAGAGGGGGTCTGCTCCTCCTCACTGTTTTTACTCATTGTTGCTAATGTTGTTACAACATTGGCTAGTGTGCTCAGATCTAAAAATGAAAAATCAGTAACATTAAAAATATTAATCATGTCAAAGTACCTTAATCATGTTAATATTTTTGTGTTCTTTCATTTTAAGATAGCGTTTCATGCAAATGTGTAAAGTAAAACTCGGTTATAACAAAGTCAATGGGACCTATGAAATTACTAGGACATATCCGTAATTCATTATATCCGTATAAGGAATTAGTGAAATTTTATAAAGCTGGGGATCCAAGATAATTTTGCTATATCCATGAATTCGCAATATCTGTGTTTGTACATATGTTTTCTACCTGTAATGATTCAGTAGAGGTATCTACCTGTACACCTCTACCTGTAAGGTGATTTACCTGTACACATCTACCTGTAAGGTGATTTACCTATACAATATACCTGTAAGGTGATTTACCTGTACACATCTACCTGTAAGGTGATTTACCTGTACACATCTACCTGTAAGGTGATTTACCTGTACACATCTACCTGTAAGGTGATTTACCTGTACCTATCTAACTGTAAGGTGATTTACCTGTACCTATCTCCCTGTAAGGTGATTTACCTGTACACATCTACCTGTAAGGTGATTTACCTGTACACATTACACATCTACCTGTAAGGTGATTTGCCTATACACATCTACCTGTAAGGTGATTTACCTATACACATCTACCTGTAAGGTGATTTACCTGTACACATCTACCTGTAAGGTGATTTACCTGTAGTTGTGGAGGTGGGGACTATCCCTCCCATGATGACATTACCCTGGTCAGTGTGGACGATTCTCTCCTGTAGATTGGCCAGTAGATTACTGGCTGCCCTCTGACCACTGCCATCTTCTAGCTGCTCAAAAATAAAATTTACAACTTTTGTATTTATTACAAAAGAAAAGTCACTTTAAGTTAAAATGCAACTTCTGTATTGATAAGCAAGAATTTTTAGATCAATAAACACTCATTGATAAGTGACAAACATTTTTTAACAAATCCATTATATTACATGACCTCCTCCCCCCACCAAAAAAATAAATATTGTGGAAATCTAAAATTTTGCTTGCCATTTTCAGAAAGTATCTGTAGATCTTTATTACTTTCACCTATCAAAAGGGTAGAAGACTACCAGTAACCACTGTCACATCATGAACACTCATCTTCTTTGTAAAGGTGGGGAACAGGATGGACTGACAAGATCCCTATCTGATCTACATTTATCTTTCCAAAATACTGTAAATCACGTTTTATTTGTGAGAACTTTATTTTCGCGTAATTACGTGAGACAATGAGCTCGCGAAAATTTCATTCTCGCATACATGTATAAAAGTATTCCTTACGATTATATAGAGGAAAACAGCAATTCATGAAAAATATGTCTTGCTAATAAAGAGTCAACGGCTATCTCGTGAAAATAAGGTGTCGCGAAAATTCATTGATCTACAGTATGCAGGGAGGGAGGCAGAGGGGCTGTTGAGATTTTTGAATAACAGAATTTTCAGAAAACCGGTAAACATAGAGAGGGAGTAACAAGAACTGGTGATTTAATTACTACATACCTTTCCTGAAAATATTGGAAGGCAGGTTAAGGCTACCTAAAATTGAAATTCTTTTTCTCAGGCCCGCGCACATCCTTTTTAAGGTAGCTGTATTGCTAATCTTATTGTAATTTTGATAAAAGAAAAAGTTGGTTTTGCGGAGACCAATCCGGAAAAAAAGTTCTGTCCTTATTTTTTCGTAGTTTAGTATTCAAATATCACTTCCGGTAGCCATTTTTAAAGAGATTTTGGCTACTTCGTTTGAAAATACGTTCAAAGACATTGCCTAACGATGTTAAAACGCTGATAAGCAATGGATAAAGCAAACCATTTGATCAGACATGAAAGGTATATCTGTGATTAAAAAAAATCATCTTTATTTTAAAGAAAATTCGAAAATTAAAATAAAAAAGAAAACCTCCCTCATCTACTTTATTGCCAATAAAATGATAAATAAAATGCCTCCCTCCAGTGATCTATATTGGAGAAAATTGGCCTGAGAACCAGAGAATTCAATTTATATAGCCTAATAAACTTCTTGATAAAATGAAATTTTGTGCGAAGGTGAAAGGGGGAGGGAGGGGTTGTTATACTGTTGAGATCTTCACAGGACATAATATTCCAGTAAACATAAGGAAGGATGTAATAATTTTAAGAGCTTTAGATGATTCCAGTGATTATACAAAGGAGGCAGAGACTTCAGGACTAACCTTTCCAGTGAATAGAGAAAGGGAAGGGTGATAATTTTAATATCTCTTTATGATATACCTTTCCAGTTAATGCACAGAAGGATGGGGCAATACTTTCAGATCTTTCCCTGACTTACCTTGCCAGTAAATGTAGGGAGGGAGGCAGAGGGACTGTTGAGATCTTTACGGATGTAGATTTTCTGTGTGGATGTAGCGACTGCAGAAAACTGTCTTTGATCTTTCTCTGGAGGTTTCCTCTCCTGTTGTACAGCTACATAGCAAAACAAAATCATCTCAATTATCATGTCTTCAGAGTAGTGGAAAACTGCCAGTCATGCTGGCAAATCAAAATACCATCAATGTCTGTCAAAATGACCGGCCCTTTTTTTTGGTTAGTTTTAAATTTTCCTGTTATCACCATCTCACTTTCTAGATTCCAGCTCAATTATCATACAGCAAGAGATGTTTTTAAAACACTAATGTCCCTCTCTCCCCCCCCCCCAATTGAAATTTTTCAAAGTTCAAAAGGGGATAACTCTGTCAAAAAAGGTGAGATTGTACCCAAAACAGAAATTGACCTAGATATTCATCCGATATATCTGCATACCAAATTTCATTTCAATACAAGCAACGGTTGTGAAGAAAATGAATGGAAACAAAGTGGACCGACAGACAGCAGGAAAGCAATATGCACTCCCTTCTTCGAAGGGGGGCATAAATATAGGATGTGATTGCACAATCATTTACTTTACACAAGATCAAGGCTAATGAAAGTGAAACTAGCGTGGCGTCATGACTCATTAAATTTACAACTGGGGTGAAAAAAAAAAAAAAAAAGTTAAAAAATCATACAGGAACTGATGTAGACAAGCTTAAATTTGAAAAAAATGACAGAAAGAATTGAACCCAGTTGAGGCAAAGGGTAAATTTAAGACTCCCAACTGTCCAGAATTTCAGTTTTCATTGATTGTTGATATCTTTATCATCCATAGACAAAACACAGGGCGAATTTCTTTAATTAATTTTTTTTAAACACATTTTCTAAATTTATATAAATTCCCTAATTCATAAATGTTTCCACAAAATTATGTTTACTCTGCTGAATTAGCATATCCATCTACCCAAAAACTGAAAAGCGATAAATTTAGTATTTTTATGAATGCAAAGCCGAAAACAGATGATGCCTTTGGAATTGAGACTGAGTATATGAAGTAAAAGATGTATTATGAAGTAAATACATGATAATATTTTATTTTTTCCTTTTCCCTTTGTTTTTGTTTATGCGACTTAAGATACCGGACTGGCTTAAATCTCTTCGGATCGGCTTATTTTGTCTTCTTGCCAGTCCAAATGACTGGCTACAGGAAAAAGTTTTCCACAACTCTGTCTCTTACTCATATTCCTTATTTACCAATCAATCTTAAGAAAATCTTCAAAACACAAAAATCATGAATCTTTATAAATCTTACAGTATCCAAAAACAGAGAAAAAACAAAGCTGGTGGGGAACTTCATCTGATCGTCAGACACCAATTGATTAATTAGAAAAACTAAAAAAAAGTTTAAGTAAAGAAATCTTGATTGCCCACATCACAACATGACTTGAATCAATCATGTATCAAGCTGCTTGATGATACATTTAAATTTCTCCCTTTCTGTCCCTCTCGCCATCTGCTGAGGGCAGACGTTTAAGAACTTCTCGCGATGGGGAAATAATAAAGGCACTAAGACCCTGTGACGTTAAGTTCTGAATCATGGTAATTTGACTTACATTCTGCCCTCATCCCCACAGCTAGACACTTTTGTAGCCGGCAGTACTGACACCGATTTCTGTGAGGCTTATTCACGGGGCAGTCTTTGTTACCACGGCAGGCGTATCCCAGCTGTTTTCTGATGCTACGTTTAAAGAAGCCTTTACATCCTTCACAGCTAGTGCAGCCATAGTGACGACCTGTTGAACAAGGAAATATTATATGCCGATTTCACCTCCCAATTATATTATTGTTATTTTCTTTTACTTTGGAATATCTCATATTAAAAATAAATTCTTTTATTTTAGATAAGTTTTGTTGATTTTCTTAATTAAGGAAAATTTGTCTCTGTATTACACTGGTCATTTAATAAGTCACCTTAAAAGAAAAGACAACTCTGATAAATCATGAAATAAAAGTTGCATACATATACAGTCACATGTATATGCATAAAATGTTAAAATTTGCGAAATAAAGAAGTTGTCAAGAAAAGTTGTCTACAGTTAAAACTTTCTGTCAACATGGCTTTTAGGACGATTTTCTCCCTAGTTTGGACTTTCATTAGGGCGTGGCATTCTCGGAGCTACATAATGGCAAATACTAATAGATTTTCATTGGTTAAGAAATTAATAACATCAGGAACTTAAAATTGTTGTTGACAACGATGAGACGACTTATGCCCCACCTCTGTGCCATGAGAGAACTTTTAATTGGCTATTTACTACACCAGTTGACATTCGGCCACATTTCTATCATATGTATATTTCAACAGTGAAGGAAAGCTGTGTAAATTTCAGAAGCTATTTAGGTAACGTCGAGAATGCCACGCCTTACTGAAAGTCCAAACTAACATGACTAAGCATGTAAATTGTAATGGTCCTATATCCAAGAAATGACGCATAGGTGTCCAGAAAATTGTCCAAACCATATATCCTTAGATTTCTTTTTCAATAAAGTTTTGAATGATCAATGTGAAACACAAGGGATATAATTTACCTGAGTTTATGGAGAAGACAAACTTACCAGATGCCTTGTCTCCACAGACAACACACGGTTCAAACTTGCTCTCAAACGTTGCCTTCTGGACTTTTTCTCGCATCAGATTTTGTTCATCTCTCAGTCTCTCTAACCTTTGATTGTGCTGAAGTTCCTTGACCAAAGAATATAACTATTTAAGATACACAAGTTCATACTAATACTTCAACTATACATAAACAAAGTTTTAAAGATAGACAATAATGTCAGTTATCATGTGCAGAGGCTTGACTGGCAAAGAGAGCATGACAGCATCAGGTCTTAACCCTACCCATGATTACGTTCAGTCTGATAATGCCTACTCTGCTCCTTCTATGATTACCTACTTGAACAGCCCAGTTTATGGAGGCCAAGTTAGCATTGATTACCTAAAGACTGAAAATATATATACCTTCAGGGATTTTCCACTACCCCTGAAGGGCCAAATATGGGCCCCATTCCCAATTGCATAACCCCTCCGTTTTTCCTATGCCTATCTTCAATTTTTGAAAGAAGAACTCAAAAAGATAACCTGAACATAATTCACAAAATACAAACATGTTTAAGTTTGGAAATTTGAATGAAATCAGGGATTTATCTAGCTATTTTGTTTTACTACCGTTTTATATGTAAAGGGGAAAAATGAGAGCCGCAGGCTCGATCTGAGCGCCGGAGGCGCGAGTATTCTAGGGGGGTCCGGGGGCATTGCCCCCCCCTGAAATTTTTTAAATAAATGGAGCAAAATCCTGCATTCTTAGAGCTTCTGAGGGTCATTTGTAAACCTTTACAAAGGCCACAAAAACTTCACTTTTGAGACAAAATATTAAATAACAGAAAAAAAATTTAAACTAGGTCAGTACTTTATTTAATTTTTTCTCTCAATATATTTCACAAATCAATTCCGTTTTTCATGTTTCACTACTAACATTGTATTTGTTGTTACTCCATTCTTCCGATTCATAGTGATTTAAGCTCCATCTTACTCATCTACACTTTTCTTAACTCTGCAATCGCATACGTATATTTTGACATCATGGACATGGTACATGTTTACCGATTCAATATCAAATAGAAGCTTGAATAATCTACTCTCTCTTTTAAAAGCGTTTGAATGACTAGGATGGTGAATTAGGATATGCTGTTAAACTTCAATCGGACAAAAACGGAAAATCTCAGTACGATGTTTTAAACATTCTCCGTTTCATCGGAGAATTTTCTATCTGAAAAAGGGAATTTTTCAACTTTTTCAAGAGGGGAAAGGTACCGTTTACCGGTAGTAAAAACAGCCTTGATAAATCCCTGGAAATGAACAAAATTTTGAAGAATCTAGGGTAAAACTTTATTATAATGATAAATTCTCTGATTCATAGTTCTGAGTAACTATGTAAAAGATCAATTTTTATTCATCTTAAGTATTTATTTCCTGAAAAACTTCATACAATAAAATTTCCCAAAAAGTGATAAAATGTCGTAAAATTCCCAATTCCAAGGGCCTGGGCCCCATTCCCAAAAGTGAGTGGAAAATCCCTGACCTTAGTTTAACAGTCCAAACTATGGGGAACAGGTTAGCATTTAACACCTACACATGATTAACAATGTCTATACCTTAAGTTTAACAGCCCAGTCTATCGAGGCCAGGTTAGCATTGATTACTGACAATGTCTATACCTTTAGTTTAACAGCCCAGTCTATGGAGGCCAGGTTAGCGTTTGGCACCTGGATAACCTGTGTTGGTAGAGCCCCCTCCTTCAGCTTGGCTGCTAGTTCTGGGGGAGCCATTAAAATCTGTTGTCCACCATTATTGTTCACACTGCTCGTGGATGGCTAAAAAATATCATACATAAATAAATACTTTGCCTGTTTTTCAAATCTTCAAATATGAAAGAATTATTATTAAATAAGATGTTTTTTCAGAAGATAGTTTTAAGACAATTATACATGGCATATCTGACTCTGAGCTAAAAAATAAAAATACAAGATGAAGTGTAGATTTTCATGATATTTGTTAATTACATTCAGATTCAAATTTTTATCCATTTTGAGCTTCAACATCCCCACCTTTCTATAGTTAAATTGACCTTAAACTGTGTCGGCTATTTAATTCAGAGCCGGAAATAAATTGTTTATTGTTTTAAATGTGATATCTATGAAACGTGATTTATTTAAATTGTGTTATTTACTGGAAAGTCCTATCTTTATATAAAGAAACAAAACAAATGGAAAGACCTTTTTAATTTGAGTTAGTCTGAACTTATAACAAATACGCCATATATGACTTTAAGAGAAAACTGTGACCATTTGTGCAAAGGAAAATTATAAATTAATCAAAACTTCACAAAATTAAAATACCAGTAATCTAAAAAAAATAACAGGTTGAACTGATGTTTTCATATATTTAGAATTATAGTGATCATGTACCAAGTGACTTGTAATGGGCAGAGGGGCGCACTGATTTGAGGGCGGGGCGCAGCGCCCCTCTATTTCCCCCTAGCTGGAACACTGAAGTCTTACCTGCAGGTTAGAGGCAAAGTTGACAGGAATTGGGAATGAGCCCGGTGCAATGGTAATGGTGTGAAGCCCAGATACCCCTGCAGTGGAGGATGAGGAGGCATTCACAACACTGGAAAGACTCCCAAGACTGGAGGGGTTGATGACATGAATGACGTTCTCTGGTGATATTCCACCCCCTTCCATATTGATGATGCGGCCAGTAGAAACAGAAGATGATGTGGACGGGGATACAACGCTTGAAGTGACACTATGTGTCCCCTCCTCAGAACTCATCTGCTCGTCACTGTCTTCTCCTTGTCATGGAAAATAACATAATTACTTATCAAAACCTAAAAAGAATGAAAATCCCCTCTCTCCTCAAATATATTTATTCACAAAACATAAAACCTCATTCTGGGGCCAATTTTCCATAGTAGCCCTCCATATATACCTCACCGTGGGTGCAAGGAGCTTCATGGCTCATTATTAATTTTATAAAATAATTTAATTACAAATGTTCAAACAATCTACATGATTTAGTTAAAAATTATATATCATTGTTAACAATCAATTATTTCAAGTTACATATGTAAATAATGTTCTTTTACAAAGTGTTAACAAACTTTTACAGATATATCATATAGCAAATTTTGAGTCTTCAAGTGGCTTAAAACAATTTTTTATATTAACCTTCTAAAATTACCATTTTTCCATCATAATTTTCAGTATTTTTTTTTTTGACGTTTTTAATGATCATCTCTTGTGTTAATGACTTCTGGTGACATTTTGTGGATATGAAACAAAACGCAAAAATCAATACACAAGCCAGACACTAATTAGCATAATGTATGCACATGACCCAGTTCTGTCGAGAGTTCTCTCTCGGAGGACAAAGGTCATGCAGAAGTCGGGCAAAAAAAAAAAAAGGCAGGTTCTGAAATCAAGATTTCCATTTTTCACTTTTAAAAATGCACCTTTCCCTCCATACCATGTTTAACCATACAAACCATATCCTCACCGAGTTATATTATTTTAGATATGCGGTGACCGTATCGCCAACACAGGTATCGAAAGGTCATGCACTCTTCCCATGTGTTATTGGCCGTGGGGTTATGTTTACAACACGTCAAAACAAAAAGGAAATATAGTTAACATAACTTGTCAAGTATAATTACATTTAAACCACAAGAATATACTTTTACAAGCCTTTGATATATCGACAATTCTGTCTTCTTGCCATTTTCGGCAACATTTTCATCACTCTCTGTCGAGTTCACTGGAAATGGCGGCTGCCGAAGCGTTGAAGATCCGGGTTGCCCAGGAAAACGTACGAATAGACGACTGATGAACGGCTTAGTACTTATGTTTGTCTCTCTTTTGGAGTATGTATGCTAAGTATTTAATTTAACCTTACCTTAGTGTGCCAAATTCCTGTTTTCTTGTAAAATGTTATAAAAGTCTTGATGCCAAGGAATAAAGGTCATAGGTTGTGACCTGCTGTTGTACGAGCTCTGGATTTGCTAAATTTTGATTGGTTGAAAATTACATCACGAGTGTCTTTACGCGCGAGAAAACAAGCGAGAGTTTACAGCGCACCTGTTATCGCGCAATGTAAACAGGAAGTTGTTCTCAGAAGCATGTTCTGCATCAGCTGTGAGGTTGGCGTATTTTTTTCTTTTTAAACATTAAGCAGGTTTTTATCTCCGACCCTAATGTCAAGTATTTTTGACTGAGGACTAAAGTTGATTAATTTGTTCTTTAACGCTCTGTGAACAACTTTTTTCTCCTAAACAGCCACATCGACCTTATCAACTAATCATTTAAAAATTGCTTCAACAGGTCTGACTCACTAAATTTAGTTGATTTGTGTTTGATGAAGAACTAAATTCAAATAGTTGACATTGAAAATAACAGTTTAATTTAGGATGTCATTTAAGAAAAACCTTGAATACACTTTTTTAACCAGTTTAAAAGTCAAATTTCTGTAATATTTGGGGGGAGTATCATATATATATATAATATCCTATAAATATGTCCTCAAGGGAATTTCCACTCATGTGTCAAATATATTTATTGATGAGAATTTTTGATATGGTTTACAAGTATAATTATAGTATTGATTGAAATCTAAAAATAAACTCAAGGTTTGCATTTTTTCACATCTATCAAGAAGAGAAATTAAAGTGTTTTAATATTCCATGTTGAAATTCAGGTAAGTTACTTACAGTAAAACTCATTTAGTATGAACATGGATATTGATATTGTAAATTCACAGATATTGCTAAGTTATCTTGGATCCCCAGCTAGTCCTTATACAGATATAACGAATTACAGATATAGCAATCGGATTAAGTCATTTCTCAATGACTTCGTTATAAGTGAGTTTTACTTACATTGTACAGTTGCATATGTTGAGAATATTACTTACCTAAATATTCAAATAAGGCTCTGCTTCCAATCTCAAAAATGCGTTCCATCGATTGTACAAATAGTTCAAATTTCATGACTTCATTAAGTTCAAGCTCATGGAAACCACTTAGAAAGTTTCAATTGGTGTGTGTGGGATTTATCAGTTTGTAGGAGGCTGAGTGTCTATTAATCTTTAGGGAGTCCTATTAGTCTTAGAAAATGTAGTAGAGGAGTTTCTATAATTTTTAAGGTGTGTGATGGTTGTGGTGGGGGTGTTCCAGACTGTAGATGGTAGAGTTTCTATAAGTATGCAGGGGTCCAATAATAAGTCTAAGATTGAAGTGGGGAAATTTGTGTTAGTTTTAAGTTAGTGGAGATTCCATTTTTTTTGGGGGGGGGGGTATATCCACTTGTTTCTAGTAGAAACATGGAATCTCCACTAACTTCAACCTAACTTAACTAATTAACTTACAAATTTAGGGGAACTTCTTTTAACCTAAAAAGTTACTTAACCTATTAAATTAGGGAAATTTCATTTAACCTATAAACTAATGGAAACTTTGCTTAAGAGGGCTGGGTGGTTGTGGTCATTTTCAGACTGTATTGATCTCTTTTAGAACTCCATATAAAGACATACAAAAATGATCAAATTTAAAACTAAAATGGAATTTTTCTTTGCAAAATGATAGTTGACAGCTTAAGATATCATATTCATATCTATGGAAATCATTTATATCTGATGGTCTATTTGTTTCTGTCAAGTCGAGAAACAAACAAGTTTATTTTTCTTGAATTGATGGAAAAGGCCTAGTGAAACTGTGATGTTCTGATTGATGAAATTTGTTTATTAGTTCAGCCCCCTCTTTGAAGGAAGGAAAGGACAGGAATGTATTTAATATTTTCAGAGATTCGATAATTTATGCTAAATTAAATGTATTTTGATGTATGAACAAGCATTTAAAATCAGAGTGTATACATGTACACATGTACTGGCGTGTTGTGAAAATAATTATCATCCTCAGGTAAATGAGTGTATTAATAAGGTTCAGTATTACAACGTTTGAAGTACATACATTCCTCAGGTACAAACAAGGATGAGAGCTTGTCATTGGTTATTTAATTATTAGTAAGCCTTTTATCAAGATTGATTTAGCCTTTCTTACATATACAGGAAAAGGAGTTAAAACAAGAGATCTTTAACTTTAAAGGTATTTATTTATGTATAATATCCTCATTTCCTACCCATGCAATAAATGAATGATTCGATTTTTTTTAATTATAGTAACTTAAACTGAAGGTGTTATCAAAATATAAATTAGGGAATAACTATCTTCTAATTTGGTATTTGCCACCATTAATGCTGATTTAACGGTCGCAAACTGAGTTTTACAGGCGATGCGAAAATGGAGCCGGTAAAACGGATGTTTGTGACTGTTAAATCAGCATGCACTGTGGCAAATACCAAATTAGAAGATAGTTATTGCCATTCTAATGCAATCCATGCATTTTGTCTGTTATTTACATCTTATTTTGTTGAGGTTCGTTTTATAAAATACGTCATGGAGCATTTTGTTTTTGCATCGCCCTATTATGACGTCACAATGAAAAGCTGTCACTCACATTAATGCTCGTTTTACTGCTTCAAACATCAGTGCATTAGCCAATCAAATGATGTTTTACAAAACAATTGCATTAGAATTTGGCATTTGCCACCATTAATGCTGATTTAACGGTTGCATACTGAGTTTTACAGGCGATGCGAAAGTGGAGCTGGTAAAACGGATGTTTGCGACTGTTAAATCAGCATTAATTGTGGCAAATACCAAATTAGAAGATAGTTATTCCCATTTTTTACAGGCGATGCGAAAACGGAGCCGGTAAAACGGATGTTTGCAACTGTTAAATCAGCATTAACGGTGGCAAATACCAAATTAGAAGATAGTTATTCCCATTCTAACATGTCTAATGCAATCCATGCATTTTGTCTGTTATTTACATCTTATTTTGTTGAGGTTCGTTATATAAAATACATCATGGAGCATTGTGTTTTTGCGTCGCCCTATTATGACGTCACAATGAAAAGCTGTCACTCACGTTAATGCTCGTTTTACTGCTTCAAACATCAGTGCATTAGCCAGTCAAAAGATGTTTTACAAAACAATTGCATTAGAATTAATATTTTACCTCAAAAATTTTCAAAATGTTGATTACTGTCCAACAATTTGAAAGTATTCTCAAATATAATTATTACTTCATTAAAATAATTCAAAAATACAAAATGTCAACTTGATTATTGTCTAATACATATACTGTAAAAAGTATTTTACTATGCAATATTTATATACTTTTGTAAGTATCTTTTTAGCTCACCTCAACGAAGTTGGGGGAGCTTATGTAATACCCTCGGCGTCGGCGTCGGCGTCGGCGTCCGTGTCGGCGTCCCGGGTTAAGGTTAAGTTTTTTGGAGCAGTTTTCATTTTAAGTACTTCTATGTCCTATATTGATTAGACATGCATGGAAGATGTTTCTAATGTGTTTCATTGTACCAGTCAAAGTTTCAGATGCTGCAATTTCAGCAAAGGAATGACCAGGTTAATGTTTTTGGAGCAGGTTAACATTTTTGGTGCAGTTTTGGGTGTAGGTCTCATTTTCGAGTAACTATAAGCCCTATGTTGACCAAACTTGCACAGATGATACATCTAAGGATGTACACCACCAGACTTGCTTCGGATGCTGAATCTGACCTACATTTTCCAGTTGAGTGAACAGGTAAATGTTTTTGGTGCAGATCTCATTTCAAAGTAACTATAAGCCCTATGTTGACCAAACTTGCATGGATGATACATCTAAGGGTGTACACTACCAGACTTTTGGATGCTGACTCTGACCTACATTTTCCAGTTGAGTGAACAGGTTAATGTTTTTGGTGCAGGTCTTATCTCCAAGTAACTATAAGCCCTATGTTGACCAAACTTGCATGTATGATACATCTAAGAATGCACATTACCAGGCTTGCTTCGGATGCTGAATCTGACCTATATTTTCTGGTTGAGTGAACAGGTTAAAGGTTTTGGTGCAGGTTTCATTTCCAAAATACTATGAGCCCTATAATGACCAAACTTACATGGATGGTACATCTTAGGATGCATACTACTAAATGTGCTTCGGATGCTGAATGTGACCTACATTTTCGGGTTGAGTGAACAAGTCAATGTTTTTGGTGCAGGTTTCATCTCCAAGTAACTATAAGCCCTATGTTGACCAAACTTGCATGGATGATACATCTAGGGATGCATATTACCAGGCCTGCTTTGGATGCTGAATGTGACCTACATTTTCCAGTTGAGTGATTAGGTTAAAGGTTTTGGTGCAGGTTTCATTTCCAAGATACTATGAGCCCTATAATGACCAAAGTTGCATGGACGATACATCTAAGGTTGCATTCTACCAGGCTTGCTTTGGATGCTGAATCTGACTTATATTTTTTTGGATGAGTGAAGAGGTTAAATTTTCATGCAAGTTTCATTTCTTAGTAACTATTAGCCCTGTGTTGTTCAAACTTGCATGGATGATACATTTTTTGCACATTAATAGATTTGCTCTAGATGCTGAATTCAAAACATCTTTCAGATAATGTACCAGGTAAAAGTTATGGGTGCAGTTCTATTACCAAGAAACTATAAGGCTTATATAAACCAAACTTTCCCAAATGATGCATCAAGGGATGAAACTCTCAAACTTGCTACAGATGCTGGATTTTAATCACATTTTTGTGACAAAGAACTAGTTTGAAGTTTTTATATAGGTCTATTCCAAAGTATCAGATCAAAATTGCATAAATTTTGAATGTACACTTTTTGTTGGGTTATTGTGTGACTTTGCCTTACTTAAATTTTCGTTGAGGTGAGCTCTGTAATCTCTGATTACCTATGTTTTTCCTTATATAGTAGATATTTGTATAAAAATTAATGCATTTATCATGTTTACCTGTATATCAAAAAGTATATTTAACATGTTTTCAGTTTAGTATCATTCTTTTATAGAATGAGGCAAACAGGAAGTGGACTCCTTTGGTTCCTGTTTGTGTTTACAGTTGCATGCTGGGAAGACTACAACTTGCCAAGAAGCCACTTGTCTTTCTTTTTGCATAACAATCCAGAAATAAAACAAAGATGTCAGGAGGATGAAGCTTGTCCATATAAGGTATCAGCAGTCAGGGCTAGACACTTAGGACTATCTTTATATATGCATGCATATACTGACCTGATCAGTTTTAAGCTCATCTCAACAAAATTGGGGGAGCTTATGTGATACCCTTGGCATCGGTGTTGGCATCCCAGGTTAAGGTTTTTGGAGCTATTTGCTATGTAAGTAGTTCTATGCCCTATATTGATCATACGATGAAACATGCTTCTAGACTAGTGTGTTTCATTATACCAGATGAGGTTTCAGATGCTGCGATTCAGCAAGGGAATGACCATGCAGGTTAATGTTTTTGGAGCAAGTTAACATTTTTGGTGCATTTTTATGGCGTCGGGCTTGCCCGATCGTCATCTAGCGATCAGTCAGGTTTACGCGACCGCACGTGTCAGTGGATGCATCCGTAACAGAAAATAGCAACAGCTGTAAACCAATTTCTTTTAAAACGTTCACAATGAATAATTGCTTGAATATACAATTAAATCAATTGTATCTTCAATTAATACTATTACAAAACAACGATATTATGTTTAATTTTTACGCAAGAAAAACGTTATGGTTGTTGCGGATGAATTTATAGAGAGGGTTGTATCGAGTGACATGAATCACATTTTGGGACCAATTAATGTAATACAAACAATCTTAAATACGGTAAAATAATTACAAAATAAACAAGAATACAACAAGACTATAAAGATTGAATTTCTTAATCTTAGCTTTACTTTTACGATCTTCAATCCAATTTTATCCAAACAACCGACGATATTGACCAGTAATGCCAGTATTACTGTATTTATCCATTTCCTCCATTTGTTTACAGCGCCCTATCGCAAGTCGATCGTAACATTAGAGTCATGGTTGTAGTTAAGATGCAATCACTATACAACAGAACAACGCTCTGACAATGGCAATTAATTAAAATAATTTATGAAACCCTTCATATGTCTTCGATTGACTGAAAAGAAATTAGATTGATATAGAGGATGGACATTTCTGACGATGTCTGTTCAATTTGAACCCTGACTCATTCGGACCAGGACACAAGGCTATCAGGCCCTATACTGTATTTGTGTTAAGACTGTTTTTTTTAATTTTATTATTATGTTACCGGAGTCACTCACTTGACCTATCTGCAGATCTTTTGAAATTGTTTTTCTTGTTCGACGCCATTGAAGCCTTTCAGGCTTTTGATTTGGTGTAGGTCTTATTTCCAAGTAACTATAAGCCCTGTGATGACCAAACTTACATGGATTATACATCTAAGGTGCATACAACAAGACTTGCTTCGGATGCTGAATCTGACCTACATTTTCCGGATGAGTGAACAGGTTAATGTTTTTGGTGCAGTTTTCATTTACAAGTAACCATGAGCCCTATGATGACCAAACTTGCATGGATGATACATCTAAGGATGCACACTACCATACTTGCTTTGGATGCTGGATCTGACCTACATTTTTCAGATGAGTGAACCGGTTAATGCTTTTGGTTCAGTTCTCATTTCCAAGTAACTGTGAGCCATATGATGACCAAACTTGCATGGATGATACATCTAAGGATGCACACTACCAGACTTGCTTCGAATGCTGGATCTGACCTACATTTTCTGGATGAATGAACAGGCAGGGTTCGACACTAACGGTAGCCCGCTGGCCCGGGACAACTGAATACTGAGGTCGGGCTACCAAACATGTCTTTAAACTTGCCCTGCAGGGCTACAGTAAATTTACTCACTAAGAGCAAGAAAATAATTATAATTTACACACAATATACCTGATAATTGTTAAATTTATTTTCAAACATGTTTTATCATTATAATTATTATTTTTGTAAGTCAAAATGTAAACTTTAAAGGTGACTCAAAATACCCTAAATGATTATAAATATGGAATTTTTCGAATAGAAAAAATGTCTAGATACAATCATAGAGTAACATAATTTTTTACCCAAAATACAGCCAGAATGCAGGATTTTGCATCACTATTTTCAAAATTTCCCGGGGGAGGCCCCCCGTACCCCCACCAGCAGGAGGGGGAAACCCCCTCCCGCACCTACCCCCTTCGTCGCTTTGCGACTCAGCCACCAGCCTTCGGCTGTTGGACAAGTAATACATGAACAGGGCTAGTAGAAATAAGAAATGGCTAGCCCTGCTGACAACTATGGTTTTAAAGTTAGTGTTGATCCCTGACAGGTTAATGTTTTTGGAGCAGTTCTCATTTCCAAGTAACTATGAGCCCTATGATGACCAAACTTGCATGGATGATACATCAAGGATGCACACTGATAGACTTGGGACACTGATCCCACAAACATTTTCCAGATAATGGACCAGGTTAAAGTTATGGGTGCAAGTATAACACCAAGAAACTATAAGGCCTGTATTAACCAAATTTGCATAATGATGCATCAAGGGATGAACACTCTCAAAATTGCTTCAGATGCTGGATTTGAATTACATTTTCTTGACGGGTAGCTAGTTTGAAGTTTTTGGATAGGTCTATTTCCAAGTAACTGCAAGTCCTATCAGATAAAAATTACATAAATTTTGCATTTTTGGATGTAAACTTCTAGAATATTAGTTGATTGATGGACTTTGCTTTACTTAAAGACACCATTCATTGAGGTGAGCTCTGTAATCTCTGATTACCTATGTTTTTTCAGTCTTAACGTGTTCCTTAATTAAGTAACAGATTAATTAAACAACTTTCATTTAGTTCTGGTTTGATGATCATGTTGATAAGGTAAAACTTAAGTAAAAGCTCTTGAGGAAGTGAATATTAATTAATAAATATACAAAGTCATATAAATTAATTTTTATGTGCCCAGATAGATAGATCCAGGGCGTATATTGTTTTTGTCCTGTCTGTCTGTCTGTCTGTCTGTCTGTCTGTTTGTTTGTCTCGAACTTTAACCTTCACCATAACTTTTGAACCATGAAAGATAGAGACTTCATATTTGATATGCTTACCTCACTAATCAGGTCCTTTCAAATGACACCAAGTTCAATGACCTTGTGACCTTGACTGTGACATGTATGCTTAAAATAGCTTTTTTGAACCCTCACTATAACTTTTGAACAATGAGAGATTGAGATTTCATATTTGGTAAGCATATACTCCACTAATCAAGCGCTTTCAAATGACACAAAGGTCAATGACCTTGTGACCTGGACTGTGACCTTAATGCCAGAAATAGCTTTTTCAGAACTTTGTTGCCACCGGCCGCATAGTGTTTCACAAACACATCTTGTTTCAATTAAAAACTTGTCTTTGTTGTTGACAAATGCCTATATAAATCATTGTTTGTTTAAATAAATTCTTTATCTAAATTGAATAATTGTACATCATAACATCTACTGATTTTTTTACACAGGAATATTTAGATGAGACCAGATGTTGGGGCTATGAGGACTACTGTGATACAACAAGTCGACTGAATTCCACGTCTTGTCCATGGGGAAGCAGAGGATGGTAAATAATTGCCTTTGATACGTTCCCTCAGTAAGGGGACCAAGAATTCAGCTTTTAAAAAATCCAGGGATTTCAGTCCAGAAACACAAACATTCAGTTGATGAATTCATTAAATCTTCCAAACTTTATCGGTTTTAGCTCTACTGGTCAGAGACTAGAAGAGCTTATGTTTTGAGTAAGGTGTCTGTGGTACCTCCCTATAGCTGTCTATCTGTAAATAATTTTTCAAAATGCTACTTCTCCTACAGTTTTGATCTGATTTCAATATTTAAATCTTGGCAAAAAGGTAGACTATACTAAGATACTTAAGTCTCTTTATTGGTTTTTGATTTCAATGAATGGTGTTGCCATGGTTACCAGAATTTTTTTTTTGTTCTGATTTCAGTATAAATCAATCTGCACATAAGTTAGACTACACTAAGGTACATAGTTCTTTATATATGTATCAAATTTTGATTTCAATGAACAGTGTTGCCATGATTAAAAAGAAATTTCACTAAAATACTTTCAAAGCCTTACCATGCTTACTCCTCCAACAGTTGTGGTCTGATTTCAATATGCATGTAACTTAGCATGCAAGTATACTACACTAAGATACATAATTCTGATAAAAGTATTCTGTTGTTGCAAAGTTTCAAATTCAAGTGCTACTTTTCTCTTTCTTTGTTAAAAGTACAAAGCAGTAGAGCTACATTCTCACCAGAGACTTCTGGCTTCAATTGCTGTAAATACAATATTGTGCCCTTTTCTCTTGTTATTTATCACTATAGTGCAAATTGGATTATGTCTTTGGCCACATTACATTTCTCTAGGTGGTATTGGATTAAAAGGTTAGTCATATTAATAGGTTTTTTTAATTGTCTTCACAGCATTATTAACATGCACTATCATTGTTTTTACTTTTGATCTTTAAAAAAATGTTGATCTAGTGTCTATCACTTATTCAGCAATTATTGATGCAGAGTGATCATGTGACTGTCATATAAAATTCTCAACACCTAATACATGTACCATGAATACTGACTTTGATCTTTGACCTTTTGACCGTAAAACTAGAAACTTTTTTTTCAGGCCATCCAACCCAATATAGAGCTTAAAATATCCAAATGGTACTATTTATCAGTAGCATTGCAATTTACCTCGGTCTTTTAATTTTTGAATGCTAATAAATAGCGTCTTTGTAGCAAAGGACCCGTTGCAGATACAGTAAAACTCGTTTAGTAGGAACACGGATATTGCAAATTCACGGATAAAGTGAAGTTTTCTTGGATCCCCAGCTATAAAAATTTAACGAAATTCCTTATATGTATACCGTATAAGCAGAATTTTTAGCGAGGATTTAATTTTTGCATTTTTAGCAAGGATGCTGAGATCGCTAAAATTAAATATCACTTAAAATAAACTGTGTTTGATTTGTAATAGCTTATTTAGTGTGAATTTTAAAAGTGCTATAATAGCATCTCGCTAAAAATAAAATACAAATTTTAAGGACAATTGGCTAAATTTGCGTCTCGCTAAAATTTCCACTTATACTGTAAAACAAATTATGTAAACAGGGAAGTTATTTCATAGGTCCCAGTGACTTTGTTATAACCGAGTTTTACTGAATCAGACTGAAAATTAAGGCACATGTACATGGTCAATTTCTAGTCCACTGCTACAAGAACTTGAACAGGTCAATTATACCACACACACCTTTTATGGAAAGCATTTTTCAATATGGGACAATGTCTATGTCAGACCTATTCTCTGTGGACACTTTAAAAAATTACATTGGGGTCTAATTCTGTTTCATTAAAGCTGGTTTATCATATTTCTAAATTTATTATCTCAGCTCTTTATGGTCATGATGGTTTGATATGGATAAACATTTTCTTGTTTATGATAGTTTCTGTCGCAACTTACTCAGTATGACCTCTGACCTTTTGATGTTGCCTGTGAATAAAATAGTTTCCCTGGGCACATAATATTAATCTCAAAAGTGGTCAAAATGAGCTCTATTCTGTCTTTGATATTGGTATGGAAAATGTATTTCTCTTAATTTTGTTTGAGAGAATTATCTCTATTATAGTTTTTCAAGAATAAGTCCATCTGTAAGTGAAACTGTTATTTTGACATTCATCGTATAATGAGTAGGAATTAATAAAATTTTTATTAATAACTGGAAATGTGATTACTGTAGATCACTAAATTTTCGCGACACCTTTTTTTCGCGAGATAGTCATTGACTCTTGATAAGCGAGACAAAATTTTCATGGATTGTGGTTATTGCTCTATATTTACATTACATATATTTTTTGCATATAAAATGAATGGAAATCTATTGCATTCAAAACACCATAACACAGACAGGATACTAAGAGGTTAAAACGTGTTTTAATTAGTTTGACGTCATAATCTTTGAATGCCGAGGAAGTGCAACGTCACAAGCGAAAATCAAAAAATCATGTTCAAATTAACCAGAAGCTGTTACAATTGCTGATCCATTTAATGAAGCTTACACGAAGGATAATACATAGGTTTTTAAATAGAAATCACATTTGCAGTTAAGGTAGAAAGTTAAAAAAATGTAAATATAAGCAATGAACGCAAGTTATTCAATTTGTTTGCACACACTGTTGCAGTTATGAAACTATATCACTCAAAAAATAATGATTCATTGCTTAAATATAATCTTAAGGAATACTATTATATGCGAAAATAAAGTTCTCACGAATAAAAAGTGATTTACAGTAACGCTGCAGCAGATGACATCTATGCAAGATGACCTAAGCCTTCACAAAGCTGTCAGTAGACATTTTTAAAAATACACAAAAGATCAACAACTTTTCTAAAATATTGACTCAGAGGCAGAAATTAAAAAAATTAGAGACAAAGTTAATGTTCATGAATTTATTCAGCATTGTTAATACCTGTATTTATGTGATACTAGTATATGGATTTGGTACTGTATAATATACATGCATGTACATATTGTTCATTGCATTTCACGTCATACCAGGACAAAAGATAAGGCTGAACAGTTAGACTTGTTTTGGAAATCTGTGGACTTTGGTTATATTCTGGAAAGGAAAAAAGAACTCCGAACCTTCTGTGTACCCAAGACTCAGGTAAATACAGAATACTAACAACGCATAACAAAACTAATTTCTCGCAGAGAAATGAGAGACATGGTGTATTGCAAACTCATCAATATGCTGATAACATTATTACATTTGATTTATATTTGCAAATTTTTCCTCTCATATAACACAATTTAAGCAATGCATATCTTTATCTGTATAAACTTAGGTTCATCATATCATATACGTTCGACATACTTTCTCTGTGACGTCTTAAAGGATCAATGCACATTCAATAATTGAATCAAACTTGAGTGGTTGAGTTTTTAAAAAATACAACATTCATCAGTTAGAGATAATAATCACGCAGGTATTTATTGTAAATCAGTCATAAATGTACATATACATATGTAAATAATAAGGTATGATTTTAAAATATCTATCTGGATATAGATGCAGGTTGGTACATGTTCAATAGATTGAATTTTATCACTAGACCAACCTATATTATTTTATATTTGATAAATGTAAAAATTGTTACCTTTTTCCTAAAATAGATTTCATTACTGATAACATTATTACATTACAGATTACATAACTGATAACATTGTTACATTACAGATAACATAACTGATAACATTGTTACATTACACATTACATTACTGATAACATTGTTACATTACAGATTACTAGGGATGTCAAAATTTTTATTTTCCTTAGTCGACTATTCGATTGCATTATTCGAACGATAGTCGAACATTCAGAACACTTTTTTCATAATAGAATCTTTATCTCCGTTTTACTTTCGTTTGCATAGACTATGCAAGAGTTATCCTTCTTTGTTTTATGCATTACGTATGGGTTTGACAGATATTCACAGGCACTTAACTTGTAGCTATTATGTTGACATGAAATTATTTTTATTTAGTTTTAATATGCATCAAAAACTACCAGCAAATATTTTTTTAAACTTATTTAAATAAAATAAGATAAACACAGCATCTACACGTCAGGTGCCCGTGTGATATTGTTAATACCGATTACCGAATTAACTTTAAAACAATTAAATGCCCTAGCTTACAACACTACAATGTATGCGTGTTTTTATAAAAATAATTATCAAATTATCAAAACGTGTCTTGGCTACCGTATGTGAACCTTTGAACATTACTAAAATAACAATATTATGGATACATGGTATGTAATGTCTAATTAACTGTGTTTTCATTATAATTTTACAAACAAAACCCAGCACAGTGATTCATAATTTATCAGAAAAACAATTGTTATTGACAATTATCAGATTATAGAAGAGCATTTATGAATGCATTAGACATTGATAATGAAAAATCAACAGTTTTTGTTCAGGAAAACAACATCTGAAGACAAGTTATTTCTCAATTTTGAGACGATTAATCCGGCAGAAGAAAATATGCGTTCTGAGGGCACTGATGTGGCAGGGGAGCCAAGGAATTTTCTGGCCAGTTTAGCGATCGATGGAAATTTATTTTTTCATAAATTTGTAATCAAGAGTTATCGCTCTTTTTTTAATTATTCGATAGTCGGTCTCATTATTCGATAGTCGGTCCTTTCGACTGACAGTCGAATAGTCGACTATTCGTTGACATCCCTACAGATTACATAAATGATAACATTGTTACATTACAGATTTCATTACCGATAACGTTGTTACATCACAGATTACATAACTTATAATATTGTTACATTTCAGATTACATAACTTATAACATTGTTACATTACAGATTACATTACTAATAACATAGTAATATTACAGATTACATTACTGATAATGTTGTTACATCACAGATTACATAACTGATAACATTGTTACATTACAGATTACATTACTGATAACACTGTTACATTACAGGAGGATTCATCTTTGGAGTGTGTTCGTTATGCCCGGTTTTGTCGGGGGAGGAACCTCTTCTTTGATTTTACCAAACCTGATATGTTTTCAGGTCATGAGAGGTAAAACAGTCAAAAAATTATACAGGTGTTTATGAAATATTTATAATAGACATGCTTTAAACCACTTAACCAGTGTGCTTTTAATCGTTCAGATATCCTGTATGTTACTGAATTACAGTAATGTGTAAAATATTCTTGATTGCCCTCATGGTGAAGTGGTTAGAATGTCTGCTCTAGAGTCGCAAAGTAAGGAGTCGATCCTTACGTCCTGGGTTCGAATCCCATTGTGGGATGTGGAAATGGGTCCTTCAGAAGACTGTATAAACCGAGGTCCTGTGTCACAGTAGGTGCTGACACGAAAAAGATTCCTCACTGCTTAATGTCCCTGATGACAAAATTTGTAACTCTCCACCAGCAAGTTTTGGTGTCTTCACATGAGTGAAAAATTCTCAAGAGGGATGTTAACTAACATACAATCAGTAAATCATACATGTACTTGTCTATTGCCTTTCTATTAAGCCAGAGTAAAATTCTCTTGTACAGTTTTCATTATTCTCTTTTATGATGAATATCAAAGTAAAGACGAAACTACTAGTACCTTAATCTTGCCATCTAATGCCTCTCTTTAAGTTTTTAAATCCTTTTAGATTCAAAGAAAACTTATTCGATGCAAAGTTACGGTTTGCACAGGACAATTTTAATACCGGAGTGATAGGGGGCCACTGTGACCTAAATAAAGAGGCTCTCAAAGCAGAGGGGGAACATAAGAGTGCTTTACAATCCTGGTAAGAACTTTTCATAAAAATAATTATAATATTCTCAATGTTAAAACTCCTCTCATGAAATCTTCATTAAGATTTAAGTGACATCTCATCCTCCTTATAACAATCCTTGACATAAAAATAGTAAAGACATCTTGTATTTGGATTCCTCAAAGAACGGAAGGATTTCAACCCCTTCCCCCATACACCCACACCCACACTCCCGTCATGTCTCTCTAAGGGGATCCCTGTCTCAACAGTTCCTAACTTAGCCCCCCACCCCAATCTTTTTACAATATGTTAGTGTGTGGTGGGGCATATATTTGCCTAAGTAAAGACCCCCCCCCCTCCCTTTTATCAGTCCAAAAATAACTAATATTGAAGTGAACAAGTCCTTCAAAAAATGAACACAAAAATTATATGGAACATGAAAGTCTTGAAAGATAGTCTGTAAGCCTAGCTAGCTTACTTGTACAGGTATATATCCTTAATGTGAAGTAAGCCATAATGTTATAAATTATTAATGTATATGATATAGGTTTGCTGAAGTGGAACATTTTTCATCGCTGCCTTTCCGTCCAATACAAGATGGCCGTTGTGATATCATTTTAGACAAGCCAACTTACTTTATGAAGTTAGATGCAGGTAAAGGAATCCATCGACTACAGACATCTGTTTGACAATACTTGTTTTACTTCAAACTTATACTGTAGTTTTCTTATTTTATGTGAGTACTAATCATAAAGGGCTCTAAGATAATCAATAATGAGAACAATAGTTCCCAAATGGACGGTTGATCAAGAGATTTTAGGAAATGGATTCCAACACTATGAAAGTGGATGCAAGTTATTTTATTTTATGAATGGTGCTGCTTGGAAATTACCTGATAATTATCGTATAATCCCTATTAACCACCCCTGCCCCTATAAGCACCCCCTAAGGTCTTTTTCAATGGTCAGGAAATAAGGGCCCCCTGTTCAGTGATTAAAATCATCTAGAATCATATCAAAAGTCTGCCAACATTTGAAGAAAGTGAAATTAAAACTTGTCTATTATCCAATTTCTCGATGGAAAAATGAATCATTTAGCATAATTTGGGTGGATTATCTTCACTTAAAGTAAAGTTGGACATTATTTTAGTGATTCTTTGAATTTATTTTTTTTCAAAAGATTTTTCTAATTGCCCAGGGTGGTTAATAGGGATTATACGGTATTTCCTTTCATGTCTTGTCCCAAACTAAAGTAGAATCAGGCTCAGTTGTGATTAAACATTTTCCTAACAAGAGCATGTTGTCTCAAGTGGTGTGTAGGTTTGGTACTGTAAACCAACTTTTATTCGCGACAACTTAATTTCGCGATTATGCAGGGGTAAACAAGTTCGCGACGATTCATTTCCGCGATCAATCATTTTGTATCTGTTATTTATAGACACATAACAATTTAATTACCGGTTTGCGGCGAGAAATATTCGCGATGACAAGGCTCTCGCGAACTTCGCGAAAATTTCTCGCACGCGAATAGAAGTTGGTTTACAGTAATTCTATCAGGCTTTTTTTACAGGGGTAAACATGTACCACCATTTTTGTGACTTTATCAACTTATACGCTTCCAATCACCTGAACAACTCCTTTTCCACAGATGTATACATTGTTATGTGGGACACGGTATGTTGGATACTTTTTTAAAGTTTTTATTTGAAACAGCTTTATTATTTGTCAATATAACCAAGAGCCTCTGCTTATGAAAATTTCATTCTTGTACATTTTAATTTTATATGTATAAAAAACAAGATGTGTTTGTGAAACACTATGCGCCCAGCGGCAACAAAGTTTAAAAAACTATTTTCAGCAGATAAGTGAAAGTCAAGGTCACAAGGTCATTGACCTTGGTGTCATTTGAATAACTTCATTTGTGGAGTATGCACACCAAATATGAAGTCTCTATCTCTCGTGGTTCAAAAGTTATGGCAAAAATTTTGTAAAATCTATTTTTAGCATATAGGTCACAGTCAAGGTCACAAGGTCATTGACCTTGGTGTCATATGAAAGAGCGTCATTGGTGGAGTAAGCATATCAAATATGTAGTCTCTATCTCTCATGGTTCAAAAGATATGGCGAAAATTCAAAAAAGCTATTTTTAGCAAATAGGTCATAGTCAAGGTCACAAGGTCATTGACCTTGGTGTCATTCGAAAGAACTTTATTGGTGGAGTATGTATACCAAATATGTAGTCTCTATCTTTCACGGTTCAAAAATTATGGTGAAGGTTAAAGTTGACAACAGACAGACAGACAAACAGACAAACAGATAAACAGACAAACAGACAGGACAAAAACAATATACGCCTCGGATCTATCGATCCGGGCGCATAAAAACTGGAAATGTATGATATTTAGTGAAAACAATATTTAGCATAAATTATTTTTTTGAACATGTTAAGGGAGATTTGAATTAGTGCATTTACTTATAATCCTATTTATATATACCTGTGCAAGATTTTAAGCGTTATACATGTACTATGTACTTGAATTAGTGGAGGTTGCCTTCTGAGAAAGGCGGTAGAGAGTTTTATACACAGCTAAATGTGATACATTTACACTAATCAATATTGTGTTACCTTTTATAATGGGTTCTTATATACTGGTAATTCAACACCTGACTTCTACAGAAGTAGCAACAACTACTTGTAGAGAGTGATAGACTAAGTACAGAGTTTTTATTGTGTATTTTAAATGTTGTTCAGAGTACAATGGGATACACAGATTTGTTCCTGGAGACTTGGAAAGCCTTCACAGACTATCCTATTATTAGATTACACAAGTACGCAAAGAAAACTGTAAGTAACATATATATATATAGAACTTACTGATCTATCGTACAGTCAGTTTTCTTTTGATAACTTAATTTTTTAATTAATATTTTAAAAAAAGAGATAGATTTTTTTAGCAATTTATTTTAGCAATCATCATACTCTGTAATTCAGTGCTTTCTGGGGTATAACGAGGGACATTAGACCTTCCAGTCTTCCATTTGCAAGAGATGCAAAATGACTAAAGGAAGAAAACCTATAGCGCTATGACAGAAGTTTTCACAATTTTTAGCTCTACTGGTCAGAGACCAGAAGAGCTTATGCGATAGTAATGCGTCCGGCGTCCGTCCGTCTGTCCGTTCAGCTGTCTGTCTGTCCGTCTGTCTGTAAACAATTTTTCAAAATGCTACTCCTCCTACAGTTTTGGTCTAATTTCAATATAACTTGGCACACAAGTAGACTACACTAAGATACATAATTCTGTGTATCGGTTTTTGATTTCGATGAACGGTGTTGCCGTGGTTACTAAAAATAGAAATTTCTGTGAAATTCTTTCAAAATGCTACTCCTCCTACAGTTTTGGTCTGATTTCAGTATAACTTGGCACACAAGTAGACTACACTAAGATACATAATTCTGTGTATCGGTTTTTGATTTCGATGAACGGTGTTGCCGTGGTTACTAAAAATAGAAATTTCTGTGAAATTCTTTCAAAATGCTACTTCTCCTACAGTTTTGGTCTGATTTCAGTATAATTTGGCACACAAGTAGAATACACTAAGATACATAAATCTATGTATCGGTTTTTGATTTAGATGAACGATGTTGCCGTGGTTACTAAAAATAGAAATATCTGTAAAATTGTTTCAATATGCTACTCCTCCTACAGCTTTGGTCTGATTTCAATATAATTTGGCACACAAGTAGAATACACTAAGATACATAATTCTGTGTATCAAATTTTAATTTTGATGAACTGTGTTGCCGTGGTTACTAAAAATTGAAATGTCTGTAAAATTGTTTTAAAATGCTACTCCTCCTACAGTTTTGGTCTGATTTCAATATAACTTGGCACACAAGTAGACTACACTAAGAACATAAAGAGACTTTATCAACGATTATTATTCTATATATTGCTGTTGTAAAGTTTCAAATCCCAGCTGCTTAAGTACTCTTCTCTTCCTTTGCTATAAGTTCAAACCAGTAGAGCTTCAGTCTCGACAGAGACTTCTGGTTTTAAAATTGCGGCCGTAAACAAGTACGCGCTTCAAGGAACAAACATCTGAAATATATACTTAAATATCATTTTAACTTAGATGGTACCTAATATTTGGTGAGGTGTCCCTTAGATTTAATGACAGCTAGTAAACGGCATGGTATGGAATCATACAGAGTTCTTATGTAGTTCTGATCAAATGAAGTCCATATGTCCGAAACGACGGTGAAGAGCTCCTCGGGGGTCGTTACTTTTGTTGCCGATTTTGTAGAGTTCGTTCAATTCGAAGCCACAAGTTTTCAATAATATTGATGTCCGGGGACTGTGCCGGCCACACAATAGTTGGAATGTTATTTTCCAGTTTGTAGTCCCTCGTAATATGGGCTTTATGTACGGGGGCATTATCATCTTGAAAGCGGTACGGTTTATTGCTAAAATGCCAAGCAATTACAGGCCATAAATGGTTTTCTAAAATTGCAATATATTTTTCTGCATTTATGTTACCGTTGACAAGGCAAAGGGTTCCTACTCCGTAATATGTAATGCAACCCCACACCATAATAGACACCCTTCTCTGTCGCGGAGGACACATGCATTGGGGTAGGAACGCTTCTTTTGATGTTCTCCAAACGTATACTCTATGGTTTTCACCCAGAACGATCTGACTTTCATCGGAGAAGATTACAGAGTTCCAATAATTATTAACAGTAAGTTTTCTCTTCTCGAGACACCATGACTTACGCTTTTTTCTGTTGACCTGTGACACAGCCATCTTTTTTCTTACCACTTGTCTCTTCACATCATGTTCATGTAAAAATCTCTGCACTGTCCGTGGATGTATATGATCATTTGCATCCCTACTTCTGTTTAAATCATTCGTAATGTCACTTAAAAACGTTCCCTGTTCATTTTTGTATGACGAACAAGCCAGTTCCGATCCGTCTGCGACATCTTGCAAGGACGTCCTTTTCTTTTCGCTTTGTTTATCTCCCCCGTGTATAAATACTTTTTCCAGATTGATCTGATTGTAAATTCTGATATTCCTAATAAATTTTCAATTTCACGTCTTTTTTCCTTCTAACTTCATTTCAACAATCAATTTTCGTACATCGTTCGTCAGTTAATTCTTTTGATTTTCGGCCCATGGTGAATGATAGGTTTGTTTACGATTTTACAAGAATGCAGACGATGGAAATTGATTAACTACGTCACTAACTTGCGAAAGATGACTGGATAAATCGGCCTCGTTCAAAAGTTATTCCCCTTTGAACAAACAAAGTGTATATTGTTGACGTTGCCATTTTTAAAAAATCGCGAATACTTTTGTCATAGCGCTGTATATCTCTGAAACTAAAAGGTCAAAATCTTGATCATGTTGATAGCTTTGCAGATAGTGGATAGAATTTAAAAAGCTCCACTAATATTTGGCAAAGAAATTAAAAAGAAGGTTGACTGGAAGACCCAGGGTCAAAAGGTTAAGGTCAACACTTTTGATGTTCTTGTTTTGAATGCTTTGTTTGATATTTCTTCTTTCAAACTAATGCAATACATTCCTTATTTTAAATAACACTAATTCTGTATTAATATTTTCTCTCTTGTTCTGTTTCTGTCAACAGTTGTGTGTACGAGATGCTGTCTTTTCTCTTCTGCCTAGAATGAGATATGGCATGTATTATAATCAGCCTTTGGTAAGCCTACACTTAATAGAAACAGTTGCTTACAATGGTGCTGTAGTTCAGTAACCAAACTAATACAAAAAGAAGAATTGACTTCTTAAATGCTGAAGGTTTTCATACACTAAAAATTAGTGATTTCAAATTTTTGATGAAAATGCAATTTAAATGAATTTTAATTGACCTGCATCCAAGGGTTGACAATATACAAACATTTCAATTCAATAAAATATGAATATTGTGGTGTAAATAAATACTTAAGTTTGAGAAAGTTTAGTATGAAATGCAAAAGAAAAAAAGAATTAATAATTATACATGTAATTGAAGGTTCCAGGTTGCAGTGGGAGCAGTTTCTTTGAAGCCTTTAATAAACATTTGGCTCACAGACTTAAACTCATTCAATATGGGCCACTGGTAAGTTAAACTCACTCAACATGGGTCATTTGTAAGATAGCTCACAGACTTAAACTCACTTAACCTGGGCCACTGGTAAGTTAACTCACAGACTTACACTCACTCAACATGGGTCATTTGTAAGTTAAATTTCGGATTCAAACTCACTCAACATGGGCCACTTTTAAGTTAACTCTCGGATTCATACTCATTCAACATGGGTCACTTCTTAGTTAGCTCACAGACAAACTCATTCAACATGGGCCACTGGTTAGTTCATTCACAGACTTAAACTCACTATACATAGGTTTTTGGTCAGTTAGCTCAAAGAACCTAACTCACTCAACATGGGCCACTGGTAAGTTAGCTCACAGATTTAAACTCACTCAACTTGGGCTTGATTTCAATATGTGTTAATAAGTGTGACACAGCTACTTGATTTCTATGATATTTATGATAAATTTTATAATTACTAGTACTTAATGCATTAATCTTAAACAAGAGGCCCATGGGCCACATCGCTCACCTGAGAAGCTTTGACCCCACCCTACCCCACTGATCAAAATTTAAACAATTTGAAATCTACACTACCCCAGTATGCTTCCATGTAAGTTTAGCTTTGATTTTCAGATTTTTTCTATATATTTCTATGTAAAACATTGATTCCACATTGTGGTCCCGCCCAACCCCCGGGGGTCATGATTATAACAATTTAGAATCTACACTACCCCAGGATGCTTCCAAATAAGTTACAGCTTCTCTGGCTCAGTGGTTCTTGAGAAGAAGATTTTCAAAGATTTTTCCTATATATTTCTGTGTAAAACTTTGATTTCCCATTGTGGCCCCGCCCTACCCCTGGGGGTCATGATTTGAACAATTGAGAATCTACACTACCCTAGAATGCTTCCACATACATTTCAGCTTTTTTGACCCAGTGGTTCTTGAGAAGAAGATTTTAAAAGATTTTTCCTTTATATTTCTATGTAAAAGATTGATTCCACATTGTGGCCCCGCCCAACCCCCGGGGGTCATGGTTTGAACAATTTAGAATCAACACTACCCAGGGATGCTTCCAAATAAGTTTCAGCTTCTCTGGCTTAGTGGTTCTTGAGAAGAAGATTTTCAAAGATTTTTCCTATATATTTCTATGTAAAACATTGATTCCCCATTGTGGCCCCGCCCTACCCCTGGGGGTCATGATTTGAACAATTTAGAATCTACACTACCCAAGGATGCTTCCACATAAGATTCAGCTTTTCTGGCCCAGTGGTTCTTGAGAAGAAGATTTTCAAAGATTTTTCCTTTATATTTCTATGTAAAACTTTGATTCCCCATTGTGGCCCCGCCCTATCCCCGGGGGTCATGATTTGAACAATTTAGAATCTACACTACCCCAGGATGCTTTCACATAAGTTTCAGCTTTACTGGCCATGTGGTTCTTGAGAAGAAGATTTTTTAATGACCCAACCCTATTTTTGTCTTTTCTTGATTATCTCCCCTTGCTAGGGGATATGTCCCTTCATTTTAACAATTTAAATTCCCCTTCACCCAAGGATGCTTTGTACCAAGTTTACGAAATTGGCCCACTTGAGAAGAAGTCGAAAATGTGAAAAGTTTACAGACGGACGGACAGCTAGACAGACGGACGGACGACAGACAAAATGTGATCAGAAAAGCTCACTTGAGCCTTTGGCTCAGGTGAGCTAAAAAATACACAGATGATTTATCTAGACTTTTGTAAACAACAATTGTTCGAAGTGGTTTCAAAAATACTTCATTTCTAATTTTAGAAAAATAATAATTTTCTTATGACTTGTCTATAAATTTGGCAGAGTTATGAACCAAAATTTAACTCCAAAAAAGCAACATATAGGCAAGTTTATACAGACATATATTTAATAATACTTTCTGTATTAAAATGGCAATTTCAGAAAACTTAATGAGAGATGCTGAAGATGAACAGTTTAAATTAGGTTGTACAATTGATCATTAACTTGCATTTAGTATGCAAGATGAATAAGAGCAGTCATTGACTGTTACCATGGTCATGGATAGCTGTAAAATTGTAATTGCTAACATTTAATAGATTTCTTTAAATATTTATTACAGGAGTCCAGAATTAGAATCACTCTTCTGTCCAGAAAAACCAAGTACAGGAACATTCTGAATGAGAGAGAGGTGAGCTAAATTTAGAAAGTTTACAGGTGAAAGTGCTTTACTTTGAAAAGCAAAATGAGTAGCTTCACAGAACTGGTTAAACTCAAAGAGAAATTTGTCCCAATTTTTTAATTGTATTGCATTGCAATGTTGAAATATTGTTTGTTTACATTTATTTAAAAAAAATTCAAATACATTTCATTCTTCACCATAATCTTTAATTCTAAATATTGATACCATCTTTAAAAGAGGATTATAGGCATTAACTGAAATCTTCTGTGAATTTGTCTGTCTATTAATGAACAATGAACATTACAGTTAACTGTACTAGTGTACTAGCTGTTTTGTTGTAGCTGAAGAGAGCAATGAGCACAGTTGGAGAATTTGATGTCAAAGTAGTCACATACAATAGGTAAAGATATTGACGAGTTAAATAATATGTACATATTGAATAATTTGACATTGTTACTATTTCTGAATTTCTTGAAATTTTAATTCCCAGTATTGTGCTTTCAAAAGTTTCAAATAAAGTATTTTTTTATTTCCTAGGGACATGCCATTTATAGAGCAAATAGAGGTATGGAATTGAATGACCTTTTTGCAAAGACTGTAGTCACTTTTGTCAATGAATTACACATCTAAGTCTTTTTAGGTCACCTTAGTAAACTCAGGTGACCTATTGCTATCAGTATTCATCTGTCGTCGTGCGGGTGTGCGTCGTGCGTTGTGTGTTGTGTGTTAACATTTGAACATTTTCAGCTTCTTCTCTGAAACCACTGAACCAATTTCAACCAAATTAGGCATATAGCATCTATGGGTGAAGGGGAACAAAAATTATGAATTTCACAATCCCTGCCCCCCTGGGGCCTGAGGGGTGGGGCCAAAATCACGAAAATTAGTGCAATCTTTAAAAATCTTCTTCTTTACTCCTGGACATCAAGCAGTCAATCTGTTTGCTTGATTGTAATCAGCCTTGAGTCCTCTACCAAAATTGTCAAAATGGGGTCAGGGGTTCTAGTGCTAGGGCAGGGCTAAATAGATTATATAGTGAAAATGCATTATTTCTTTGCAAAATCTTCTTCTCTGCTCCTTGGCATTAAATAAACGAAATAAGTACATAGTTATGTTGCATAAATCTACCTCTTCCAAAATTGTGAATTTCATAGCCCTGGGGTCAGGGGTTTTTAGGTGTTAGGGTGGGGCTGTATAGATTATATTGTGAAAATGCATAAATTCTTTGAAATTCTCCTTTTCTGTTTATGGGCATTAAATAAACTAACCAATCAATAATTATGTTGAATAAGGCTGTCTTTTCTAAAATTGTGAATCTAATGGCCCCAGGGTCATGGGTTCTAGTGCTAGGGTGGGGTTATATAGATTATATAGTGAAAATGCATAAATTCTTTGAAATTTTTGTTCTCTGTTCATGGTCATTAAATAAACTACCAAGTGCATAGCTATGTTGAATTAGGCTGCCTCTTTCAAAATTGTAAATTTCATGGCCCCAGGGTCAGGAGTTCTAGTGCTAGGCAGGGCTATATAGATTATATAGTAAAAAATGAATTATTTCTTTGAAAATCTTCTTCTCAGCTCCTGAGTATTCAATAAACTAACCAAGTACACAGTTTTATTAAATAAGGCTGCCTCTTCCAAAATTGTGAATTTCACGGCCCCTGGGTTGGGGTTCTGGTGTTAGGGTGGGGCTCTACTGAAAATGCATAAATTCTTTAAAAATCTTCTTTTCTGCACCTGGGTATTAAACCAATGAACTATGTACATAGTTATGAGGAGGAAGGATGCCTCATTGAGATTTGTGAATTTCAGGGCCCCTGGATCAGGGCTTCTTGTATTAGGGCAGGGCTCTAATATTTATATATTGAAAATGCACGAATCCTTTCAAAATCTTTTACTTGGTTCCTGGGTATTATGCCAATGATCTTAGTATATATTTATGACGAAGAAAACTGCTTCTTCCAAAAATGGTTAATTTCCTGGCCCTAGGGACAGAGGTACTTGGGGGGGGGGGGGGGTACATAGTCTGCAAATAATTTAATGCTTTGAAATATGCACTTTGGTATTAATCAAGAATATGATGAAATAAAATTTATAAAATTTCCAAAATTTTGAAAGATGTGGTCCCAGGGTCAGTGGTTCCTGTGGGATGGGGTGCAAAACTGATAAAGTGGAAAATGCATTTTCTCTTTGCTACTCTGGGATACCCCTGGGTATTAAGTAACCAAAGTAAGCATGCTGAGTGTATAATTGTGATAAGCAATGGTGCCTCTTTCAAAATTGTGAATTTCATGGCCTCTGGTTTAACACATGAATCAAATTCAATTGTTGGAAAGTTGTTGCATGATACTCAGGTGACCTATAAGGCCCATGGGCCTCTTGGTAATAAATCATATACTGCATACATGCCAACTTTCCCGATTTAGGCAGGATTCTCCCGATTTTACCCTTTCATCCCGCCTTCCCAATCGGGAGAGAAAAATTGCCCTAATTTCCTGATTTGTAAAAATTCACCCACAATTTCCGATTTTATAAGTTTCCCTTTACTGCTGAATTTTGTCAAATGGGATAACAATATCAGACCTGTTTTTTCAATGCACATAGATAAGTTTCATCGTTTATTTAGGTGTTACTGTAAACCAACTTTTATTCGTGACGACTTTATTTCACGATTTACAGGGAGTAAACTAGTTTGCGACGATTAATTTTCGCGATAAAGCCTATTTAGGTTTCTTTTTAATAGACACATAGACTTTAAATACCGGTTCGCCGCGAGAAATATTCGCGGTGACGAGGCTCTTGTGAACTTCGTGAAAATTTCTCGCACGCGAATAAAAGTTGGTTTACAGTAATTAGCCACAGGAAATCACTTCACGCTTGAATGCACGCAGTCGTCCAGGTGCAGGTGGCTTACAGCTTGGGGCAATTAGGGGATTATCTTTTCAGTTTTAAGGGGTACGCAAGGTGAAACACATAGATTAAGGGGATAATTGTTAGTCATTTTATTGAAAACATAAATTAAAGACAACTAACTAATAACCAAACTATAAAATCGGAATCCAAAGAGATCGTTATTTGAAAACAAAAGTAGAAAACTACAAAGCAAAGCTGCTAACTTTATGTATCTATAATGAAAAATTATTGTAAAGTTTGCCAGTTAAAATAATATCTAAAAAATCCAGATGAAACAATAAATTTCTTTTCCCTTAGACCCTTCTCCCAAAAGTAATTAATATTGTATGCGTACTATGTGACTAGGAAATACCCACATAGCACCATCAAGCCTGCCACAGTTCAAGACTGTAAAAAAATAATTTTCTTTGGGATAGGTGGTATTTTTGTGTTAGAAAATTGATGATTTAATTCTTCAAAACCGATGGTTTATTTCTTCGAATTGTTTTGTGTGCGACATAAAATTAAGTGTTTTAATTTAAGTGCAGTTGTAAATGTACATTACCATGAGGAAAAATTTTCTTTTCTCCCACACAAACAATAAAAAGCATTGCAATTTCTCAAAATTTCTTTAAATTTAATATCTGATTAGAATTTATAATTAATTAAAATGAAAAAATCTCAAAAATGTTCCCAGAAACAGTACAGTGTACTTTACAGTATGAAAAGTTGTACAATTTTCAATTTTTCAACAAATTATGTGTCCTAGCTGGTTAAAAAAAAATTGTTTACATATGTTACTAAATACCCCTTCTTTAGTGAGAAAGGCACATATTTGAGCAAAAATATTTCAATTTTGGAAAGTAAAACCTTATTTTTGTGTTATTTTATCCTTTAGTAGTATTAATAAGTGATATTAATTATATTATAAAATTTAATTTAAAAAAAGGATCATGTCATAATCATTTAATTTCATGACAAAATGTCGCAAATTTAAAGCTTTGAAAAATGTTGTCACGTGCAAAATCCCCCATGGGAATTTTTAGGTCACCTGAGTAAACTCAGGTGACCTATTGCTATCTGTTTTTGTCCGTCGTCGTTTGTCGTGCATCGTGCGTTAACATTTGAAGATTTTTAGCTTCTTCTCTGCAACCACTGAACCATTTCAATCAAATTTGGCATATAGCATCTATGGGTGAAGGGAACAAAAATTGTGAATTTCATAATCCCTGCCCCCCTGGGGCCTGGGGAGTGGGGCAAAAACCATTAAAATTAGTGTAATCTTTAAAAATCTTCTTCTTTACTCCGGGACATCAAGCAGTCAAACTGTTGGTATGATTGTAATCAGCATTGAGTCGTCTACCAAAATTGTGAAATTCATGGCCCCAGGGTCAGGGGTTCTAGTGCTAGGGCAGGGCTAAACAGGTTATATAGTGAAAATGCATTATTCCTTTGAAAATCTTCTTCTCTGCTCCTGGGCATTAAATAAGCTAACTAAGTACATATTTATGTTAAATAAGATTGCCTCTTCCAAAATTGTGAATTTCATGGCCCCAGGGTCAGGGGTTCTGGTGTTAGGGCAGGGCTGTATTGGTTATATAGTGAAAATGCATTAATTCTTTGAAAATCTTCTTCTCTGCTCCTGGGTATAAAACAAACAAACTAAGTATACATAGTTATTATGACCAAGAATGCCTCTTCTAAAATTGTGAATTTCATAGCCCATGGGTGAGGGGTTCTTGTGTTAGGGCGGGGCTCTTTAATTGTTTATATAGTGAAAATACATTAAAAAATCTTCTTCTCTTCTCCTGGGTATGAAATAGACTAACCAAGTACATGGTTATATTAAATAAGTCCACCTCTTCCAAAATTATGAATTTCATGGCCCCAGGGTCAGGGGTTCTGGTGTTAGGGCAGGGCTCTGTTGATTATATAGTGAAAATGCATAAATTCTTTAAAAATCTTCTCCTATGCTCCTGGGTATAAAACTACTGAATTATGTACATTGTTATGATGAAGAAGGATGCTTCTTCCCAATTTGTGAATTTCATGACCCCTGGGTCAGGGGTTCTGGTGTTAGGGTGGGGCTCCATAATGATTATATTGTGAAAACGCTTGAATTCTTTGGAAATATTTTCCTTTGCTCCTTGGTATAATGCCAATGATCTAAGTATATATTTATGATGAAGAAAGATGCCTCTTCCAAAATGGTTAATTTCAGGGCCCCTCCATTAGGGGTACTGCGGGGGGTGGGGGTTGGTTACATAGTCTGAAAATAAAGTAATACTTTGAAATCCGTTCTTTGATGTTAATCACCCATTTCTGATGAAAAGAAATTTCTAAAATTTCTAAAATTTTAAAATATGTGGCCCCAGGGTCAGTGGTTCCTTTGTGTTGGTGTGCACAACTGGTGGTTATAAAGTGGAAATGCATTTTCTCTCTGTTACTCTGATCTCCCTTTGGGTTTTAAGTAACCAAATTAAGCATGCTAAATGTATAGTTATGATAAACAATGGTGCCTCTTTCAAAATTGTGAATTTCAAGACATTTGGTTTTAAATAGTCAAACCAAAATCAGTCGTTGGAAAGTTGTTACATGTTACTCAGGTGACCTATAAGGCCCATGGGCCTCTTGTCAAAAGTGGCATGTATGATACTGTAAAAGCTCAAATTTTTGTGGGGGATGAAATTTCGTTGATCTGTTATCTAAAAAGGTTTTTAGCTCACCTGAGCTGAAGACTCAAGTGAGCTTTTCTGATCAAAATTTGTCTGTTGTCTGTCGTCGTTGTGGTCGTAGTCGTTGTTGTTGTTGTCGTCGTTAACTTTTCACATTTTCATTATCTTCTCAAGAACCACTGGGCCAATTTCAACCAAACTTGCCACAAAGTATCCTTGGGTGAAGGGAATTCAAGTTTGTTCAAATGAAGGGCCACCCCGTCTTCCAAGGGGAGATAATTATGAATTAGTGAAAAATAAATGGCATGATTTAAAAATCTTCTTCTCAAGAATCACTGGGCCAAGAAAGATGTTACTTATGTGGAATCATCCTCAGGTAGTGAAGATTCAAATTTGTTCAAAGCATGACCCCCGGGGGTAGGTTGGGGCCACAATGGGGTATCAAAGTTTAACATAGGAATACATAGGAAAAATCTTTAAAAATCTTCTTCTCCAGAACCCCAGGGCCAGGAAAGATGAAACTCATGTGGAATCATCCTCAGGAAGTGAAGATTCAAGTTTGTTCAAATAATGACCCCCGGGGGTAGGGTAGGGCCACAATGGCAAATCAAAGTTTAACATAGGAAAAATCTTTAAAAATCATTTTCTTCAGAACCCCTGGGCCAGGAAAGATGAAACTTATGTGGAAACATCCTCAGGTACCCAAGATTCAAGTTTGTTCAAATCATGACCCCCGAGAGTAGGGTGAGGCCACAATGGGGTATCAAAGTTTAACATAGGAATACATAGGAAAAATCTTTAAAAATCATCTTCTTCAGAACCACAGGGCCAGGAAAGATGAAACTCATGTGGAATCATCCTCAGGTAGTGAAGATTCAATTTTGTTCAAATCATGACCCCCAGGGATAGGGAGTGTCCACAATGGGGTATCAAAGTACAACATATGAATACATAGGGAAAATCTTTAAAAATCTTATCCTCAAGATTCACTGGGCCAGGAAAGAAGAAACTCATGCAGAAGCATTTTCTGAAAGGGAAGATTTAATTTTGTTCAAATCATGACCCCTTGGGCAAGGGTGTTGCCACAATTAGTGATCAAGGTTCTACATAGGAATGCAGGGTAAAAATAGTTAAAATTCTTCACAAAGCCATCATGATGATTGATCATCAATATAAAAGCATAAAAAAGGTAATGTAAATTTGAAATTCAGGAGAATAGAGGAACCATAAAGTGGACAAATGAATACAAAGGCTATATCAATAAAAATGTTCATCTTATTAACAACAAAACTATAATGTGTCACAAAAGCATTCTAAGGAAGTGTATATTTACGTTTGTTTAAATACCCCCTCCCCTCCCCTGACCCCATTTTTAGCTCTACTGGTCAGAGACAAGAAGAGCTTATGCGATAGTAATGCGTCCGGCGTCCGTCCGTCTGTCCGTCTGTCTGTAAACAATTTTTCAAAAGTCTACTCCTCCTACAGTTTTGGTCTAATTTCAGTATAACTTGGCACACAAGTAGACTACACTAAGATACATAACTCTGTTTATTGGTTTTTGATTTCGATGAACGGTGTTGCCGTGGTTACTAAAAATAGAAATTTCTGTGAAATTCTTTCAAAATGCTACTCCTCCTACAGTTTGGTCTGATTTCAAAATAACTTGGCACACAAGTAGACTACACTAAGACACATAATTCTGTGTATCGGTTTTTGATTTCGATGAACGGTGTTGCCGTGGTTACTAAAAATAGAAATATCTGTAAAATTCTTTCAAAATGCTACTCCTCCTACAGTTTTGGTCTGATTTCAGTATAACTTGGCACACAAGTAGACTACACTAAGATACATAATTCTGTATATTGGTTTTTGATTTCGATGAACGGTGTTGCCGTGGTTACTAAAAATAGAAATTTCTGTGAAATTCTTTCAAAATGCTACTCCTCCTACAGTTTTGGTCTGATTTCAGTATAACTTGGCACACAAGTAGACTACACTAAGATACATAATTCTGTGTATCGGTTTTTGATTTCGATGAATGGTGTTGCCGTGGTTACTAAAAATAGAAATATCTGTAAAATTCTTTCAAAATGCTACTCCTCCTACAGTTTTGGTCTGATTTCAGTATAACTTGGCACACAAGTAGACTACACTAAGATACATAATTCTGTGTATCGGTTTTTGATTTCGATGAATGGTGTTGCCGTGGTTACTAAAAATAGAAATTTCTGTGAAATTCTTTCAAAATGCTACTCCTCCTACAGTTTTGGTCTGATTTCAGTATAACTTGACACACAAGTAGACTACGCTAAGATACATAATTCTGTGTATCGGTTTTTGATTTCGATGAACGGTGTTGCCTTGGTTACTAAAAATAGAAATATCTGTAAAATTCTTTCAAAATGCTACTCCTCCTACAGTTTTGGTCTGATTTCAGTATAACTTAGCACACAAGTAGACTACACTAAGATACATAATTCTGTGTATCTTTTTTTGATTTCGATGAACGGTGTTGCCGTGGTTACTAAAAATAGAAATATCTGTAAAATTCTTTCAAAATGCTACTCCTCCTTCAGTTTTGGTCTGATTTCAGTATAGCTTGGCACTCAAGTAGACTACACTAAGACACATAATTCTGTGTATCGGTTTTTGATTTCGATGAACGGTGTTGCCGTGGTTACTAAAAATAGAAGTATCTGTAAAATTCTTTCAAAATGCTACTCCTCCTACAGTTTTTGTCTGATTTCAGTATAGCTTGGCACTCAAGTAGACTACACTAAGATACATAATTCTGTGTATAGGTTTTTGATTTCGATGAACGGTGTTGCCGTGGTTACTAAAAATTGAAATTTCTGTGAAATTCTTTCAAAATGCTACTCCTCCTACAGTTTTGGTCTGATTTCAGTATAACTTGGCACACAAGTAGACTACACTAAGATACATAATTCTGTTTATTGGTTTTTGATTTCGATGAACAGTGTTGCCGTGTTTACTAAAAATAGAAATATCTGTAAAATTGTTTCAATTTGCTACTCCTCCTACAGTTTTGGTCTGATTTCAGTATAACTTGGCACACAAGTAGACTACACTAAGATACATAATTCTGTGTATCGAATTTTAATTTTAATTTTGATGAACGGTGTTGCCGTGGTTACTAAAAATAGAAATGACTGTAAAATTGTATCAAAATGCTACTCCTCCTACAGTTTTGGTCTGATTTCAATATAACTTGGCAAACAAGTAGACTATACTATGAACATAAAGAGACTTTATCAACGATCATTATTCTATTTATTGCTGTTGTAAAATTTCAAATCCCAGCTGCTTAAGTACTTTTCTTTTCCTTTGCTATAAGTTCAAACCAGTAGAGCTTCAGTCTCGACAGAGATTTCTGGTTATAATATAAACTTTTCAATACTGAACTAATTTTTAGCTCTACTGGTCAGAGACCAGAAGAGCTTACGATAGTAATGCGTCTGGCATCCGTCCGTCCGTCTGTCTGTCTGTAAACAATTTTTCAAAATGCTACTCCTCCTACAGTTTTGGTCTGATTTCAATATAAGGCTGCACACAAGTAGACTACACTCAGATACATAATTCTATGTATCGGTTTTTGATTTTGATGAACGGTGTTGCCTTGGTTACTAAAAATAGAAATTTCGGTGAAAAACATTCAAAATGCTACTCCTCCTACAGTTTTGGTGTGATTTCAATATAACTTGGCACACAAGTAGACTACACTATGATACATAATTCTGTGTATCGGGGTTTGATTTTGATGAACGGTGTTGCGGTGGTTACTAAAAATTGAAATTTTGGTGAAAAACATTCAAAATGCTACTCCTCCTACAGTTTTGGTCTGATTTCAATATAACTCTGCACACAAGTAGACTACACTCAGATACATAATTCTGTTTATTGGTTTTTGATTTTGATGAACGGTGTTACCCAGGTTACTAAAAGTAGAAATTTCTGTGAAAAACATTCAAAATGCTACTCCTCCTGCAGTTTTGGTCTGATTTCAATATAACTTGGCACATAAGTAGACTACACTAAGATACATAATTCTGTGTATCGGGGTTTGATTTTGGTGAACGGTGTTGCCGTGGTTACTAAAAATGTGAAAAACATTCAAAATGCTACTCCTCCTGCAGTTTTGGTCTGATTTCAATATAACTTGGCACACAAGTAGATTGCACTAAGATACATAATTCTGTTTATCAGTTTTTGATTTTGACGAACGGTTTTGCTGTGGTTACTAAAAATAGATATTTCTATTAAAAACATTCAAAATGCTACTTCTCCTACAGTTTTGGTCCGATTTCAATATAACTTGGCACACTGCTTTTGTAAAGTTTTAAGTCCCAACTGCTACTTTTCTCTTCCCCTATTATAAATACAAACCAGTAGAGCTACAGTCTTGACAGAGACTTCTGGTTACTTTTACCTAGCCAGTTGCTCATGTGAGCGATGTGGCCCCTGGGCCTCTTGTTAGGCTCCTGGGCATATTAAAATTTCATTGTTTCAAAAGTACCCATTTTCAATGTATAATCATGTAAAAAATTTGTTGTGGATTTATTTTTTTCTTGCTTATTGTAGGCAACAAAATAAATGAAATCAAATCCGTAGCAAATATTTCTACTTTTACAGTATGTAGGCAGAAATATACAGTGCTCTGTCTGTTATTTATTTTTTATTTTACAGACCTCCTACAACAGTGATATATTGATCGGCATGCATGGAGCCGGCCTCACTCATCTTCTCTTTCAACCAGACTGGGCTGTAGTTATTGAGTTGTAAGATATCTATATTACATAGGTGTCATTTTTACATTCCAAACTCTGTAAGATATCTATATTACATAGGTGTCATTATTTACATTCTAAACTCTTGTCTTTGTAATGAACAATCACAGAATTACTGTTTCAAATACAGTATTTTGATCCTGACATTCTTTTTTTTGAGGTATAACTGTGAGGATGATGCCTGCTATCATGACTTGGCCAGGTCCAGAGGTATTCACTATATGACCTGGGAAAAACCATCCAAAGTGTACCAAGAAGATGAGGTGAACCTCAGGAAATTATTTATGCCTATTCTGAAATTAGATGTAAAATATAAACGTCTTCAATCAGAATAGCCATGCTTAACCCAGCATTTTAATTCCTCAACACACAAAATATTCCTAGATTGTTTTAATGGTCAGAGTAAAATTTGTATTTCAGGGTCATCACCCAACACTTGGGGCCCACGCCAAGTTTACAAATTATGAGTTTGATGTGAGTGAGTTCATGAGATTGATCCTTAATGCTGCTGATCTCATACGATCTCATCCTAAATTTATCCAGGAAAGACAATCCAAGTATTCTGAGGAAAAAGGGCAGCAATCCGAAGTTTCCCAAGGGAGAGAATTCAAAGAAGAATTATGATGTTCATGTAATAAGTAGGTCTCAAGGAGAAATAGCAAATAACAAACTTGAAAAACATAGGAAAGTATGTGATGAACAAAACTGAAATTTTCTTTATTACTTTAAAAAAGAAGCCATGGGCTGGACTCCTGATTCACATGCAAAAACATGAAATAACAAACTTGCAATAATGTTTGAAAAATAAACTCATGATCCACAGAATAATTAATGCTTCAAACTATGCAACAGAACCACAAAAGGTTGCATAATTTAAAAGTAATAATAAAGTTATGTAAAGGAAATTCATGACACAAAACACAAAGAAAATGCAGGAATCACAGATTGAAATCAAAATTGTATGTTTAAGCATTCTACAAATAGTTTACTATAATGATGAAAATTATTAAATGTTTTGCTATCAAAATTGTTATCTTAATCCAACCCAGCCCAAAAATAAAAAAAAAAAAGGATTGATGGATTTTATTTTTTATTTAGATTCGATATTCTAAATGATACTGAAAAACGCAATTCCTTAGAGGATATAGAAATTAATATTTAATTACCAGGTAAGAAAATTGAATTCTTTCCAGAAATTGATTTTAATCTTAAAATTATTGCTGTTAACATAATGTCACATACTTGATTGAACACAGTGTTTGAAACTTCCTGTAGAATTAACTCAGGGCTGTCAAATAGTAAAAAAAGATTGTATTTACTGTAAAAGCACAAATATTCGTGTGGGATTTAATTTCGTTTATTTCGTTGTTATCAATATTCAACGAAATTAAATCCCACACGAAATTTTATTTGACAATATATTGAATAGGGTTTCTTTAAAAACAACGAAATTTAATGCCAACGAAACTATTTTTGATGACAAATCAACGAAATTTCATGCCCACGAAAATTTGTGCTTCTACAGTAATAATTGTTTTAGCAATTCATTGACTGAACTAGGTTAGTAGAGTTACCTAAACTACATACACTCAATCTCTAACCTATAGAAAGACAAATTCTTACACTTTGATACCAATACTTTAAGTTGATTTAAAAAAAAACATATATATCAAAAATATGAAATTTTTGTTATTGAAAAGTTAAACATGTACAGCATGGTGTCTCTTCATCTAGATTTGTTTATCTTGGGCAGTTGGGTGCATTGATTTGTTTATTCATTACCAGTGATTCACACTTTTTGATTTATTACATATACAGTGAACCCTCAGATATCCGGACGCCAGATATCCGGATGCTTCAGTATCCGGACGATTTTTCATCGGAACGAAATTTTTAAATGTTATTTTGTCTTGTTTAACTGGTGATTCAGATATCCGGATGCTTCATATATCCGGACAAATTGAATGGGAACCAAAGTGTCCGGATAAATGAGGGTCCACTGTAGTTGTTATTGAACTAATTGAGTATTTAGAGGTAGATATTTTATATAACAATTTACAATTATGGTGCTAGTTTGTATAATCTTCCTAGAATATAATATTTTATGTCAATCTTATAAATGAGGTTATTGCTGAATGTTGTATCATTTTTTTTATTGTTTGATTGATTGATGATTTTTATAGTTTTTTGTCAAACATCCTAATAGATCACATGTTAATCTGCATGAAGATATTGTATTATTGCAGTGTTTGTATGGTCTTCCATTTTGAAAATCCATAACTGTTATTTTCACAAAAGTCAATATTAAAAAAACCACATTCCTTGTTAATGCATTTTGTTAGGTATAATTTAGGGAAGTGTAAGATAAGTAAATTGAGTGTTTTGTTATTTTTTGTTTCTAAAAACACAGATTTCACAAATGTTGGCTTGATAGTTGTCTTAAGATATTTTGCAGTGAAGACTCTAATGTTTTTAGAACAGTTGTCAAGTATATGTTGTATGAAGATAAAATATCAATGTATTTTTGGTGGATTTAAAGACAACCCCTTGAAAAAAGTGTCACTTACGTATTGTATATTTTTCTTGCAATATGCTATGTTGATCCTAATATAGATGTACTAGAGTTATATAATAGATATTGATCTACCTTTAGTAGATATTGACCTACATATGTGTTCCTGTCAGGTTGTGATTGGTTGATATTGTTGATTTTTTCATCTGTGATTTTGAGGGTAATGGTGCAGTTTTATTTTGCAGCAATTACAGTATAAAGGTGCCTTTATTTAAATCCATTATTTTATTAATACTTTTAATACAGTGTATACTGGTATATACAATTAAATGTAAAATACTTGTGTCTTTACCATTCAATTGTGTGATTTTTAGCTTTTTAATGTCATTTTAGTCAGGAGACCTACTGCTGTCTGCTTCTATCCATTGTCATGTTGTGATGTGGATATTTCAGCTTTATTTTGAGCTACTCTTCTTAAACAAATGAACCCCTGTCAATCAGTATTGATGTACAGAAATTATGAATGAGAGAAGAACAAAAAGTATGAATCTGGTCTTGAATATCTTGGTACATGCTGGTTGGGTTAATGTTAAAATGAATGCAATCTTCAAAAATTTATTTCTTTATATCTTATAATACAGTCCTTATATGATTATAGGAGGGTCATTCAAAAAATACGTAGACAATGTTCTTCATCGTCGTATTATTATTACAAGATTGCAGATCAACACATTTTCGTAAATAAAACATTTATTTTGTTGAAGTGTAAAGTTTCATTCCATTTGATTAAATAGCTGTCATGTTAGCCAATGTTTAAAGCAACTTGTTTTGTTACGACGGAGCACAGTTAACCAACATTGTAACGTCAAAAACAACGTGGCGAAAGTTTCAGTAAATAACTCTGCATTTTAATTTCATACACGGTTTGTAGCGTCTTACACCTAGTTTGCTAACAATTGTGCAAAGACTAGTAGCTTGAACTAGATTGTCAGTGTTTTCGATTTCTTACCGCCTAACTATTAGTACCGCAACAGTGAAGTGCATTAGTACTGCAACAGTGAAGCGCACATCACATTTAATGACGTTCCTAACTCTTTTGACAAGATTTTTATAACCTGCTTCTGTGCAGACCACCCTTGTCCGATTTAAACTCGCTACCACTCAAAAATTGTATTTTCCATTTTATACAAATACATGTACACGACTTATTTTTCATACATTTCCTGGTTTATACAATTTTAAAAAAAAAAGGTTTGTTAAAGAAGTGTCTCGAATGCAAAGCAAAGTTTTATTGCTACTCGCTACTCCGTGACGTCCTCCAACGTCATGTTTTTTTTTTAATTTTACCTTTTTTAATCAAGTCCATATGTAACTGATAAAAAGTGATATCTTTTAAACGGAGCGACGTATAACATTACCTGATAGCATCTTAGGTAATACAGCAAGACAAAACACGTAAATTTTATTTCGTTTCAGCTCCGTTTATGTGAGATATAACTATATATACTATATATAAAGTGAAAATTAGTAAATTACTCAATTTTGCCGTTGCTCCGTGAACCCATTTTGCTGTTTAAATCTTCGATAATTTTTATAAATATGAAGATATATTCCATTTTTTTACTCATATTATTCGAATTGTTAAAATATGTGTACCAATTTGGACATAATATGACGTTAAAAAAGTTAGGACAAAAGTGAATGACCCTCATATTTAAAAGAAGAGGAAAAATCTTTCTCCCTTGAGCTCAGAGATATGGTCGTAGTTTGTAGCTAGTTTGGTCATGGCTTAAAAATCGCTGCAAAAATTTCAACTTATACTTGACAAATTCACAAGATAACAGTGGCCAATTAAATTTTCATCAGAAATTTCGAAAAATAAACATTTATTCCAAGATTCCAAGGTAAAAAGCTGATCTATGATGCTGTGTTGCTTTTGTCCAGACAATATTCCTCGCAAAGTTTTCGTTTGTTCCTCTTTCAGACACCTCTACAATTGGCTCGAATCAATATTTTTGACAAAGTTAAAACATGTTACTCAAAAGATTTTTTCAATTAAGGAATGACTCTAATTCTTGGCCAGATTATCGAGTATAATATGGTTTGGGTCAGTTTACGCTTTATAATCCGCGAAGGGGATTATAAAAAAGCGTAAACTGACCCAAACCATATAATACTCGATAATCTGGCCAAGAATTAGAGTCATTCCTTATAATTTAATTTTAAAATAATTAAACAACTGGGGATGTAAAATTGTGTTGTTTTTATTAGCTCAAATTTACCGCGCCTTAATACAACCGTAGTAACGGAAGTGATGGGAAGCAAGGGGAGGTAAAAACTGATACATAGATCTAGCAGCCATGATGCTTGTTTACATGAGGTAAGATCGAGCAACTGTTTGAAGGTACATTCGTTAAATCTGGAATTTTTCATGAATCCGAAGGACTGGAAATGAGGTGATTGATGGATACAGATGATTCAGCTGGTTGTCAAGGGGTGTGTCCCCATACCAAACCAGATTATACAAAATGTTATGCGTTCCTTTTTGGAAATCAACCAATGGGAGACAAGAATAGAAACAGAATTAAATTATTTTAAAATAATAGTTCTAGATCTATTTGGTAAATTTATTTAGTACCTTTAAAGACAAACATTAGTACAGGAATTTTATGAATAAAATAAACTGGATCAAGCACACCATTTTTTTTTGTGTTGAACACTGTGATATAGACGAGCCAAATACATAGAGGATATTCAATTTTTTGTAGTTGAATATGGAATTTATTTCACGAGTGGGACAGGATTTTTGATATTTTCACGAGTGCGAAGCACGAGTGAAAATATCAAAAATCCTGTCTCACGAGTGAAATAATTTCCATATTCAACTACAAAACATTGAATTTTCTGTTTATTACATTTTAAAAATAAAATTCTTTGATTTTTTTCCTTTGCCTCTGTCTTTTTGTTATACAGTCATAGGCTCGTGACGTCATAGTTGAGCGGTTGGGCGTCATAGCTATGTGAGGTGAAAACACTGTAAACATGGATTTAGCAACATATTTTTGGTAATTTTAACAGTTTAATTCGCTGTCAGAGTGGTTTATTTATTTTCATCTATCTTACATTAGGTCAAGGAAGGTTTTTTTACAACAATCTTCGTTATGGGAAGGGAAATCGAGAGTTTTCCCGCACTTCTGATATTCATCACACTGTGACAGGATATCATTTTGATATCCTTTCACAGTGTGACAGGATATCATTTTTATTCAATGAATAAATTACAGTATTTCACGGGTAAAAATGTAATAAAGAGATGAATAGGCCTATATGCGCCAATGGTTGAGAGGATGTCGAATCCCATATCAGATGGAATTTTTTATTTGTTGAGAAACAAATGGTACTCAGTTGACCGTCAAGGCCCATGAAGATCATGTTTAATTTTACACATGATCCTTGTGTTTTAATTCACATAAATAGGCAGGATACAGGCAGCATGTTGATACCATGTCATTTTGAATCCAGCATGTTAATTTCATATCATTTTGTCTAATTCAGACGGTTGAGGCTATCTGGTACCCATTTTATCTATAATTTTGACATTTTTAGTCATATGCATAAAATAACCTTTAATAAAATATACCATAATGTCTTTTTCATTTTTAGCTCTACTGGTCAGAGACCAGAAGAGCTTATGCGATAGTAAGGTGTCCGTCGTCTGTCCGTCCGTCTGTCTGTCTGTCTGTAAACAATTTTTCAAAACGCTACTCCTCCTACAGTTTTGGTCTGATTTTAATATAACT